CTCTACTTCCACTCGTCTATCCGTTCCCTCGCGACTTCGGTAGATGACACCACGATCCGCTGAGCAATTGCGTGCCTTGTACGCTTCTCGAAGAGCGTGCGGCGTATCGTTATCCGACGGCCCAGGTTTCCTATACGCGTTCGTTGACCATGGCGATCTGTGGAAAATCGGGATGTCCGCCAATTACGAGCGACGGAGAGCCGAATGGGACCGCCAGTGCCCGAGCATTGGCAGAATTTGGCTGCCACCCTTGCGCGTTCCGAGGAGGAGGAGATCTGGTAATCATTTGTGCTATCTCCTCTGAACGTGCTCATCCCTCTCAAGAATCTCTAGCCCATATTCTACTGGAGCTAAAGTGCCTTGATAGACCTCGCCTCTGGTGCACACGATGTACGTATTTCTTATTTACTATCACTCTATCTTAGTGTCTACCTCAATTAGGTGGTAGGAATCACATTGAAAAATTCACCTTCCTTGGAAACTGGAGACGCGTTTGGCGAAGGAAAATTCGGCCAGTGCTTGTGCGCGCTGCATCTTTATAAAGGTGCGTTTTTTTCTTTCTACGCTCGTTAATCTACTAACTGACAACTTCGCAGACTTGAATAGCTATAAATTTTACTACGTACACATTGATATATACTCTACCTAGTTGATATATAACCCAGTACGGCCAACAGATGTGCCTTCCAAATTCCTCCAAATGCCCATGGCCCCCAAGATAAGTCTTTCGTATAATCATTATACATCATCCTACTAACAATAATATGTGCCTAGCTCATATCTCTCCCTCCCACCCTACCCTCCTCCCACCCTACCCTCGCATGAATTAATTATCAAGACAGATGTACATACATATTACCTGTGCAAATGAATCGAATCTCAATCTCTAAGTCACTCCCGAAATCAGTAGACTCTCACGATATCCCGACATCAGCGACATCCAAACGTCCCGATATATCGATGTCGGATACGTCCCGACATCGGGTTACCATAAGCTGGGCGAGCTTATTTTGAAAAAGCGCATGCTTTGCGCGAGGCTATTTATATGTGAAAATTCTGAATTATTTCTGGTAGAATATTGGGCCACTATCTATACTAAGCTCTCAATTTTCTCTGTATTTCCTCCAACAGCTTTCAATGGAATAATTTTGGATAAACGGTCCCCGAATAGATTGAAAAATCGGCTCGCATTATGTCAAAATAGGATTGTGAATATTAATGGTAGGTTTTTCATATAAATTGCAGTATATTAGTACCATAACATGCAAACAAATTGTGAGCAAATATTAACAATTTTCGGGGCTCGGTAATCTGAATAATTTTGTACCAAAGCTCACTATAAAACCAACCTTTCGGTCGTGAGAAAATCGGCTAATCCCCGCAGTGTGAGGACTCCCCTCGGAGCTCCCCAGCATGTTATTGTCAAATCTTATCTGGAAACTCTTCCAACCTGGCTTGGTCTCTGTTAGTACAGTCTACTTGTACTTGCTAACAGGGCCTGACACATCTCACCTGTCATACATTTCTTTTTTATCTGTTTCCTTCACCTCTGTTTCACTCAATCAACTCTGTTTCTTTTCTCTGTCTCACCTCTCTGAACACCTCTCTCAACTTCCTCGCCTCTCCTATGACTTACAGTCTACATTGAGGCTCCATACCCCCAACCACCTCCATCCTCACCAACTACATCTCTTCCCCTCACTCCAGGACCTTTGGCTAGGTCCACCCAAGCTCCACGACCACCACTGGTCAGGCTTCCTACACCAGTAGCAGCACTTACCCTATCTCCCCTTCTACGGCCTTGTTAAGATCATGTACACCGTGTAACCGTGCCAAGGCCACAGGGTGTCTAAGTGCGGAAGACGAATGGGACAGTAGTGAAGTTATTAACAACACCGCCGTTACGCCGTTAGTCCCCGGAGAGCGAGAGTAGAGAGAGAGGAGCTAAGTAGCAGCCAGGTCGGAGCGGCGGTATCGCCGATGACGAGGAGCGGACCAGAGAACGTCAAAGTCCTAAGGTCGAGGAGAACGTACTTCGAGGCGTTGAGCCTGAAGACTTAGAGAAGAGTTAAGTTGAGAAGGGAGATCTAAGTTGATAATTAAACTGAGGAACTACAGTAGCGTACAGGCAGTATTTATATCTACGGATCGGCGCAGCGGTGCGGAGCGCCAGACTAACTACTAGGAGCTATACGAGTAGTACCTGCAGGGTAGAGTAAAAGACAATAAGAAGGGACTAGAACGAAAGGGTATGTGTAGCGAGAAAGAACAATAAGAGTGAGATAACAATAAGGAGCAGATCTTCGGAATCCCGAACGGCGGAATGGAGGCCCGCGGCATGGACTTGACAGGCCTAGGCAGCTGTCCTGCTTGCTTAGGCCCAGTCCAGATAAGACAAAAGCAGGCCTTTTGTGCCAGGCCTCACACTCACTCACCATCTCAAAGGATTTTGTGGATCATCAGTGGTACAATATGTGGAAATCATTCCACCCAAAACCTTGTATAATTTCAACGATTCACTCCAAGCTCTAATTTGACACTGTGCCACTCAAGGGTCAGGTGCTATCCCTGACAGTTTCAAACCCAATAGTCAACTCAAGGCAAATGTGATGAATGTTATCTATTCCCAACTTAACTAGTACAAAATTATAGAGAATGTGTTATTTCCCCTGGTATTTTAATCTGCTTCTACTCCAAATATGATATCCCCAGTATATGAAAGTGTCATTTGGAGTGCTGGACCCCACTACTATGCTGCTGCTGTAGAGGAACTAGATACTCTGAGTGTTCTTACCCAGAAATGGCTTTGCTTACCAAATAAAAAGTTTGTGGTACAAATTTCACCTAGTTCACTCCACCCAATGATAAAATCCTCTATTATAGCTCAGGGCTCAAGCAAATTCCCTTTCAACATCCCCAGGAAAATGGTACCTTGAACAAGAATGCCAACTTTCTTACCAAATTCATGCTTTTTCTCATACACAATATTGATCAGCCCATTCCCAATTTCCCCATCATTCTCCATCCACACACCCTTGACCTATTGGCAAAGCTTAAAGAAGCCTCCAGTGTCAATTTTGTCTCCATTCCCACCCTAATACCTCTGTTTCATGAAGCAGTGTGTTCCTTTGTCTCACATCCTTCTCAAGCATTTTTAGAAGATGATTTGATGTGCCCATTCATTTGTTATATATATGGTTGCCTCTAGCCTACTCAATGAAACTGGCACTTTCATTCCCATTTAACTTGTCCCTCCTCATTTATCCAAGATTCAATGGTGCTGGCGTGGATCTGGTACATATGAGATTATACAGAAAAAAGCACTATATGATAATGATACCCTCAGATATGTAAATACCCACCCATTTGAAAGGTAATTATATTAAATGTTTTACAGAACTTATGAAGCCCTCATAGCACCATTCTTGCTGAATGACAGACAAACTCCATTCACAGTTATGCAGCAGCATATAAAGCTGATTTCTTCCATTGTGTTTTCTCAAGACATCATCCCTCATTTCACCTGGGATGCACATTTTTCAGTGGTCTTGACGGATGGATACTTACTCAAGTGGGTCGATATTGTCAATGGTTTCAAGTCTTCTCTTTCAGATCTCGAAGCCCACGTTGATATAGTGTTTTGCAGGTGTCAGTATGAGCATGTTTTAGAGTACATTGATTCAAGACTGAAGGCAGACTCTTTCTCAAGCAAGAACTGGTTCCATGACTAATGAGACCAAACACAACATGAATATTCACTTGTGAAAGAAAAGCTCAATCACCTTGAACAGTACTGACCCATTCTTCTGGCCTACATGATTGAGGATTTGGTTGTTTGTCACTATTGATGGAAAGCCTCATACCAAGCAAGGGCACTATTAGAATAGTTTGCTCATTTACAAAACGTTATGGACATACTTTAAGTCCTTGTTGCATTCACCAGTCTAGGATCTGCCCGTGGCACTGAAATGGAAGGCTTGCAGTATTGCAATGATCAATGCTACCCCAAAAACCTCCACTTCCTAAATGGTATACTTTGCATTGAAATGCTCTACACCAAGACACAAAGTTTGCAGGGCACTGCAAAGACACTTTTGCGCATGCCTGCTCATCAAGTATCTCAATATCTTATTCTAATCCTTACCACTGTCCATTATGCTGCAGCCCATGTTTCCGAGTTTGTGAACATACTAGTCAAAAATGCCAACCATTATTTGACTCATATCTTTGTCAAGTATGGAAAACCCATGACATCCGATGATCTCTCAAAGGCTATTGCCAGCATGACCACCAAGAAACTGTTGAGCATACTGTAGTGATAGAACACTTTCTACATACATCTACATACAATACACAACATCTCATTAGCTATAGTTATCACTATAATCAGTAGTTTTAGTGTATAAAGTACTTACAGACTTCATTTCCGAGTTTTTCAACTTTTAAAGTACAAGTTTCTTTAGTCTTGCAGTAGATAGTTAGTTTTCATAGGTGCGCACAATTGTGGACACCTATTATCACGCCTCATGTGTTTTCAGTACATACAAGACCAAACAAACTTGTATTCCTACTACAGTTGAAAGATACCAATCAATACTCATTCTACATTGATTCTCTTCATTTTCATAGTGTTTGTTGGAGTACTGAGCAACTATAAGACTCTGTAGTCCAATCTGCTAGTCTTGTATTAAGGCATTGACATTCTCTGCACTAAACTAGGTGGAGATCAAAGCTATGCATGGCTTTCATAAGCAGTGCTGATACTGCAGAGCACGACTATGGTCAACTCACCAACAATTCTACAAACAAGATCTCATCTGATTGTGTGGCCTTTTATCAACAGGTGGGAATGGCTTGGCAGACAGAGATCCAATTCCCTTATCCTCATTTCAAAAAATATGTTCTTCAAACACTGGTCAGTGCACCCAGTAAATGTTAGTGCCTTATATTGACCTGAATTAATTAGACCAAACCTCCCTCCTCTTATCCTTTCATTTGTCATGCATTTGACGATTTTTGCTAACAACAAAGCTCTCAAGGTACTGGATAACCAAACAGCTGAGCTCAAGGAGTCTTTCACTGGCATTGTTTCCTCTGGCTTCTACCAGATTGCTAGTCTAATCAAGGGACCAGAACAGATTGTATTATCCAAATCCCCCATCTTTGTCTATCCCAACCCTCAGAGCACTGTTATGAGCAGCCTCTATGCTGATGGCAATATATTATGGAACTCTGTTGCTCAAGCTGAATCAGTGGCATCTGTGCTATTCAATGACCACATCTTTAGCATTTTGCCTACCAGTAGAGGAAAAAGCCTGCAGTTCTTTGCTGCCCCAGTTCTAATGCCCAGCCAGTTATTTGTGGTTATCCTTCCTCTTGTTTCACTTACAGATGATATGGAGTACCGGTTACAGACAGTGCCCTACAAGGGCAGGATGTGGTCATCTGGAACCTTGATCAATCCAATGGATATCCAACTTCTCCTGGTACCAGCTCACCGTGCAGGTACCCATGAGTTTTATCATTATTTAAAGCTACCTGCCATCCATGAGTGACTAGAACAAATATTTATAGACAAGGTGCATCACGTCTGCACCAGTGCCACATTCTGAGAATGCTTTGCACGTCTTTGATATCTCACTGCTCTAGGCAAAAAGTTTTCATCCCTCTCTGCCACTGTTCCTCCAACTGACCTACCATTCATCCTCAATGCCCTGGATATTACTGACACCTCATTGGTGCATGAAATAAGGAGCTACACTGGCCACCTGAACCATGCATATAGCCATCAAAAAGTAGAGGCTGATAATTTAATCAACATAGTTATCAAATATGTTCTATCCCTCCCTCCCTTAGCTAAGGATGAATGTGGTCTTATATATGTTACCAGCATCTATGGAGCCTGTATACCTCTTGGAGAAGCACTTGGCTTTAAATCTTACTTTGCAGCACTATCAGATCCCATCAAGAAAGATATTCAAAACAATTGGCACCAGGGGAAGGCCTTGGAAGATCGCTGGCTGGTCTGTACCAATGCATATTTTGAAGGGATAGATTTTGAGGGGGTTCAACAGGTGGTCAATATAGAACCCTTTGGCATGACAGACCTTAAACAGCAAGATGGTTGGGCAGGGTGGGATGGAAAGTGATCCCAAGTCCATACCATCTGAATGCTACCATCCTCATGAACGAGGACCTGCTGGTAAATCGAGTAAGGGAAGCTCCAAAGGACACGGTTATGATTGAAGCACTGAGGAGGATTGCACGCAACAAAGAAGAATCTCTCGTATGGAACAATGGGGTAATAAAGAGGAGGTCACATATACGTCCCGGACACTGGAACCCTACATAGGGAGGTCCTGCAGTAATATCATGACTACAAACTGAGGGGGCACCCAGGAGAGAAGCACACCAAGAAGCCTGTGAACCACTTGTTTTTCTGGAAAGGCCTATCCAAGGATGTAAATTACTACATATGGAGCTGCCACCCATATCTGAGACCCAAAGCCAGTTGCTCCAAACCTTATGGTAACCTCCGTCCACTACCAATTGGCCAGCGACCTTGGTCCTCAATCTCCCTTGACCACGTCACCCAGCTCCCAGTCATGGCAGGCCCGGAGGAATATGATGCTATCCTTGTAGTAGTCTGCCAACTCACCAAACAGGCCATATATGTTTCTTGTTATATGACAGATAACTTGGAGGACTTTGCCAATCTATTCACAACACACGTCTTCTTAAAGCATGGGATGCCCTCTGATATAACTTCCAACTGGGGCTCCCTATTTGTGTCCCAATTCTGGAGCAAGCTTTGCAGGGTACTAGGAATCGAATCCTGCCTATGGGGGAGGAAGATATCAATTTAATTGAAAAATTACAAATTTTGAATTAGACTAATAGTTATGCAATTAGATTGAATAGTATTGCAAATGCAGCAACCCAGAATTGATCAAAGTGATCATACAGAAGGTCAAAATATGCGGAATGAGTAAAGAAACTGCGCTTAGAACCTGAAAGTGGAGTTGAGAATACCTCCCGACGTTTTTATGATCAATGGCGAGTGGAGATTGACTTGAGTACTCAGGATAAAGACGACAGTAAAGTCTTGCGGACCTGATCTCACGTGAAGCTTCATGCCAGGATCCGGAATTGAGTCTCAGTTTAAACTCCCATTCATAGGAGGGACTTAGAGCAATGACTTGAAGATTAATGTTCATGCATTCAAGTCAATATAAGAAAGCTTTGCTTGATAATTTACATTCACTCATTCAAATCAAAACAAAAATTGAGTTGAAAATTAAAGCTCTTTAATCAAATTAAATAGGAAAATGAGCAGAAAAGCTTGTCAATTAATATATACAGGATAGCAATAAGCTATCCACAACTAAAACAATAGGTAAAAACTACCTACAGGAAACAAAAAATACAAAATATTAGATTGAATAATCTAGTAAAACAAGAATGGTCTCAAGTGACCGTTGGTCCTGAAAAGGTCCATAATAAGATTTCGGGCTTGTAGCCCATACAATAATTTGACCGTGAGTGGTCAGCTATGATGATATATAGGCATGAAAGCCCATCCATGTGTGACAAAACTAAAATAAAACAAAAAGCAATCAAAAATGTTCCAAAGACCCCAAAAGCCTGAGCAAACTTAGATCTCCTTTTCAGTAGATGGAGTTGGCTTAGTCAAACTTTCAATCTGAGGAAGGTCCAATTCAGTTTGAATTGGACTTCCCTCTGGAAGGCTTGTGATGTCTTCAACCCCCAAATCCTTCTTGGTTGTGGTAATTGGAGGGGAACCTTGAGCACCAAGGGCCTCTGAGACTTCGACTGTGGGTGCTGGTGGCTGAAAGCATCGACCAGATGTCCATCAAGAGTGATTTTGGCAGAAGAGGTACCAGAATGGATGCTACAGAGTAGATCGATCCACTCTGTGGGTGTTTGATTATCAAAAATTAACCCATTCAAATTGAAGAGGCTAGACCATTGAAATAAGGTCGCCAAGAGAGTCCAATCCTTAATGGAAATAGACTCACATTGAGGTTCGGCAGCCGTCACGGCCTCAAGGATGACAATTGGATCTTGACCAGCTTGCTGTAGATCCAAGAAGAAATGCAAAAACAACTGGCGGGCCTGATCAAATAAAGTCCTGAGACGGTCCAGTTGCCTACGAAGTTCTTGGGTATGCCAAAGGGAATTCATCAAATCTAAATGAATAGAATTAAAACAAAAACAATTATATGAATACAACAATGATAAAAAAGATGACTTACTAATTGTGCTGCTTGTGGTGGCAACATGAAGCACATTGAGCGCGTCCATGGCCAGATCCACGTCCAGCGAGCACATGCACTTGAGGCTCCGAGAGGAGCATGACTCACATTTAAGTCTTGGCAAACGAGAAGAGTTTCGATTGAACTTCCCCCGTGACAGAGCTGAAATGCAAGCCTGTGCGGGAATTGAAGGCTACAGAATGCAATTGATTAATTGAATGAATTCAGAAAAGATTGAAAACTTACATCACAAATTGAATGATTAATTTGCAGTAAATCCTGCATTGTAAAACTAGCCTTCTGCATGGTGAAAAAAATACCCACATCAAAGAACTCTGGGTTTACATCAAATATGGGGTTTTGACATTGCAAAGGTGCGCTGTTCTATTCAAATTAATACAGATAAATTAGATTAAATAATTAAGAGTAAAATGGAAACTTACTCGGGCATGTTCAATATGCTTAAAAGGAGTAAATTCCTCCACCAAGTCTCCTGGAAATTTCAAACGGCCCTGGTCATCAATGAGCAGGGCGGGACAGAAATTTGATGTTTTGGATGGGGCGGGGGCAAACTTAGAAGATTTGAGATGTTTCAAGGGTGGAGGTACCTCCTCTGTCTCAGACTCTTCAATGTCCCGGACCTCCGTTTGATGTGCTTTTCCTTTTGCTGCCTGACAAAGACAAGGGGGAAGCCAGACGTGTTTGATTTGATAAGAAGGAGTTGCCAGTTATTTGGACTCAGAAGAATCCCGGGATTCCTCTACCACCTTGACAGTGGTTTTGGACTGAGTTATTGCCTTGGGTTTTGAAAGAGGCTTCTCCACCTTCTTCCTTGAAGAAGAAGCTTTGAGAACTTCAGGGAGATCTTCCTTGTGAGGAGTCTTATTAATTGAATGACAATCTACTGCAAAAGATAAAATAATGAATTAAAAGAAATTAATGAGATAAAAGTGAATACAAACAAATGGATGAGGCATCAGCCATAAGGCTGGCCAGTTTACGCTTGCACTTATTTTGTTTAGGAGGACCTATCCTCTGCTCATCTCCTGAAGGAGACAGAGATTCTTTTGTTAAAGAAGGAGCTGGTTGAGCCTCAGGACGAGGGCAAGGAACTCTGACAGAAGAACAAAGAGCAATAAAGGGATCTAGATCCTCTGGGTTGGCCAGATGCATTAGAACGCTGCCCTTCAGAAAACAGATACAAAAAGGAATAGGGATCAAGGGAAATTCAACAAATTCTTGAGAATCCTGAAAATATTAAGTTAATAAATGAAATGAAATTAAGATGAGATGAGATATACCGGAAAGGCACACTGATGCTCTGGTTGAACCCCCCACAACTGATTTAAATGATCTTTGTAAAGAGCAGGGAGACACTGTGACAAGAATTCGGCAACGAGAATAAATTGCTGGGGAAAAACGGAAAATTTGATCAACCAATACAAAAATTGCAGATATAGCACTAGATAGAGGGATGGTCAGATCTAAAATAATGAAAGAAACAATGAAGAACGTACCAGGAAGGGTGTAGCCTTGTCAAAAAGTCTGTAAGCTGCACTTAAAGTATGGGTAGCACTGGCTTTGTGAGCCGCTACTAATGGTTGTAAAATGTTGGCAATGTTCTATGAAGCACAATACAAGTCTAGACCAGAGGCAACTGTTATTGGGCGAGAGTCCTATGTATTATAGCAAAACTCAAGAAGGACTGAAGGATAAGTGAATACTAGAAGGGAACAAAAACCATCAAAATTAGGAGAAGTATCCACTGGGAGAGCATAGTGTCCAGAACAAAGCTGATGGTACTCAGGACTATCAAAAAAATGATGGCTGAGCAGTCCAAAGTTTGACAGAATTAATTAATTCAGTTGATTCCTCAGGACTGGTAGGAAGTTGAGGAACGATGGAGGAAGTAGACGAGGCTGATGCTCAAGTTTGACTCGAGGTTGATGCCATTTTGGAAGAAAGAGATGAAAGAAGAAAGTAAAGAGAGAAACACGGACATCAACAAAAAATTTATTGAACCCCCTGCCCAAACTAAATAAACGTACACGTTGATTCAGTGTGTATGGCAGAACAGTTCCCCGTAAAATAGAAGCTCGTTCTGTGAATAGATGATTAAAAGATTGTGAATTAAATTTTCAAAATGTGATAAGGATACCGAAGAAGTATTCAATTCAAATTGAGTGCTAAACTGTTATGGTTCATAGCAGGTATGTAAATAATGTTGAAGGAGACTACACTTGTTGAAGTTGAAACCCACTGGAGCGCCCTTCAGCTAACCCAAGCAGTATGCCACCCAGCTCAGTGCACAAATTGTCAATGCCTTGATACAAGACTAGTAGGTTGGACTACAAGCCTTATAGTTGCTCAGTACTCCAATAAACACTGTAGATATGACAGAAGTCAATATAGAGTGAGGATTGATTTGTATCTTTCAACTGTAGTAGGAATACAGGTTTGTTTGGTCTTGTATGTACGGAAAACGCATGAGGCGTGATAATGGGTGTCCATAATTGTACGCACCTATGAAAACTAACTAACTACAGTAACACTAAAGAAATAGCTAAGTTATAAGTTGTAAAACTAAGAAATGAAGTCTGTAAGTACTTTGTATACTAAGTAAGTCACTACAGTGATAACTAGGAGTGATGAGGCGCTATGTAATGTATGTAGAAAGTGTTCTATCACTACAGTATGCTCAACAAATAATTGATAATATAAGTGCTAGAAACCCATTTGAGGGCATCCAAATTAATTGGAAAGTACAGAGAAGTAGAGATCCAAACCCAGTGATTTATATTAAAATGAGATATAGTCTTGTTAATTCAATCTAATACAGATTGGGTATTGTTTCCCTGATACCAAAACTACGAATGACCAAGAACGGTCAAATTCTTGAGTTTGGGGGGGATGACACATCTAAATTTTGGCTAGACATCTATGCAGTGAATTGTGACACTTTTATGTGTAGATTTGTATCAAGAGGGCTGTAATTGAAACCCAGATGACAGTCAAAGTCAATACTGAATCAGTCTAATAGTTGAAGGGACCCTATACCCATACTACCACAAGTTGGTTAGTTTACCCATCCCTGATACTAGCTTTGGATAAAAGTCTACCTGTTTGTCAAGCAGGATTATACCAGACTCGGACTACATCCGAAGGATGACCATTCACATATGACATACTAAGGGTATTCTTATTGGACCTTACACTGGCAGGAGTTTGGAAGAACTTACTCAAGTGACCATAAGCCGAGGATTGACTTGAAATGACTTTCTAGAACTCAGGAATTATCAAATACTCCTTCTAGAACGAGATCATGCATTAATCTACAAGACTGTGATTTAGTCTAATAGACCAATCAAGTTGCATGGTTGAGGAAAATGACTAGAAGAACAATCGAAGTACTGCGAGGCTCCGAAGGCATATCAAATGAATGTCAAAGAGTCCTGACGTAGAAAATATTGAAGAAGGCAATTAAATGAATACTATGCGTAACTCCCTTGATAGAGTATAGGCACAATGGGTGTCTATTGAAAGAGAGGAGCAATTAGTTTAATCCAGATGAATCAGATTAATAGGATTAAAATCAAGGAGAGCTGATTTGCCTCCGGACGAGGTGACAAACGATCGAAAGTAAGTGTTGAACAGCAGTGACAGCTGAACACCATTCAAATCATTCTCTAAAAAACAATTAAATTAAATGAATATCGAAGTACCTACCTATGTTTGGAGGTATGCTAGAATCTTGGAACCAATATGGGCCAAATAAGGACATGTAGATTCAAATTAAATGGTATCTGACCGATTGTAGAAGTTTCCTTGCAGTTCCGAACATTTATTGTATTAAATTAATTGTACTGTGCGATTCTATATTCTGTATGTATAAATAGTGATCCAATGTATCTGGAATGGAAGTGATTTTGGGACGATGTTGCATTGCTAATCCGTAAAAAGAAAAGACACACTCCCACCAGACTGAAACCTCTTCGCTAGCAGCCATTCGGGCCCGGCACTTGTGAGTATAGGAACATTGTGTTCTGCTCCTTGTGACTGCGAGAAGTATATCCAGTTGTTGGGTATTCTTCGAACTTAGGATCAGTCGTTGGTCTTAAGGGCAAATCACACTGTGTGGTTGTGCCAGCACATAGTTCTAGCCCTCTGTAGGGTCTGTGTCATAAAGTACGCATCCCCTATCATTTTCCTTTTCTCACCGTCTCGACGCCTTTACTTGTACGATACATCATCCCATCACTGTCAAACCCCCATCGATTACTGATCCACCTGACCCATCTTCTCCTTCTACTGGCTTCCGCCACCTTCCTTGTTCCTAAACTGTACAGTATTACATCGTTGTTTCTTGCAGACTGGATTATGTATATATAGCCAACCCTCCACAGCCTGGTCCCTTATCTTGACCTCTCTGTCATTATCTGGGACCAGGTATGTGCTTACTTATTATTACCTATGACTACGATACTCAATATATCTCTGTCATTATCTGGGACCAGCCTGCCGCCGTTCTGCTTAGTCGCTCCGCCTTGTTGCCCTGTTCAGTTGCTCCGCCTCACCGTTCTGCTTAGTCGTTCCGCTTTCCCCGCTCCGTTAGTCACTCCGCCTCTGCCGCTTCGTGACAGTCTGTGTGTTTTGGTTTTAATTTAGTTTAATTCAAAGTCCCAATTCTTGATATACCCATATCAATACAACTAAAGCACAAATTGTGCTGAATCTACCTTAATCAAAGGAATATGCTGAATCCTTAAAATGATCCAAATTGACTGATTCAAGCTTTTCCCTAGCTCTCAAAGCTTTGCAGAACCTTTGACAATGCTACCCCTTGCTATGTTGGAGTTTGTTGTTCGGACCGCCCAGAAGTTATAGGTACACAAGTACATACAACGTATCTACGAGACAATGTGTATGTAGCTGTTAGATTATCTCTTCTATACAATCCTTTTGTCCATCGTCGTTCGTCGTCGTCACTCAGAGTTGTGCCTATCGCGCTCTTCACTCCTGTGAGGCATCTCATCTTGTCCTCCGTCATACCCATTCTCAACATGCTATTAAATAAATTTGATAGCAGTGAACTCGCATATTGTGTATTAGATTAGTTGGTTGGAGTGCCCATTTGATTCCTTCCTTTCTCTTTCACACAAAAACGAGGCAAGCTCATTACCACAATAGTTGAAGATCCAACAGAGGAGTTTCGGCTCTGAGTAGTGTTACTTTTGGTAGCCCATTGAACTGCCAGCCACTTAGTAGCCATATACTCAGTGTGAGTAAGATCCAATTAAAATCAACCATTTGGCCAAGGATCCCATTCACCACCCTGTAGATTACCAAGTAAGGTTGCAATGACACCTTGATCAAATTTGCAAACTAAGAGTGGCTGGGGATTGAGAGGAATGAAGGTTGTGAGTGCAGCAGGGTTAGAAAGGTCAATTGAGGGAATGCTGGTCCAATTTTTGGAATTAGGTTGGAGAGAATCAGAAGCAGGCTGGGAGGGGATGTATATTTGGTTGGGATTTCACCAAATTTCTGGTGGGTTGAGTCTGAAATATGAGACGATTGACTTGTTGGAATCCAATTTGAATTCCTGTACATTAAATTAGGATCCAGACTTGGAACAATTATAGCATTCAAGACATACCATTTTCATCAAACACTGGCAAAGTGTGTATTTCAGTGGTGCGCTGTTAAGATCATGCACACCGTGTAACCGTGCCAAAGGTCACAGAGTGTCTAAGTGCAGAAGACGAGTGGGACAGTAGTGAAGTTATTAACAACACCACCGTTACGCCGTTAGTCCCCGGAGGTCAAGAGTATAAGAGGGAGGAGCTAAGTAGCAGCCAAGTCAGAGCGGCGGTATCGCCGGTGACGAGGAGCGAGCCAAAGAACTTATAAGTCCAAAGGCTGTCAAGAGAGTACTTCAAGGCATTGAGCCTGAAGACTTAGAGAGGAGCTAAGTTGGGAAGGGAGATCTAAGTTGATAATTAAACTGAGGAACTACAGTAGCGTACAGGCAGTATTTATATCTACGGATCGGCGTTTCGGTGCGGAGCGCCAGACTAACTACTAGGAGCTATACGAGTAGTACCTGCAGGGTAAAGTAAAAGACAATAAGGAGGGACTAGAATGGATGGGTATATGTAGCGAGAAAGAACAATAAGGAGAGATTACAATAAAAGGTAGATCTTCGGAGTACCGAGCGGCGAGATGGAGGCCCGAGGCATGGGCTTGACATGCGCCCCATAGTGCTCACTGTCTTTTTGGCTTTCATTGATTCTTCTTCATCAGAACCAGAATAGATTGTTTGTGCAATGAATTTTCGGAGCTTGGTCTAATAAAATATCTCTACTTGGACATTTTTCTGACCATTTGTGATAACATAATTTCAACTTACAAACCAACTCATTGTGTTACAATATTCAACTTGCAGGGAATTGGATGAGGAAAGGGTACTGCAGGTTTCTCGAGTTCTCTTTTATACTTCATTCATAACCCATCAATTTCTCAGGTATTTTCAGGGTTGTTTCAACTTAAGAATTAATATAGATATCTTGAAGTAAATTCATTGAAAGGTATGTATGTAAATCAAGGTAGTTTCATTGCCCCTTGATCTAGAACCACCATGACGTGTGTTCGGCAGCCGGCCTCTCAGTGGCCAAGGGGACTAGTAGCTGTTGGAAACAGCGAAGCTAACAGGTCGTATTCCCCAGAGACGGTAGAGAGCACTGTGCTACTGGGAATAAATGCTCGACGAGGTGTCGAGAAGAATCACAGAAGGATTCACAGTGTAGATAGACCTACGAGAAAGTCCCCGGGCCGAAGTAGAACTGACCCGCTAGTAATATAAACGACTTCTATTACACCATGGGAAAAGCGAAGAAGCTTGAATGCGACAGTCCGAAGCACCTCAACGACTTCCAAGGGCATGAGCACCCTGCGACTAGGACTTACGCCACCTCAACGTCGACGGGCGGCCAGTGGATTAAACTCCGCGAGAAACTGCCTTTGCAATGAGGCCACCACGTCGCCCTCTCCCTTTGTCTCCCTTGCCAGCAGACAATTTAGGAAGCTAACAACGTAGAACAAAGGAAGAAGACTCCACAAAGGGTCAGAGCAGTATAAAGAGGATGGAAACTCTACAACAAGACCCCTCGACCCTCTCCCTCATTACTGTATGACTTCAAACGGCCAGACTGAGAAAGCAAATACTGGGAGAAGACAACGACTGGCAATAGAAGCGAACCGCTACGAGAGCTTAGGGGATAACGAACAAGTAAGGTCGCTATCTTCACTGCCTACTGCGTCTAACGTTGTACAGCCCAACCAGGAGTTAGCCCACAAGAATAATGTTGACCAAGAAGAAACAATAGACGACCCCGAATCTAGACCCAAGGCTCCCCTTCCGAAACGTCCAATGCCCAACTTCACCTATCCTGACCCCCTCGATCAGTCGAGGAACCCTACATTAGGAGACATGTACCCCTACGGCAAGACAAACAAGCAAGGAGACGAACCGGCAACCAAACCAGCTGGCTTTGCCCATCCGTTCACAGACCAACTCTTCTCCATGCCTGTAATGTCGAGGAGCCGCCTGCTGGAGAATGTACATGTCATGCAGAGAAGGACAATTGAGGAGAACCCCCCCAACTACCTTGCAATTGTGCCAATTGGGGCGGGCGCAGGATGGGCTTCCACTTAAGCCATTCTTGAATTCATCAAGGGTATCGACATCCCAGGTATGGGCGCCCTAGATCTGATCCCTGCAAGAGAAGCCAGAAGTAAGGATGAGTACTTCGCCCCCCCAGCACCTCTCTTCCTAACCAAATTCTCCACCTCGCTTCGCGATTTCCTACTGTGGCAAGGGGTCTTTCCTCTCCAGGAAGAAGGCGCAACCTTCCGTGTCTACTCGCTAGAAAGCGACACACCCAACTGGTACTGGGGAAAGTTCCATGGCCCGGCAGTGATAGCTGGAGGAGAGGCGAAGAAACTCGAAGCCCTTGCGGCCTTCAAGCAGAAGCTGTGGAGCAGTCCGCGAGTACAAGAGGTGGTTAACAACTTTCGGAAGGCCAATCCGCAAGCCAAACTCACCAAGACGACTCCCACCCTTGCCCATACCATGGTCGCCATCACAGAATCTCTTCGAATCCTCTACCTTGAGCCCGACACCCACCGAAGCTTGGGACGAACTCCGGACGAAGAAAAACATCACTATGTGGTGGTGGGGCTTCCAATATCGAATCATCCAGCGGAACAGAGAGCACTTAAGATAGCAATCAGCCAGATCAAGGAGATCCAAGTAGGAATGCGAACGATGAAGCCAAGCACCCTGAACATCGGGTGTGTCTGGTGCAAGGATGATATACATGTCAGCCAGCACTGCCCAGACCCCCACGTTGGGGAAGGATGGCTTGGGCCCTCCCTTCAGAAGCTCGATGAAATTGCAAAGAATGCAAAGAAATGGGGAGATGGGAAGAGAGGCAAACAAACCCGCGGAAAGGACCGGCCTACCTTCAGTCAGAGCAGGGGTAGAGGAAGAGGAGTGTCCAGAGGACGACGCGGAAGTGGCAGCCGAGGAAATCAGCGAGGCAGAGGAGACCACCGTGACTACTATCCCCATGCTGACCACCGCGAGATACATACGCAAAGCCTTGACTACACCTACGGGAGTCACTCGCAGAGCTCGGGGTGGGACTGATGAGCAATATCGAGAGACAATTTAACTGTATTTACAACTATGTCCTTAATACACCGCATGATAATCAAAATCGCATTCTATGAACTCAACGGTGAACTAAAAAGAAAATGAAGTGGGACCAAGATGCGTATAGGGCATCAAAATGGTGGGCTGGAGGTTCAAGACCAAATCCCCCGCAGCGCTGACCAGGCCTAATTTACTGACGCCGAAAGATGGACAGGAAAGCTTGGAGGGCGCTATACAAATCCAGAGAATAAGGTGAGTGGCGGCATCGTTGAAAGGTAAGTTTTCATTAGTTACACTGGGTCCTGTCTTGCCTATACAAGGCACATCCAAGGTAACGACCGCCACAGCTCCCCTGAGGATCCTGCGCAGCCAAAGGAGAGCTTAACTAACTTTAGCGTAACCACAATTCAATCAAGTGAACATCAGTGCACCATTCCGCTCCCGGGAGTAAGCAGGGTAGAAACTTACGATGCCTGGGAGGGTAGACGGGCTCAAATTGACGGTGAGTTTGGTTTTAGGCAGGCTCTGGTTGGAGGAGGCTCGGTTCCTCCCGCTGGCCCAGCCCCCAATGAAAACCAGATCCGGTTCGTAGGTGGACAGACAGACGGACCGGCACCGGAGCTAGCTGGGAGTGCTGCGAGACATCGTAGCCCTAGCAGCAGTGATGGAGCCATGGATGTCATACAGAGTACAGGACACAATAGTGAAGGGAGGTTACAAGGAGTCACCACCCCAAGTGTCCACGGTCAGCAGGATATGACAGCACAAAGTAGTGCGATGCTTAACCCCAACCCAACGACGGGTAGGAGTGCTGACTCTCAAGGAGAGAGACATGAACAGCCTGAAGGCCAAGGCAGCCAGACCGAAAGAATGGAAGAACACCCTCTGGGAGAAGAGGAAAACCAAGCCCGAAGGGGAGACAACACCCGGGGACGAGAAGAGGATGAGAACCAGGGATATGACTTCCCTGATAACACCCAGCCATCTAGGCCAAACCACCAAACCCGACGGCAACTTGAGAAACAACAGAGGAAGAGTACCAAGGCTGGACTTAATGTTGTCTCACTGAACCTGAATGGATATGGGGGAACTGGACCCTACCATAGAGGAAACCGTTGGACCAGACTAAACACAATGCTAAAGGAAAACCGGATTGGGATTGCAATAGTACAGGAGACACATATGACAGAGCCGAAACGAGCACAAACAGAGTATGTGTTCCGCAAACAAATGAAGATTTTTGCTTCGAATCACCTAACTAATCCAACGGCAGCAGGAGGTGTAGCTGTGGTACTGAACAAGCAGTTCCTCCCCACAACAGGAGCAGAGTCTAAGGAGATCGTGCCAGGAAGAGCCTTACTAGTGAAAACAGATTGGCATAGAGGAGAGAAGATTACAGTCCTAGCGATATATGCCCCAAATGTAACGGCTAATGATGGCACAGAGAGCGCAGCATTTTGGGAGGACCTGCGGTCCTTTTTCGGGCATCCCGAAAACCGGCAATGGAGACCAGATCTGGTGGCAGGGGACTTTAACATGGTTGAGGATGCCATTGATAGACTCCCAATGAGGAATGACCCATATGAGACAAGGGATAAACTAGATGACCTCAAGATGGAACTGAGGATACGTGATGGCTGGAGAAACACGTACCCTGCAGACAAGGTATTCACCTTCTCCAGAAACGAGAGCCAATCTAGACTTGACCGTATCCATGTCACGGAGAAGCTGCTGCAGTCCTCAAGCCAGTGGAGAATAACGCCAGTTGGGATAGACGGTGTAGACCACGAAATGGTATCCGTGAGAGTGGCACATGAAGATGCGCCAAAAGTAGGACAAGGAAGGTGGTCCATGTCCATAAAAACCCTGAGGAATAAAGACTTTCGAGCCTTTGCAAAACAGAGAGGATTAAAAGCGATTGAGGAAATTGATGCCCTGCCAGTACGCACAGGTCAGCGGAATGCTCAAAGAATACTGACAGAATATGTAAAGGATATAACACGCAAGGCAAGAGAAATAGAGCGGACTCAGATCTTGGAATACCAGCAGGAAATATCAAGAGTGCAGAGGGAGATCCGGCGGATTGGGAGCACTAGTGGAATGAACGAGAGAACAAAAGCAGGAAAAATTCATGGTCTAAAGAAACAACTCAAGACAATGGAGTCCAAAGGTAACGAGGCCAGGAAACGGCTCGGCGCTGCGAAAGATAGACTGATAGGAGAGACTATATGTAAAGAGTGGGTCAGCGCAAACAAGGAGTGGAAACCCCGAGACATGATATATGCACTAGAAAAGCCACAACAGGCGACCCAAAACCCAACTGCAAATCAGGATGAACCCCTCCTCCCCAGAGTGCAATATGAGAAACACTCCCGCCAAATGGCAGAACTTGCCAAGGACTACCATGAGCAACTGCAAACAAAAGGCCTTGAACAAGACCCACAACAGCAGGAGCAAGCAACAGTGGAAGTCCTGGGCTATCTAGATGCAAAGCTGTCAGAGGCACAGAAACAGTATATGGGAGAGAATCTCGCCTGGGAAGAAGTGGCAGGAGCACTCAAACTCTCCAAAACAGGGAGCTCGGCAGGAATCAATGGAACCACTTACGAGTTCTGGAAATCAATAGCGGATGCATACAGAACAGATAGCAAGAAGGAGGATACAGCTGCATTTGATATAGTCAAACTCTTGATGGAGGCCTTCGTTGACATACAGACCTACGGAGTAGATGATACAACAAAGTTTGCAGAAGGATGGATGTGTCCCATCTACAAAAAAGGTGACCGAAATGTGATTGCAAATTACCGACCAATTACCCTCCTCAATACGGACTATAAACTGTTCACCAAAGCACTAGCAATGCGACTGGCAAAGGTATGCCCAGACATAATTCACCCAGACCAGGCTGGATTCATGCCCGGAAGGAAAATCGCAGAACAGACACGCTTGATACGAATGATAGCTGAGTACGCAGAGTTTACAGAGCAAAATGGTATGCTTGTAGCCCTGGACCAGGAGAAGGCTTACGATAAGATAGCACATGACTACCTGTGGAGGACTCTTGAATGCTATAACTTCCACCCGCAGTTCACAAACACCATAAGGAGCCTCTACGAAAATGCAGAGACAAAAGTCATGATCAATGGACACTTAAGTTCCCCCTACAGAGTGACCCGTGGAGTCCGACAAGGTGACCCAATGTCTTGCCTCTTGTTCGACCTGGCTATAGAACCATTAGCTGCTTCAATCCGACAATCCAATCAGAAAGGGTATACAGACATACTGGGAGTCCCAGAAAAGCTGATTGCAAGCCTATTTGCCGACGATACAACTGTTTTCTTAGCGGAAGATGACAGCTTTGAGGAGCTGCAAACCATACTGGACAGATGGTGTCTGGCGTCCACCGCGGTGTTTAACATTGCTAAGACGCAGATTTTACCAATAGGAACGGAAGAGTACTGACTCCGGATAATAGCTGACAGATGCAGGAACCCAAATCAGAGCAGATTACCAGAGTACATTCACATCGCGCAAGAGAATGAGGCCATCAGAATACTAGGAGCGTGATATGGCAATAACCTGACAGACGAGGTAGCATGGCCAGCCCAGCTAGAGAAAATTGACAAGGCCTTGAGCTGCTGGGAACAAAGTAATCCAACCATGGATGGGCGCAAGAAAATTGTACAAATGGTCATTGGAGGCATGACACAATACCTTGCGCAAGTGCAGGGCATGCCCAAGAACATAGAGAAGAGACTGAATAAACGAATACGGAAGTTCCTCTGGGCAGAAAAACAACAAAGTCCAATAAACTTCGAAACACTGCTGGCTAGCCGAGACGAAGGGGGACAAGAGGCCCTAGATCTGCAGGCAAGGAATCTGGCCATTGAAGTAATGTGGTTGAAATCGTACTTCAACCTAACAGATGATAGAGCAATCTGGGGGAAAATAGCAGATGCAATGCTAACCAGTAGTCGAGCTAGACCAGCAGCACAAGTGGAACAAAATGTTGACCAGAGAGTAAAGACGAACTTCTTTACACAATCATGGAATATCAAAAAAGGGGCGTTACCAGATTCGCTCCAACGCCTCCTCAAAACCGCGCAGACTTTTGGGTTGCGACTGGAAGGAAGAAATATATCAAAGGAGATTAGGCGGTCCAGACCAATATGGTACCATAATAATGCAGACTCACGAATCCGATTGCTGAATAACTCAAGGGCATCCGAGTGTCTGCGGTCCATGCATAACCTGCAGACAGTGGGACAAGCAGAAGACATGGCGAAGGACCTGGAAACACCGGAGCATATATCATGGAATGAATGCGAGTGCCGGAATTGCGTGAGAGCGGCAGAGGAGAATGGATGCCAGCACCCACACAACTGCTTCACCAGGGCCAAAGCACTCCTCGATACCCTTGAACCGAAATGGGACCCAAGGACCCCTAGCCAAGAGGAGGAAGACGTGGAACCAATCACAATAGAAGGATGGTGCAAAGTTGACACTCGAATGACAACATCCGGAAAGCTAAGCAATGCTATGAGAATCTTCACAGATGGGAGTGCTATTAAAATACCAGTTGAAGTAATCCAAAGGGGGACAACCCAGCCAGATGAGGTCGCAACCACCATCACCATTGCAGCAACAGAGGAGAGGCAAAGAGAGGAGGAAGCATCGAGTGCTGTAGGAGTGATTATTGATCAAAGACACCAGTCAGATGCACTGGAGTTTAAAACCCCCAGAAGGGTAGGCACAGACCGACAGGCGGCCGAGCTGTTTGGTATCCTGAAAGTGATTGAGTCAACCGACCAGAATCAGGCGATAAAAATTGAACTGGCATCAAAAGACACAGTGGATTTATTATCGAATAAAATACAAGACGTCGAAGACAAGGGATACTTGGGAATTAAGAATGCGGACATCATCAAGAAAGTGATGACAGGAGCACGAAAACGGAAGAGGAAAACCTTTATTCGGATAATAGACGAAGAAAACCAAGAAGCACAACGCAGGAGGCAAAAGGCACTAGAGAGCGCCAAGAGGGGCCTGAAAAAGGGTGAAGAGATGGGACCGGAAAATCAAGATGACCCTCGGTACCGCCAATCCGGGATGAAGTTAGCTTCTATGACACAATCTTTAGCCTACAAGATGATTAGGGCACAAAAAATGAAGAATTACCAAAGACAAAACAGAACGAACCTGAACCTAGCTAAAGCAAAGGCATCAATGAAAACAACACACCACAAAAACCCAACAGATAAAGAAATATGGAAAGGTATCAGGAGCAAGGACTTCTCCAGAGCAGTCCGATACTTCTTGATGATGACCACCCATGATGGGTACATGGTAGGATCAAACTGGGAAAGGCCCGGATACAAGCCTGAGCTGCAAGCCAGAGCCAGATGCCGTAAATGTCAGATAACAGAGACCATGGAACACATACTGACGGAATGCCAATGCACGGGCCAAGAGGTAATCTGGAACCAGGCAAAAATGCTATGGGAAATGAAAGGTTACCAATGGAAAAAGCTAGACCTAGGAGACATCCTCACCTGTGCCTTGCCTAGATTTAAGAAAAACCGGAATACTGTGGGAGACTCGAGATTCTACAGAATCCTAATATCGGAATCGGCCAGACTGATATGGATGATTCGAAACGACAGGGTTATAAATGAGAGAACGGATGAAGCTACAGATAAAGAAGTACAAAATAAGTGGGTCGAACTGATGAACAGACGGCTCACTCTAGACCGGGACATGATGCACCAAAAGTTTGAGAAAAAAGCACTTTCAACAAAACTGGTACTGTCCACCTGGAAATCGGTCCTTCTGAATGAGGAAACTATTGACGAGGATTGGACCAAGAAAAATAGCGAGGTTTTAGTGGGTATTGCGCCGGCTTGAGGGAATAGGAAGGACGGGTAATGGGAGAAGGAAGTTGAGAGAGGAGACGAAGAAGACGCCGAGCCCCGAGTCCCACACTAAGTGCGTAAAAGCATTTCCCCGCGGTGATAGAAGAGTCTACCAGATGACGTGCCTAGTGAAAGGCTCAACACAACGTTGTCTCTGCTAGGTTTAAACCCCTGGCATTTCCAGCAGGTGAGGGAAGCCGACCTTGTCATGCCGACCCGATCCATCAATGCTCCACCAAAAAAAAAAAAAAAAAAAAAGGTAGTTTCATTGTACACGATGTCTGAAATGATGTCAGTCAATATGTTATAGGTTTAACCCGAACGCAGTTACATTGAATGTGAATGCAATTACATTGAATGTGAATGCAATTACATTGAACATGAACGCACCTATTTGAATGCAATGAACTCGAATGCAAATCCGTCAGAACGCAAAATTATACTGTCCGCAATCAGCTGTAGTAGCCTGTAATCTATCTATGCTATGTCAGGACCCCGGAAGCTCCTACCAGACCCCATCCGAATTAGCGTACTTTAGGACCCAATTTTGCCATTTTCCTTGGCCGAAATTAGCGTACTTTAGGCCTCAGAAGGCTCAATCCCTGTCCGAGATAGCGTACTTTGGGTATCTATTGGCTGACTTGGTGGCCCAATGGACGTAAATGGAGCTCTGACACCGGAGTTTGGGCAAAGAAGCTCAGAAGAGCTCCGGATGCAGCGATAATAGTCAAAAAAACGTACAGAAAGATGATTCCAGGCTTGGGGAAGAAAATTCGGTATTTTGAGAGCAATTTTTACGATTTCACGTGACATTCCTTATCCGAATTAGCGTACTTGAGGCCTGCTTGAGGCCAAAATCGTAGCGTACTTGAGGCCGCCTGGGCGGGTGGGGTTTGGCAGGAGCTTCCGGGGTCCTGCTATGTCTCTCTCTATAAAAAGTGCATCTGCTCCCCAGATCCTTTCCTCATCCCAAATTATGTACATACATACACCTCTATCCAACCACACAAAAAGGTCCCATACCTCTATCCAACCACACAAAAACTCAAAAACACAAAAACACCAAAGGTCCCATACCTCTATCCAACCATACATACACAACATGCTTTTTACCTTGACCCTCCCTGACCACAAAACCAAAACCACTGTACTGTACTGTACTGTACTGTAAAACCCCAGCCACGGCTGCAGCACACAGCACACGGAGCAGTACACAGCACAAGGAGCGGCACACAGCACACGGAGCAGCACACAGCACAAGGAGCAACACACAGCACACGGAGCAACACACAGCACAAGGGATGTTTAAACACTATATACATACATATTCCTTTGCATACCATGTATGTAGTAATTAATATACATACTTTTTTGGAAATCTCAATATGATTGTGTATGTGTTTTGTAAGGAGTGTGTATGTATCTTGTAAGGAGTGTATGTAGTCCATGACAAGCTCAGGGTGAAGCACCCTTCTCATTCTACACACCTGCTCAAGCACCCTCCTTCGAGTGTTGTGCTCTCCTACTCCTTCTGCTCAACCCCCACACTGCCCGCAATCCTCCAAATCCTGCCTCCACTTGTCAAACTCGCTTTCCACAGCCTCACGCGTCCGTCTGAGCCAGAGGACGAGAGGATGGTCCTATATATATAGATAACCAATACACCGAATATCAGTAAACACATAAGCACATAAGCAGAAGATCAAAATAAACAGATGATCAGAAAACGTCGTAGTATGAGAGTTGGTCCACCCACCCAGTCACATTCCACTCCACCTTCCCCACCACACCCCCCTCCAACGCGCCAATCCGGGCGTGGTCGTCGAAATCGGCTACGAGCTGTCCAGACCACTTACCATTAGTGGCATCCCCCAAATCCCGGTCCTCTGCGTCATCCTCCTCGGAATCAACCATCGGGCCACTAACCTTCCAGATCCTCACATGGCCGTCTCTTCCACCTGTAGCGATCAAGTGATACGAACGACCGCACGACGGGGCCCACGCGACGGTGGTGATCACCGATGTCGTGGGGGTTGTGGTTGTGGTGGATGGAGGTGGGGGTTTTAGTTCGAGGATGGTTTGTGGGGAACGAGATGGTGAGAATTGTATAATCTAAAACAAAGTGAGAATTGAAGAGAGGAGAGAGAGGAGAAAGCACCTTTACAACATCACTCGCACCAGCAACAGCAGCCACGACCTGTCCCCAATACCTCTCCTTACACCACGACACCCCCCAGCCTCCTTCCACCTCTTTCCCCCCTGCCGCACCCTGCTGTTCCTCCCTCGCAACCTCCACAGCATCCGCCAACGCCCACACATCCAACTTTCCCAAATCCAAACACTCATACACCCTCACCCACCCATCCGCCGCCACCGTCGCCACCTTCAACCCAAACGCCTGCGGGGCAAACTCCACCTGCCTCACCCCCGCCCTCGCATCCAACAACACCGCCTTCTCCTCTCCCCTCTCCCAAATCCTCACAGTCCTATCCATCCCCGCACTCGCCAACACCTCTCCAAACTCCGGATGCGCCCAAGCGACACACGTAATCGGTGCACTATGCGCTCTCCATTCGTATTTCACCGTCGGCGACTGTGACTGCGACTGTTCAACGTTATTCACAGCAGTAACAACGATCTTCTGGTCCAACCCGCACGACGCGATGTTCGCGCCATAATAATCATAGGCGAGACAAGTAAGGAGGTCGCTGTGCGCGCTGGTGATCAACCCAGTTTGAATCATGGGGGGTCACAGGTGTGTCACATGTCACAAGATGCTTCGTCGATGGTTTATTCGATTTCCAGGTTTTGTTCGACGGTGAGTGACAACAACCAAAGTAGTAATTAAACTAATTGTTTTTTCTAGGTATTCAAATGAGGATATATTCGAGCCATATCAGGAATACACCTCTCCCCCTCCACCCCCTCCTCTCACCTCTCTCTCTACACTGCACAACCTGCTAAAAACACTCACCCCATCCACCTACCCCACCACGCGTACTCTCCTACTCGACCTTCTCTCGCCCTCAATCGCACTCCCCATCCCCCCATCCCCTCTCTTCCTCTCCGCCGCCCTCATGGCATTCCACCCCTCTCTCCCCCTCTCCACCCCCGCCCGAATCCACGATTTCACACTCTGGTTCACCTACTACCCCCCTCTCCACCCCGCTCCCCTCTCTCTCCTCCACACCCACCTCAAATCCAGGCCCCAAACCTCCCTCCCCTTCTACACCACCCTTTCCCTCCTCCTCGCTCGCAAAGGATACATCTCCTTCTCCAACACCCACCTCCTCCCTTCCATATCCAGATACTCCCCCTCCAATTTCCTAGAATTCTACCACACCTACGAATCATCCATCCACTCCTACTTCTCCACGCTCAAATCCCCCACCGGTCTCCGCAAAACCCTCTCCATCACACGCTCCATCGCTATCCGCTTCCTCGCCGAAGCCGGGCACCTCTCCGTCGCTGTTTCTCTGTTGTCTCCACAGTACGCCCTCCACCCCAAATCCCACTCCATCCTCCTCTCCCGTCTCCTCGCCGCCCCGCCATCCCCCACCCGGGATCTCCACATCGCCAAACTGCGGTCCCCAACGCGGGGAGTCCACACCAAGTGGAACTCACCCCGAAAGCAGAGCAATACCCCGAAAGAAACACTCACACTCCGCTACATCTCCCGCGCCCTTCTCTCGCCCGACCCGCGCAACTTTCCATCAACGAACGACCTGGTCTCCTTCTTCACTCTCTACATCTCTCTCCGTTCCCCACCCAGGTACCCTCTCCCCTTCTTTCCCCTTACTCCAATTAACTAACTCCCGCACAGCTCACGCAACGCAATAACGCTCCTCCACACACACACCCTCCGTCTCTCTCCCATCCCCCTCCGTGCAATCTCCCACCTCCTCTTCGCACACATGGTCCTCCTCTTCCGTCTCGGTACCCGCTCCCCCTCCCCAAGTATCCCCTCCCTCGGCCCAAGAGCGCTCCGTGCCCTCCTCGACCTCTTCCTCAAACACTTTCATATCCACGGAGTCTCTGTTCCTACTATGCTTCAATACACCAGCACCACCCCTACAGACGACTCTGACTCCTCCTCGTTCTACCTATCAACCCTCTCTTCCCTCCCCACACCCACCTCCCCATACCCCCTCCTCCCAAAACTCTTCCCCTCCCGGCTGCACATCTCTCTCATCTGGCAATCCCTCGCCCACCTCGCACCGTCCCACCACGCGCTCATCGAGCTCTACAACGAGCTCATCCACTACGCGAGTCCCCAACCCCAAGTCCATTCCCAAGTCCAGTCCCAACAAATCCCCTCCTCCAATCTCCAAACACCCAAATCATGGACCAGCCGCGGTCATCGTCTCCCCTCTACCCCTACCCCCTACCCACCTCTCCAATGGCATTCCCACGCTCACCCCTCACCCATAATCGCAGAATGTTTCACTCCGTTCATAATTAAACTTATGCACGCTTCGACTTATCCCACTTCCCCTTCCCTTTCCCCCTCTTCCCCTTCTCTCTCCACCCAGCACCCCAACACCCAGATCGGATCCCCAACCCCAACCCCACTCTCACTCTCAACCTCACTCCCATCCCCAACCTCGATCCTCCGCACGCTCCTCTCCCTCTCCCTCTCCCCCACCATCTACCACTACACCGAGATGGCCCGGTGGTGGGCCTGGCAGGGCCACGAGTCAAAGGTCTGGATCGTTCTTGATCGGTTGGAGAGTGAGGGTGGAGGCGTGGCCTTGGAACGTGGAGCTGGAGGTCAAGGTGGAGGTAATGGTGGAGGAGGAGGTGAGAGTAAAGGTGGAGGTAAAGGTGGAAGTGTAGAAGGTGGAGGTGGAGAAGGTCAAGGTAGGAGTGAGGGTACAATACACAAAGATCACCAAGTCCTCCAAGCTATAACATCCGAGGACAGCCAAAATCACCAAAACCATCAAAACCATGAAAACCGTGAGTCGTCGCCCTCTCCTCCCTCTCTCCCTATAAAAGAACTAACGTCTCGTATCTGCAGCTCCTCCTCCTCCTCCTCTCCCCCTTTCCCCAGCCCCGTCCCCATCCCTGTCCCCGTCCTCGAACCCAAACCCAAACCACACCCCCCTCCCACCACCCGACCTCCCATTCTACATCGCCCTCATGCGTGCATTCCTCTCTTCTCCGAACTACTCCTCCGCTTCCCCTCCTTCCTCTTCTCCCACCCCATCTCCTTCTTTCCCTTCTTCCCTTTCCCCTCTCTCCCCTCCGTCCCCTACCTCCTTATCCTCGTCTTCCCCTTTGTCTTCGTCTCTCCCCTCCCCCATCCCAACCCCCTCCCCCTCTCCAAACCTCCCACCCTACCCCCCCACCTCCCCCTACCCCGGCACCCTCCGCCGCCTCTCCGCCCTCTCCCGCCTCTGGACACACATGGAGCTGCGTTTCGGGCGCGCGTATCTCTTGGAGCAGCTCGGTATCAGTACTGGGAGTGGGGGTGGGAGTGGGATCGGGAGTGGGGGTGGAATCGGGGGTACTCGGGGTGCTCGGGGTGTTGGGGTTAGTCGTGTTAGTCGTGTGGTGGATGACGATGCTGTAGACGATACTGTAGACGACGACGACGATCATGGTGACGGCGACAGCAGCACCGACGCTCCCACTTCCACCCACACCCCCCACACCCCCAACCCCTACCTCTCAAAAGCCGTCTCAAACTGGCGCGCATTAGCCGGCGTACCCTCTCCCAGCATATCTCTCCACACATCTCCCAGCATATCTCCACGAGAACCCATACATAAAGCTTAAGGTTAAAAATTAGACTATATGAATCATAATCAATCCACTCGGATAAATCATTGTTCGTATGATAGATATCGAATTTCACTACATATTCCTTTATCTACATCCAGCCCATATAGGTAGATGAGAGTAGATGAGAGTAGATGCATACCAAACTCCTACGCCTACTAACCTAGATCCTTCCCTTCTCACAACATGCCAACACTTCTTTATGATACAAAGAATACCCCAACAAATATTCCGATATGGTGTAGTGGCTAACATTATCGCCTCTCATGCAAGGTCGGTATAGTTATGAGGCGCGATAGCCCGGGGTTCGATTCCCCGTGTCGGAAATGCTATTGTATGAATCAATGCGCTTTTTTTTGTGTGTTTTTTTTTTGGGTTCTCTCGCGCTACGTACCCTATGCTATATACTTTGCCATGCTATATACACATATATACACAGGATAACATCCTCCCACTCACCCCTATCTGCAAAACCTGTATTTTCAGCTAAGGGTCCAAAAGCAATTTTGAGCCATATTTCCCTCTCAACATTCAACCCTTAGCCAAATATCCATATTTTGCAGATGCTCCTGCCAGTGTCCTTATATTCTGTTTTGAGTATTGATCTTTTGTGATAGCCTGGGGTTGGATTGATTCCCTGGGGTTGGGTCGGAATATAATACATTTGGCTGGGGCTTGGCCCCGCGCTCCCACCTGTAGATGGAGAGGCCTGTACATCCCAGACAAAGCCATAGCTCCTTCTCAGGTCTCAACATTTATGGACAGGAGCTGGATCACCCAAATAGAGCAGAGGCTCGCAATGTATCCAAATTCTATTTCTATGTCATTACCAGTTACACATGCTTCAATGAATTTATTTGTTTTGCGGAATGAGTCAACTTTATCATGAAGGGTATTCCATTGCAATTTTTCATAGGCTTTCATTATGTGCTGTGGGATTATGCTTTCTAGTCTTCTCCAGTATAGTGTCAAGTCCATGCCACGGGCCTCCATTCCGCCGCTCGGTACTCCGAAGATCCACTCTTATTGTAATCTTACTCTTATTGTTCTTTCTCGCTACACATACCCTTTCGTTCTAGTCCTTCCTTATTGTCTTTTACTTTACCCTGCAGGTACTACTCGTATAGCTCCTAGTAGTTAGTCTGGCGCTCCGCACTGATGCGCCGATCCGTAGATATAAATACTGCCTGTACGCTACTGTAGTTCCTCAGTTTAATTATCAACTTAGATTTCCCTTCCCAACTTAACTCTTCTCTAAGTCTTCAGGCTCAACGCCTTGGAGTACTCTCTACTATAACCTTAGGACTTAGACGTTCTCTGGTTCGCTCCTCGTCACCGGCGATACCGCCGCTCCGACCTGGCTGCTTCTCAGTTCCTCTCTTCTCTACTCTCGATCTCCGGGGACTAACGGCGTAACGGCGGTGTTGTTAATAACTTCACTACTGTCCCACTTGTCTTCCGCACTTAGACACCTTGTAGCCTTGGCACGGTTACACGGTGTACATGATCTTAACATATAGTAGGAATGCCAGTGAGGTCCATCCCCCAGTGGCTGCTACAATTTCTGGGGGAACTCCTGCTAGAAGTAGCCAGACAGTGCCTCCGATTCTGAAACTGTGGCCAAAAACAATTTGGAGCGCAGCACAATTCCATATGTTGAAGCAAAATTCAAGAAATACTTTCTTCACCCTTTGCTGTGGTTTTCCGTTCTCATCGATGTAGCCAAATAGCGAGGAATCTTCTGGTATGTCTGCATTCTTTGCTAAGTGTCTTTGGAGGGCTTTCGATGGGCACATGAAATCCATGTTGTCACCCAGGGGGCTGGTGGCAACCACAGAGGCACCTTCTTCTTTTGTAGTCTTTGTCCATGGGATGTGGAAGTGGATTCAAGTGGGTTTGGAATTGAAAGTGATATTATTGGCATTTCAGGTGACATAGAATTTTGGATTGAAAGCATTTTGCAATGGGATGGTTAGTTCCCCCAATCGTTGGCATGCAAGGAATGCAGTGAAGGCAAGAGCCCAGACAGCGCAGTGGAAGTGGGTGGAGAAATTGAGTGCTTTGTACAAGGCTTTCATATGTTCAATGGTGATGGGGTGTCGTGGAGGTCGTTTGTGGAGTGATCCTTTGATGTTTGCTCCCTGTCGAGCTTGTTGAATTCTGCATGAGTCTACTGGCCAAGGAGCTCCCATCATCTCATGCCAAAGTCTGAGGCCGGATAACCAATTTGAGATAGATTTTCCCAATACTTTCTGTCATGCCCTGACCAGCCTACCCTACCCCTACCCGACCTTAAAGAACCCCCCTCATTGTTCTAGCTCCTCATGGGACTGCCTCATTCACCGCGGGACCTCCCGGGTACCTCCCCCATAAGCATCCCCGCCTCAACCCAGTCTCGACAATGCACCCCAGATTCCCATGATACAATTATACTCATACTTAAACTCCTTCCATAGAACCCATCCGCCGCAACAACCCCCATTAGTCCCTGATCTCGATCATTTACCTCACACATACTAGATTCCCCAATGCTCCCTTGTTAATTTCTCCGTACCTATTTAAACAGTCCCCCGTATAGTCCGAGAGCCCAGCTTGGTATATTTTGAACACACACCCTTTTGCATAGGTCCAGTCCCTGTCCCTTTGTACCTGCTAACTACACGGATTTCTCTTACTCTCAGTTTCTCTATCTCTGTCTCTCTTCTCTTGTCTTTGTCTCTACAATTGTCTATACAATCCAATATATGCTTTTACTTCACGTCTAAGCAATCCGAGTGAGTTCCCGAGCTGTAAGACCTGGGTCAGAATAGGTCTTAGGGTAGATTTTGGTATATGGAGTTTATGTTGTAGCATGCTAGGAGCAGGCTGGAGCTCAAAGGGAGCTACGGGAACTGTGACCAAGGACAGGAATGATCTAGTAGTGGATGGGATAGAGAGATGTGACCCTTGAGGAGGTTTCTATAAGGTCCAGAGAGGTCCCTAAAGCATAGGTAGGGGAGGTAGAAGTACGGAACCTAGTAGTGTTGCATAGTAGGAGTTGTACTCGCTAAAATGTCAATGTAGGATTGAATAGGTCGTAGTGGAAGTGGGTCTTGAGTGTATAAGCTCCTGAGAAGATATACGCCCAGGAGGGGAGGTCCCGGAAACTGGGGCTTGGAGGTGGATGTCCTCGAGTGTTGGAGGCTGTTGTCATAAAGTACGCAGCCCCTATCATTTTCCTTTTCTCACCGTCTCGACGCCTTTACTTGTATGATACATCATCCCATCACTGTCAAACCCCCATCGATTACTGATCCACCTGACCCATCTTCTCCTTCTACTGGCTTCCGCCACCTTCCTTGTTCCTAAACTGTACAGTATTACATCGTTGTTTCTCGCAGACCGGATTATGTATATATAGCCAACCCTCCACAGCCTGGTCCCTTATCTTGACCTCTCTGTCATTATCTGGGACCAGGTATGTGCTTACTTATTATTACCTATGACTACGATACTCAATATATCTCTGTCATTATCTGGGACCAGCCTGCCGCCGTTCTGCTTAGTCGCTCCGCCTTGTTGCCTTGTCCAGTTGCTCCGCCTCACCGTTCTGCTTAGTCGCTCCGCTTTCCCGCTCCGTTAGTCACTCCGCCTCTGCCGCTTCGTGACAGCTGTAACGGAGAAGCGGCACGTAGTTCGACGTAGGGGGTAGCTTCAACGTTACCTAGATCGAGGTCCCAGAGCTTGTGAAGCAATTGGGGAGGTTAGCTCACCATGGCATTAGGCATTGGGGAGCTTTAGTATTGTTCGAGGGAGCTCAGAGACTCACTCGGATTGCTTAGACATGAAGTAAAAGCGTATATTGGATCATATAGATGATCGTGGAGACAAGAGACAAGAGTAGAGAGAAACTGATATAGAGAAACAGAGAGTAAAGAGAAATCTGTATGGTTAGCAGGTACAAAGGGACAGGGACTGGACCTATGCAAAAGGGTGTGTGTTCAAAATATACCAAGCTGGGGCTTGGGGATGTTGCGGAACTACTTAAATAGGTATGGGAAGTGAGCAAGGGAACATCAGGGAGTCTAGGGGACATGAGGCAGATAATCAAGAGAGGCAGGTGATCAAGATTAGTACTTAATGGGGCTGGTGGTAGGAGGGTTCCATACGCGTGTCGGGATGGTTGTCAGGATGTTTGGGTCACATCAGGGAAGTGGTGGTACTGTCTTGGGGAGGTGCGTACTGCCTCGGGGATGTCTTGGGGAGGTGCAAAGATAGGTCGGGAATGTGAAAACGTGTGGCTGGTGCTGGGGCTGGTCTGGTTGCGGTCAGGATATGACACAAGCTCCCTTGAACAATACTAAAGCTCCCCAATGCCTACCGCCTTGGTGAGCCAACCTTCCCAAAACCTCCTTGAGCTCCCCAACTGCTCCACAAGCTCTGGGACCTCGATCTAGGTAATGTCAAAGCTACCCCTTACATCGAACTACATATCGCTTCTCTGTTACTACCTCCATCACTCGAGGACGTCTGCCACTAACCCCCACTTCCCGGGACCTCCTTCCCGGGCTCACACCTTATCGGGAGCTCACATATCTGAGACCTCCATCAACTTTCATGAATGGATTCGACTCTAACCAGAGGTGCTTTGTGTCCTTGGAATTCATCGCAGAATTGGCAGACACAGTTCAGGTATTTGAGTCGTTTCTCATTTTGTAGGCTGACTTGTTTCAGAGGTAGGTTCCAGTGAAAGCCTGTGTACGTGGTTTTGAAAGTGAATTCCACATCTCCTTTGATGTTGGCTGGTTGGAAAGGGACGTTGAGTGGAGCGATGGATTCTAGCATGCTGGCACAGTCATAATCGTAATAGCCAGTGCCGTTGGGTAAGCAGATAGCAAGGAAATCATCTTCGTATTTCAAAATGGGTCCAATTCCCTTTTCCCACCATATGTCAATGACTGCCCCTGATACCATTCCTGCACTACTGCTTGCTGATGCTGCACTGAAGCAGTAGCAGTGGTCTGCCCAGAAACCGCCATCGGGGTCTTGTGCTACCAGGAACGGTTTGTGGTGCGGGATGAGTGGTATCGTTCTATGGAATTTTGCAATGTCTATTGTGCATGCCTGTGTGCCTGGTGGTGCTAGTGAAATCTGTAATATATAATTCTTGGAATCACAATTACATTTTGTAAGGAATAAGTGTTGCAAAGACATGGAATATATGGAATGTATAGAGTGGATTTTTTAATGTGATATTAGAATGCATATTGGAATTAGGTAGGGAAATGTTGGGCAAAGGATGGAGGGGAGAGTTGGACTTACCAGTTCTGCAACTTTAGATGCCGTGTCGAACGATGTCGGGAATAACTCTTTGGCAATAAAGGAATTGACCAATAGGAATCAGTTGCCTTCTGTGTCTTTGCCTTCTTTAGATAGGTGTTGGCATACTCGGAATTTGGTTGGTATACCTGGGGCCTGTACCTGTTTGGCGACGATTAAAGGAGATGACACGATAGGGCCATGCATAATAGATTTGATTTCCTTTTGCAAGAAAGGACCTGACATTTGGCCTTTGAGCTTCTCATCTGCGAGGTAGTCTTTGACTACCTGAGGGAATTTGGCAACTGATGCGTTGACACGCCTAAATTTTGGCTAGACGTCTATGCTGTGAATTGGGACATTTTCACATATAGATTTGTATCAAGAGGACTGTAATTGAGACCCAGATTGACAGTCAAAGTCAATACTGAATCAGTCTAATAAGTTGAAGGGACCATATACCCATACTACCACAAGTTGGTCAGTTTACCCATCCCCGATACTACCTACGGATAGCAGTCTACCTGTTCGTCAAGCAGGATTATACCAGACTCGGACTACATCCGAAGGATGACCATTCACGTATGACATACCAAGGGTATTCTTATTGGACCTTACACTGGCAAAAGTTTGGAAGAACTTACTCAAGTGACCATGAACTGAGGATTGACTCGAAATGACTTTCTAGAACTCAGGAATTATCAAATACTCCTTCTAGAACGAGATCATGCATTAATCTAAAAGACTGCGGTTTAGTCTAATAGACCAATCGAGTTGCATGGTTGAGGAAAATGACTAGAAGAACGATCGAAGTACTGCGAGGCTCCGAAGGCATATCAAATGAATGTCAAAGAGTCCTGACGTAGAAAATATTGAAGAATGCAATTAAATGAATACTATGCGTAACTCCCTTGATTGAGTGTAGGCACAATGGGTGTCTATGGAAAGAGAGAAGCAATTAGTTTAATCCAAATGAATCAGATTGATAGGATTAGAATCGAGGAGAGCTGATTTGCCTCCGGACAAGGTGACAAATGATCAAAGTAAGTGTTGAACAGCAATGACAGTTGAACACCATTCGAGTCATCCTCCAAAAACAATTAAATTAAATGAATATTGAAGTACCTACCTATGTTTGGAGGTATACTAGAATCTTGGAACCAATATGGACCAAATAAGGACATGTAGATTCAAATTAAATGGTATCTGACTGAGTGTAGAAGTTTCCTTGCGGTTCCGAACGTTTATTGTATTAAATTAATTGTACTATGCGACTCTATATTCTGTATGTATAAATAGCAATCCGATGTATCTGGAATACAAGTGATTTTGGGACGACGTTGCAGTGCTAATCCGTAAAAAGGAAAGACACACTCCCGCCAGACTGAAACCTCTTCGCTAGCAGCCATTTGGGCCCGGCACTTGTGAGTATAGGAACGTCGTGTTCTGCTCCTTGTGACTGCGAGAAGTCTATCCAGTTGTTGGGTATTCTTCGAACTTAGGATCAGTCGTTGGTCTTAAGGGCAAATCACGCTGTGTGGTTGTGCCAGCACATAGTTCTAGCCCTCCGTAGGGGTCTGTGTGTTTCGGTTTTAATTTACTTTGATTCAAACCCCCAATTCTTGATATACCCAAATCAATACAAACCACAGCACAAATCGTGCTAAATCTACCTTGATCAAAGGAATATATCGAATCCTTAGAACGATTCAAATTGATTGATCAAAGCTTCTTACTTAGCTCTCAAAGCTTTGCGGAACCTTTGCCAACGCTACCCCTTGCTATTAAATAAATTTGATAGCAGTGAACTCGCATATTGTGTATTAGATTGGTTGGTTGGAGTGCCCATTAGATTCCTTCCTTTCTCTTTCACACAAAAACGAGGCAAGCTCGTTAGCGTGATTTGGGATGATGATTGATTTTGTGAGCTGGGGCATTTCTCCCAGTGGAGCGCTGTTTCGGAGGATATTTACAAGGAGTGGGTGTTGATCAAGGAGATTGTATGTTTTGAGTTCATGTTCAAAGGTGTTAGCATTGTATGGGGTGATAATTTGTTTGTATAGTCCGACGTGTTCTGCTGAGGTGTCCGGTGGTGCTTGGCGTGTGATGATTGAGTCTGCGAAGTCGTGGAATATGAGAGGGGGTGAGGTGAGGGATTCCCTGAGGTTTTCTTTAGGCAATGGGAGGTTGGGCAGTGAATTCCCATTTGAATGCATAGTGTGAAGTGCAGCAGTGCTCCTTGTCGCAGCCTCTGCATTGCCCTTGAAGGTTCTAGTACCAGCAGATAGTCTTACCTCCAGGCATGCTAATGAGGCCTTTGACGTTTCAAGCCTAGCAGAAAGGTCTGTTTTTTGTATCATCCTGTCCATCAAGCTTGTGACCACAGGCGGCGCATCTGAGGCAACAAGGTGCTGCAGTTCTCTCCTTGTTGCCTGTTGGAAAGGGCTTTTGGCTTGTTGAGGATGAGGTTGTTTTGGAAGATGGAGTCTGGATTGGAGGAGGGGCAGAGGAGGTCACTGTGTACTTGGCATCTGAAATGTATTCAGCACGGACAAGTGTCCATTCATGTTCATACATGTTGCTGTCGAAGGCATAGAGTTTTGACTGATGTTCTTTTCGGAGTTTGATTTCCACCTTGAGCCAGTAGGCAAAAAAATCCTCTGAGTCTTGTTGGTTTAGGAAAAATGTGAAGTGTTCGATGTAGAACAGGGCTCAGGGAGCCTCCTTTCCCAGCTCTTTGTCTCTCAAACATTTGAACTGATAGAAATTCTTCACTGCCTGACTCCACTGGATGAAGTCAAGGTCCACGTTGTGGAATATACCACCTGCCTCTTTGACCCACTTGGCCATTTCCTTGAGGTTGAGAACGTGCGGTTTACCCTCAAGGTGAGAGATTTTGGCTCGTTTTAGCTTGGGCATGTGCGTGGTGATCAGGTCAAGATTTTTGTTTGTGAAGAGGAAGAGGGGGAATGTAGGGAACATGTCAATTGTGTTGAAAAGGAGAGTGTCGAAGGTTGTCATACATGGACCAGCAGTTTGTGGTACTAAAATGACCTTTCCTAACTTTTGTTTCTTTCTTGCTCCTTCTTCTGTCTCTTCTTCTCTGTCTCTCATTCTATCTCCTTCTTCCTCTTCATTCCTTTGTCTGAAGAAGTCTAGTGTTTCCATGGTGAGGAATTCTTTCAGTCTCTCGAAGATTGTCTGGTCCTTTCTGATATTCTCAAGAGATATTGGGTCAATGGTTACAAAGGAGGCTATGTCCGAGGTGTCGTCCGTGCAGTTCCCTAGCTGAAATTTGAGACTCTTTTCCCGCCGCTTGCGGTTTTCTTTGTCGATCTTAAAGTTCAGTTTTAATTTTAAACCAATGTCCATTTTTTTGAATAGGGCTGAGATTTCGTCGGTTCTATGCATCTTGTGCGCTCTGTTTTCACAAGATAAAGACGGGTAGGTTTGGAATCCTTTCATTGTGTTGAATTTACGAAGATGTAGCTTGATATGCGCGAGGCGATGAGAGACGGAAATAGAAAATGTTGAGCGCTTAATGCGCGCTAAGCGTCTCTCATTCGCCGGCCTTATCTTATCCTAAGATGAGCGCCTTCGTATGCTCATCGCGGACCTTTCCCTCCGACACAATAACAGGTGCACTCGAACACATTGAAAAAACATTGAAAACATTCAATATCATATTGTCTAGTCATCAGACTGCGACCTCCGGATTTTATGTTTCCACCATCCATGCTGCTTCCAAAGCTTCTTTAATACATAAAAATACTCTCATGACCCTACATAGAACATACTTTCGAAGCCAGCCAAGCAATGCTAACACCACCCCTTCGCAACACAATCACCTTCTTCCCTTCCCTTCCCTTCCCTTCCCCAAATTCCAATGTTCTCTCCCTTCCTCGTATACCTCACTTTCCTCACTCTACAAGCTCAATGTACCCAAGGCTCAATTCTACAATCCCAAGCAGACCTAAAGAGCTACTATGACTTCATCATCGTCGGAGGTAAGAAAAGAACGAAAGCGCTTTCATTTATTTCCTCCAGTTTCACCCCATGCCTCGTCTTACTTACACCCCCTCTGCTCAGCCGGTCCAGGAGGAAGTGCAGTATCAAATAGACTCACAGAGGACCCCAATGTATCTGTTCTCATACTCGAAGCAGGTGGAGCGTAAGCCCATTCCCATTCCCAACATCCACCATTTATCCCCCTCTATACCATCTCAAATGTTCCTACTACTAACACCTGCCCATCTCCAGCAACAACGACAGCCTAACCATCGACGTCCCTCTCCTCTGCACCAAACTAACCCCAAACACCCAATGGGACTGGAACTACACCACAACGCCCCAACCCAACTTGAATAATCGCGTCTTGCCTTTTCCGAGAGGTATAGGTTTGGGTGGGACGAGCGCAGTTAGTAAGTATGTTGTCGTAGTAAAAAAATCGTGTTCTCTTTCCCTCCCACCTCATTCCCGGTTCCCGTTTCCCGTTTCCCTATGTTATCAATATCCTTATAACCCCGCCCCGACGACGATTTCCCGATATTCCCTAGTATCCCCGATTTTTTACCTTCCCTGACGCTATTTCCTTCTCCGAGTCTTCTTCACTCACAATAATATCATCTATACAAGACTGCCTCGTCTACACCCGAGGATCAAAACAAAACATCGACAAATGGGCTTCACTCACGAACGATTCAAGCTGGGGATGGGATCGGATGTTTCCGTATTTCAAAAAAGTTTGTTCTTCTGATTTTTGCAACTTTCTATCCTTCCTCAAACTAAACCCCCCTCTCTTCTGCCTCTACATACTCCAGAGTGAAAAATTCAACCTCCCCGTCGACGGACATAACATCACCAACCAATTCGACCCTTCATTCCACGGTTTCGATGGGTACATTGGCGTCAGCGTTCCAGGAGCTGGACGTGCCATCGATAGTAGAGTCATCCAGACTACCCAAGAGCTTCCGGATGAATTCCCGTTCACCACCGATGTGAATACTGGTGATCAGTTGGGTGTGGGTATGTAATAACTTGAACTCGAAACAAATTGCGAACTCGCACTCACTTTCTCACCTTACCGGGTCCCCCTCCTATCACATCAAAAAAACTTGAAGGCTGGGTCCAAGCCCTTATAGACCGAGGTGTCCGTTCAAGCTCTGCGTCCTACTTTACACCCCAGGTGCTAGCTCGAGGGAACCTTGATATCTTACTCAATACCAGGGTATCGAGAATCCTACCATCGTCAAACAACTCCTTCAACGTGATAGAATATCTCGACTCTGTCTCCGGTGCGGTGTTTTGAGCTCATATCATATCTAGATGCAATTGAAATTCTTTTTCTTTCATTATCTATATGTAGGCACCCTCAAAAACCTCACCGCATCCAAAGAAGTCATCCTCTCCGCCGGCACAATCGGCACCCCCAGCATCCTCCTCCATTCCGGAATCGGCAACGCCACAACCCTCACCTCCCTAGGAATCACCCCCCTCATCAACCTCCCCTCCGTCGGTCAAAACCTCACAGACCACATCGGTGTCTCCTCCACATGGCTCGTCAACTCCACCCTCACATACGACACCGTCCTGCGCAACGCGACTCTAGGCGAAACCCTCCTGCGACAATGGGAGGACTCAAAAACCGGGATCAACGTCGATACGTCCGAAAACCATCTAGCGTTTCTTCGACTTCCGGAGAACTCGAGTGTGCTGCGAACATTTGGAGATCCGGCAGCGGGGAATGAGACGGCGCATTTTGAGTTTTTGTTCCAAGTAGGCGTTTGTGTCCCTTTATACATACCACTTTCTAGGTTTCTCACTAGATCGCAAACCTTCCTCTTCATAGAACGGTCTGAGTCAAATAACAGCTTCCGGGAATTACCTGAACATCCCATCAGGGAACGTATCCCCAAGATCATGTCAGTCCAAGAGTTCAAAATCCACACCCTCCAACCCATACTCATATAACTCCATAGCCGGCTCCGTGACCATAAACTCCACCAACCCCTTCGACGCACCTCTCATCGATCCCGGCCTTCTCTCAGCCGAAGTCGACATCCACATCCTGCGCGAAGCCATACGCACTGCCCACAAATTCGTCGAAGCCGCCGCATGGTCCGACTACATCCTCCAAGACCTCACAAACGCGACCACAGACGCCGAGATCGACGAATTCATCCGCAACAACGCAGTCAGCTTCTTCCATCCAGTATCCACATCCGCCATGTCCCCTTTCGGCACCACAGATTGGGGTGTGGTGGATCCTGATTTGAGAGTGAAGGGCGTAAACGGGCTGAGAATCGTTGATGCTAGTGTTGCGGTGTGTGGTCAATGTTATCCGGATATTTTTGACTGCTCATGCAATTTATATTCCAACAGCCCAGTTTGCCTGCAGCACATACTTCGGCGGCTGTCTACGCTATTGCAGAACATGCTGCCGATATTATCAAGTCTGCGTATGGGTTTTTGTGAGAGACTCAGGAGTTGGACTGAAGAATAAATAGTTCTATGCAGTACCAATTGCTAGAACTTTATAAATGGTTTACCTGCTATTACTCGTCCAGCGATACGAGGGCTTTAAATGTAGAGCCCGAACATAGATCGCGCCTGTTTAAGATAAGTGTAACAATACTGTACAGTCGTGAAGGAGGGTCCAAAGTTTATACAAAATACGGCATATTCTATATGCAAAAAACAGGTGTCGGTCAATGGAATATCATATCATATCTTTCATATTGACTCACCATTCTCCTCGTCTGCATGCCTTTATCCCTCGCATTCTCTTCCGCAGGGCCATAAACCTCAAATGTCCTCTCGCCAGACTCATGCACCGTCATAATTGACGCCAGATTTCCGCACCGATAACAGTAATTTGGCGCGCTCCATACAGTTACTAACTGTTCGTCAAACATATACTTGAACCCCTCCTGGACGAGCTGATGCGCCCGAGCGATAAGCGAAAGTCCATTGACGTGGTTGAACTAGATAGAAGGAAAACAAGTCAGCCCAGGCCATGCTCAAACAACCCCGGGCTACCACACCTCTCTAGTCACCCCTCCACCGAACAACCAACCCGCACCTCTAGGACTAACCGCCCAATTCTCCATCAACTCTTCCGGATCGCTCCACATCAAATCGCAAAACGGTCCTTCATGAGGAATCTCCTGCGCCCGACTCAACACTCTAATTTGATCTAGGGTTCTAATATCCGGGCTGAGTCCTCCATGCACGCAAAGCGTTGTCCCATCAATAATGGCAGCCAGGTTCAGGTAGTCGAAAACACTACAACATGCTTTCCAGACCGTCGCTGAACCGTATTTCTGTTGACACTCGTCGTAAAATCCGTACACCTGCGTTATCTGCCGCGATTCGTGGTTTCCTCTAAGTAGAGTCACCTTATCCGGCCAATTGGCCTTGAGAACGAGGAGCATCGAGACGGTTTCCAACGAATAATGTCCTCTATCCACGAAATCACCCTGTACAGAGACAGATAATTCGCAATTGTAGCCTTGTCATTCCATTTAAGAGTAGGATACCTACTTGCCATGAAAATATAACTTGTCTCCGGAACGTCTCCTCCTTTTCTAAGCAACTCCAACAAATCCCAAAATTGACCATGGATATCCCCACAGATCGTGACCGGACTGCATACTGGTCGGATTGTCGATTCTTCCATCAGCAGGCTCCGGACTCTATCGCACAGCGTTTTCATTGATTCCTCCGGCAAGTGCTGGCATTGTCGTAGTTGTTCTATCCATTTCTCGGGGTTGAATGGGGCCATTAGGCGGAGGGAGGAGTAAAGAAAGATATACTTAGGCGCCCAAGGTTGTTTGGCGTTGACGAGAAAAACAAACAACGCACTTTCCGAAATTTCTGACACTGTAACAGTGACTACATTAAGAGGGTACTTTCTTCACCCTTTCCTCCATGCCTCTCGCCCGGCCTACGCGCTTCGGTAAACCGCCCCCAATCCGTAAACGTCTCCCAGCAGACACACGTCGGAAACTTCCTCGACCTCCAGTAAACCTCCGTGTGCGCGAATATGCACCATGTCGACTATCCGACCACTACCATACCACCCTCTCCGATAACCTCATGTACATGAACTACTCCCACACCCTCCAATCCGACCTTCCACCAAAACCACCACGTGAAATACGTCTCCGGTGGGACCCATCCAATCCTTACGCCAAATACCGCAAAAACGACCCAGTCGGTGGAACTCAGTGGTCCAAAATCCCTCCAGAACCAAGCACACCAGCGAACATCACCCGTCTTGAGGCTGTTCAAATCCACATCATGTCCAAAGATGCTCTGACATCCCGGTCCAACCTCCTTGGTGTCATCGCAGCCCTCCGCGCCCTCAGCGGTGAAACCGAAGCCGGAGGCGGGGCCTTAGCCAAAGGCGTGAAAGGTGTCGAAATTGTCCTCGGTAAAAAGCAAGTTGGTGGGTGGATCCGCGCGGGTATGCCTGCTGGTGCCAAAGTCACTCTCAAAGGCTCCGCTATGTACGACCTCATCGCGACTCTCACCGAATTCGTTTTACCGCGTTTGCGTGAATTCCACGGTATCCCGATGCCTGCTGCAGTGAGCAGCCACACGTCATATCTTCCTGCGTCGAGTAACGCTGTCAAGGCAAGCGATGTTGCGGGTGTTGTGAGCTTCGGGTTACCAGCACCTGCGATGGGTTTCTGGCCCCAGATCGAGGTGAACCAAGACGCGTATCCGAAAATGTATGGTATGCATATTCACTTCATCACTAATGCTGTTGGAGTGGGTGCACAGGAGAGGGCAAGGGCTTTAGTTAGTGGGTTTCAAATTCCATTTGTGAGGAAGAGTTCATAGGAGCTATACCGACATATCACATATGAATATATTTCACTGAGCTGCATTGATGTTGGATATGCATTTATTATAAATGTGACAGTATATATCACCTTGCTTGCAAGGTCTATTGCACTCCGGAATTTAGATTATTTTGTGCAGGCACATGTTGGTCATGTTTAGGTCTGTTTATTTTGGTTCAAAATTGCCAAACACCACTAATCTCTCTCTCATTATTTATTTCCAGTCTTATACAACTTTATAGCTTCTACTTCACCCCTGGCCACATTATTTTTCCTCTTCTATGTATCATATCTATTGCTCGAATGTATTTTCTCATGTGTTCCTCCTACCAGTCCTCCCAAAATGATTATGTCCATTTCCACTCTCACTTGCATTAGCCACATGGGATTGCAGGCCACTGCACTGTGTGCATGGCATAAACTCAGCTGGTTTTCTAAAATAACATTACATATTGAATGTATTACATTTGGGCACCCTTTGGGTGCCAACTACTAACATGACAACAAAGATGCACAATTGCATCAAAGGGTATTGCAGCTACCTCTGAGATAATTTTGCTACACCAGCAATTATGAGGCTGGAGTTCACGGAAGTGACTTCCCATAAGGATTATTGGACAGTAATTATTTCTAATTATTTCTAATGTCCTAAGCAAACTAGTCCGATCAACAGATTTTGAGCAGAACTCAAGCAGAACCATCTACAGAAGGGTCCGGACCCCTCCCTAGAGGGTTTTGCACTTGCTTACTGGGATAAGTGAACAGCGCATCAACTGTCTGTCTGTTGCATCAGACCAGTTCAAAAATTATTTACTCAGATTATTGGGCAAAGGTTGACAGGAATCCATCCAGTATCATCCTTATTGTTAGAATAAATTAAACTCAGTTGTTACTGTAGCAACTGAGGTGAGTTGGTGCCACCGACTGTGTGATCTATCTAAACTGTATAGTATCAGGTAATAGCGCCGTCTCATGGTTATATGGTCCCTGAGAGGCTGTCAGTATGTACAGAGTACTTTCCCAACACTTATATATGGCACTCCATGCAAAACCAATTTCCTTTTATGGTGGGAATTTCTCCTTATTTGAACAAAAGTAACACTGAGTTGAATTGTATTATTTCTTGTGACTGGCATGGGATATCATGGAACTGTGACTCTGTCACACTTATTTTCTCACTCAGTTACTCCCTGTTACTCCATCGAATAGTTTATGTAGATTTGCTTTTATTTTGCCTTTCTCAAAAGAATTCACTATCAGCACCTGGAAGGCACCAAGAAAGGAGCCAGGTTTTTGCCACGCACAGTGGTGCAGTGTCCTTGTCAAGACCATGCCTCAGCAGCTCTAGTGCTCAGTACTCCAAAATCTATCATTTATTGTTATCCTTCTTATTGTCCTTTCTCGCTACACATTCCCTTTCTCCCTAGTTTATTTTTATTGTCTTATTCTCTACCATGAAGACACTAAGTGTACAACCCCTAGTAGCTAGTCTAGCTCTCTGCCCCAATACACCAATTAGCTGGTATAAATACTCCTGTACCATACTCTAGTTCTTCAGTTTAATTATTATCTTAGATCAATACTCTCTGTCCTCTGAAGTCTTAAGACTCCCTTGAGCACTCTCAACTTCAATCTTAAGACTTATAGTCCTCTGGTCTGCTCTTCATCATCAGCATTAACGAGCTTGCCTTGTTTTTGTGTGAAAGAGAAAGGAAGGAATCTAATGAGCACTCCAACCAACCAATCTAATATACAATATGCGAGTTCACTGCTATCAAATTTATTTAATAGCAAGGGGTAGCATTGGCAAAGGTTCCGCAAAGCTTTGAGAGCTAAGTAAGAAGCTTCGATCAATCAATTTGAATTGTTCTAAGGATTCGGTATATTCCTTTGATTAAGGTAGATTCAGCATGATTTGTGCTTTGATTGTATTGATATGGGTATATCAAGAATTGGGGTTTTGAATCAAAGTAAATTAAAACCGAAACACACAGACCTCTACAGAGGGCTAGAACTATGTGCTGGCACAACCACACAGCGTGATTTGCCCTTAAGACCAACAACTGATCCTAAGTTCGAAGAATACCCAACAACTGGATATACTTCTCGCAGTCACAAGGAGCAGAACACAACGTTCCTATACTCACAAGTGCCGGGCCCGAATGGCTGCTAGCAAAGAGGTTTCAGTCTGGCAGGAGTGTGTCTTTCCTTTTTACGGATTAGCACTGCAACGTCATCCCAAAATCACTTGTATTCCAGATACATCGGATTGCTATTTATACATACAGAATATAAAGCCGCACAGTACAATTAATTTAATACAATAAATGTTCGGAACCGCAAGGAAACTTCTACACTCAGTCAGATACCATTTAATTTGAATCTACATGTCCTTATTTGGTCCATATTGGTTCCAAGATTCTAGTATACCTCCAAACATAGGTAGGTACTTCAATATTCATTTAATTTAATTGTTTTTGGAGGATGACTCGAATGGTGTTCAACTGTCATTGCTGTTCAACACTTACTTCGATCGTTTGTCACCTCGTCCGGAGGCAAATCAGCTCTCCTCGATTCTAATCCTATCAATCTGATTCATCTGGATTAAACTAATTGCTTCTCTCTTTCAATAGACACCCATTGTGCCTATACTCTATCAAGGGAGTTACACATAGTATTCATTTAATTGTATTCTTCAATATTTTCTACGTCAGGACTCTTTGACATTCATTTGATATGCCTTCGGAGCCTCGCAGTACTTCGATCGTTCTTCTAGTCATTTTACTCAACCATGCAACTTGATTGGTCTATTAGACTAAATCGCAGTCTTTTAGATTAATGCATGATCTCGTTCTAGAAGGAGTATTTGATAATTCCTGAGTTCTAGAAAGTCATTTCGAGTCAATCCTCGGTTCATGGTCACTTGAGTAAGTTCTTCCAAACTCCTGCCAGTGTAAGGTCCAATAAGAATACCCTTGGTATGTCATACGTGAATGGTCATCCTTCAGATGTAGTCCGAGTCTGGTATAATCCTGCTTGACGAACAGGTAGACTGCTATCCGTAGGTAGTATCGGGGATGGGTATATGGTCCCTTCAACTTATTAGACTGATTCAGTATTGACTTTGACTGTCAATCTGGGTCTCAATTACAGTCCTCTTGATATGAATCTATACGTGAAAATGTCACAATTCACAGCATAGACGTCTAGCCAAAATTTAGGCGTGACAGTGTCACTGCTGCTCCTCATTCCTCTTGTCTCTCATCCCTACACTCTTGCTCCAAGGACTAACGGCAAGACAGTGGTGTTGTTAATAATTTCACTACTGTCCCATTCAACCCTCTGTGCTTAAACACTGAATGGCCCTTGGCATGGCTTTCCAGTGTATATGATCTTAACAGGCCTGCAATTGGAAGAAAGAATTTAAGAAAAGTTACACAAGCCACTATATCACATGCATTAAACCACCTGATGTCACTGTTCAAATAAATTGGATTTCATCTTGCTGTGACTATTGACCTATATATGGTGAAATCTCACATAAGCAAGAAATGGCCTCCATTCATATGGACAAGTCTTCCATAAATTACAGCTAAATGCATATATCTAGTCAGAAATATGTATTCTATTTTAAAGTTTTACTCTTCATGCAGGTACACCTGCACACTCCAGTCTATGCACTGCACCCTTTTTCCTCCAGCTTGTCTTTCTGAATTGACATTGAGGTGCATCTTCTACATTATCAGTGTTTAGCTTTCTCACTTCTCTGCATGATACTCACTGTTCCTACTCCTCCGTAGGAACTCCAAAGCATATTAATCATTTTATCCATGCTAATTCTCCATACCCCTCTGCTGCCACCCACCTCCATCTCATTATTCATGTACCCTCTGTGGCCACCCAAAATTGTATTGTCTTGCTGTTGGCGCATACTCTGTACATACATACAAGAAGACAAGCTATGACTACACCGACCATCCATACACATATACGCTGTGCTTACCATATAACTATACAGTACCACCAGCTATATAATGCCTAGTAGAGATGCGCAAGCTCCCTCAGTTGTTCCACTATCAACTGAGGTGAGCTCAGCAGTACATTCAGACACACACCTGCTAAGTTCACAGTAGTTAATCATTATGCTAACAGGTATCTACACAATATCAGTTGTTCCACTATCAACTAAGTTAATCGTTACACTAACAAATCGTTATGCTAACACTTGCTACCCTTTGAACATCATGTCCCTTATCCCATTGCTATTGATGCTTTCTTCAGATGCTGTTCCTGTGGCTCCCAAATATGCACTAATTGCAGTCAAAATTTCTGTGTATCATTCTTCAATGCTCAATACCTCCCTGCAATGATAATCTTTCCCACAAGACACTCCTTCTCTTATGTGCCCTGCAACTTCCCCTCCAAAATTTTCTTCCATTGAATTCAATACTCCTCTCAACACACAGGTCCATATATGATGCCTCCACTGCATGTGCAAAAACAGCTTTTGAGAATGGAAAACAAGGCATTGAACACATTGGATTGTGGCTGGCATTGCAGTGGGCTGTGGGACACATTCACTGATGCAGGTACTGGCAGACATCTGTGGTCAAAATACATTGTCAGAGATGGTGGACTGGGCAAAAAAGTAGAGAGGTTGGTGTTGAAACAGCAGAACACCATGTCAAAACTGTAAATGCCTGCAATACAATGTATGTACTAATTATCATGCTACATTGTATCTGTAGTACTTGCAATAAAATTATTATCTTCATGTAATGAAAAGCATCCAGTACCAAGCAGGGTGCCATCCACGGCAGTGGAGCCTAGTATAGAAGGTCGACTCAATCTCAGACAGTTTTGAAGCAAAAAGCATACATTCAACCACAGTCAAGGTCTAACCAGGACTCGAACCTGGGTCATGGGAAGCTGAAGACTCAGAATCCCATGTGATAACCTCTACACTATTAGACCAATGCCCCAAGGTTTGGGGAACTGCAATAGAACATGTTTCACAACAACGTTGATGCTTCGGAAGTAGTATCAGCATTACACTCATACATAAACAATTTTACTGTGTTTGGGCACCATAGCCTCTGATACCCTCTGCAAATGACCAGTGAGTGTCGGCACTGCGAGACTCTGAAACGGAAACTCCATCTGCAGTAATCTTCGCTATTTGATACTAGATAGGAAGTGCATTAGCCCATGTGATGTTATACAAAAGGTTCAAAGACAAACCTTGTTCAAACTACGCGCGTCACGGTAGAACAGAACCTTCATGCTTTGTTCAAGAATTCTAACAGCTTCATCCTCCGTAATCACGTCTTCGTTGCCCTCTACAGCCTTACGGAGAAGAGGCTGGGCAATGTATGACCCATAGCCGGTGGCCAGCGTCGATGCAGAGTAAGTAGTGCCAAGGAGATCAACATACGATAGGAATCTGAATTCGACGGATAATCAGAACCCTCGATGGCAAACAGAAAAGCCCATAGATTCGTGGATCCATTACCTCTTGCCATCCTTGAATCCTCCAACAATCAACGAGTTCCATAACGGATTCATCTTTGACCTCCGCGAATACATCACATGCGAAAGGTACTCGTGAATCTCACTCGGACCAAGCGAATGCCCATCTTGCTGTGTGAATTCTTCAACCATAAGTTCGTCGAGCAAACCTTGGATATACTGAAAGTCGGACATGTCTCCACCTGCACCGATCACAGTGTTGGTGCCAACAGGATGTAGACGTTGGATGTCCTTGAATCGAGCAAGGGAGCCATAAGAAGCTAAGAGGAGCATATGATGGATGGGGAGTGAATAATCGGAACCTCAAGATCCTAGCATGTCTCCGTACCCAAATTGTCGGCAGACATCATGATACCATCCTTATACTTGATAGCAAGAACACTGGTACCCGTGACAATGGGCTGTCTGCGCGAACCAAATCCTAGGTCAGCATTTCCACAGTTTATATCTACACGTCGCAAACTGACTGTGTGTGCTGAATTCCTTCTGAAAATGCATCGGTTGTCGGTCCATTATATGGTCTTTGAGCAATCGGGTACGTTCCGTACGCATCGAAAGCGTCGTTTCGCTGAAAACGCAGATAAGGTCAGTGGGGATGAATATAAGGTCTTAAATCAAGCACGTACCGGGCGACCCCAGTTCGTAGGGAAATGATCCATCGTAGTTCAAGAGAGAAATTGTCGACGCGCAAGCTCAACGCGTATGCATTATGTCAGCTCCCTTTCACCGGCCCGTCTCCCATACATAACTTGTATCGATCTGCACGGAATGCTCTTCGAAGATTCATTGTGCGTGCCATTCTTATCGATTCAACACTCCACTGCTGGCTTCGAATGTGTGTAATTATCATCTACAGCATTACATGCACTCTTCGTACTTCCCCGCAAGTTGTCGATCTTCTTATGTACTCTTAAATCCTCCTGAAGGTTTTCCGTTTTGAAGTATTCACTATCATTGCAGGAGGCCGAGCGTCTGCTATAGCTAGTCAAGGAGAAATGGAGCACGATAATTAGGTGAGCAACTAGTATTAGCTGTATCGCATCAAGATGCGATAGTCCGAAATATCTCAAGACCGCACTGTGTTACCATAGCTCTCCGAAGGGGTATCATACTCTCGTTGAAATATATCATCTTTGTTGCTTTCCAAATATCTAAGAAGGATAGCATTCTCAACAAACCAACCACTTTCGACGTCGTAAATATCATACCTTAGTAGCTCATTAACGTACTCTTTCACCAGCGATATCGATTCTGCGTCCATCTGCGAATTGGCAATCATTTGCGGTAGTGATACTACGCAAAGTTAAGGTCAGCTCAAGATGCGAAGATAATGGACTTTTCGTATACCTAACATTCGCAACAAATGTTCCCCTCCGTAGATTGAGGACATTTCAATATCCGAAGACTCCTCTATTTTGACCTACATGCCAAAAATAGAAAATGTCAATGTACGAAGCAGTACAACAGATACTAGGAAAATTGACCTGTGGACCGGTGATGTACTTTTTTCGCACTTCCGCATACTGGTATCTCTCAAACCGGTAGAGTAGCGACATACCACACGACCGGTCGAAGTATATTTGGAGTCCCGAACAGATTGTGTGCGTTAAAAGTGCAGGGGTAGGGAGACTACAGATACACGACCGTAAGTTCGAAGACCACAGTCGACAGAATTCATCGATTCACCTCGTCGTAGTCGATTTGACGTGATCTTCGAATTGATTGAGGATTTGACGTACAGTTGGCGACCGCGGCAGGGTCACAAGCTGGTGATTTTTGGTGACAGCCTCCCAATCGTCCACGAGAAAAACTTTGAGCACTTCTGGCACATTGAGTTTCATCTCTGCACGGCGAGCATTGTGACCATCATCTTCCTCTCGAGTCCTCTTTGTCCCTCTTGTGCCTTCTTTTCGTATCCCCGAGCGCGTGCTGCCTCCAGCAGATGCGGATGATCCAGCAGGGTTACCAAGTGTTGCTATGAATACAAGTCATTGAACGGAGTGGAGAATCAGTGTTGAGAACGTACTTTTGCCACTCAAATCTTTCATTTTCCCTGCAGCAGCATTGGCACCAGCATGTTGGGCGGCTAGCGCTGATTGAGACAACGCCTTCTGCTTTGCAATTCCAGCTTCGTCGAGTTTGAGGATGCGTTGTTCGGTTACCCATTCGTCCCAACTGATTGCCTGGGTTAGATGTAGAGACTATGTCAAGTACAAGATCTACTTGCGTCTGCTTCCATCCTTTGTAATGGACCAAGAAGTTTGGACCAATTTCGCCGTTTTCCGTATCTTCTGGTGTAAAGTTGCGTATTTTGAGGATTTTCGCTACAGGACGATTAAATATCGTAAGCTTTGCTGTAAAGGACCTTAAGTACCTTCGTATATAAGTGGTCCATGATAGCATAGACACTTTTCGTTGATCTTCCATTGAAGATGAGTTGCTGGTGAGACTAGTGTTGATAGAGTGCCCTTGGAAGTGACCGTTTTGGTAATATTAGACTTGCTTGCACCAGCAGTTGAAGTGGAAGGATCAGCTATTGGATCTGTGGACATTGCAATGTTTTATGAAAGGAAGATAAGCTCGTGGGAGTCGAAAGAACTTCCTTTCAACGTGTGTATAGTCACTATATTAAGTATGATAATTCCTAGTTCACCAAAAGACTTAGGGAACGTTATTTCACCCTTGACAATGACTGAAACTTGGACAACCACCAATCGATTTTGGAACTCCTGAATACATATAAATATTTCGCGGTAGATCATGTTATGTTCATGTTCCTCCTGCACTACTGTTCCTTCTTTTCTTTATCCAAAGCTTTATTGTCTACTTCAATCGCTTGAACTTCCAACCGTTTAGCGTAAACTTGACCGGCCTAGTAGACATAGAGTATTAGATTATGTGAATAAATTGAAGGATGAAGGGAAACACACTTGAAGCGTAAGTATCAATCCCAAACATATCATGATGATAACATTTGCTGCTGCAAGTACTCGAACAGCTTCTATTCTGTCAGAATATGTGTCCTCTTCCAGCGGAATGGCCACAGTTTTCAACGTTGGGCAGATGACAGCCGTATACACCGCGATGGCAAACACATAGACACCTGAGAAACGAATTCAAGATAAATCTTGTGTAACAGGTGTGCCACGAACCAAGACTAGATCCGTCAAAGAACATAGCACTATCGTCCCATTTGTGCAGTTTGCCGACCAGTCCTAGCACTCCTACACCAATCATTCCATGCAACAACGCCTAAAACCTATAAGTTCGTGATCTGATAGAGTTATCGCCTCAGACCGACCTTGATAGCAGGTGGGGAATTGAAAAAAGTGGTGTAGAAACTGAATCCATCCGCAATTACAGTTTCAGTAAGTTCCCCCCAGAGAAGCTTGTGATCCACGTTGAAACATATGAACAGGATCCCTGTTGAGACTGAGCATGAGATTTTTACTCTTAAAAGAAAGCTGACCCAGAAAGAACGACACTGGTGCAAGAACGGCAGCCTGCTTGAACGTCATGATGGAGAACAGAGAAATTTTTTGCTAGTAGCAAGTTGACATTCGAACTGATCGACTCAGCACTGCCAGCAAGACCAGTCAAAGCGGTGCAATCAGGGTGCGATTGAGAGGACAAGTTGTAGAAAGTTTCTCTTTCAGGATATACATACTAGGTATGTCGACAGGTGGTATATAGTTTGGGTCTGTCTCTAGAGAATACAGTCAATGCAAATGCAATGTCCGATAAGCAGTACGACAAAAGAGATGTTCAGTTAAATATGATACAGCATATATAATATGAACAGTACAGAATGCTCTTCCAAAAAAAAAAATACGAGAACAACACGAGAAAGGCAAAGACGTGATCAAGAAATCATTGTGTAGGCAAAAGAGAAGGAGATGCCGAGTGGCCACCAGGGGAAGGTGGTGGTCGAGGAGAAGCCGGCAAACCCATCATTCGTGAATATCGATGACCCCGGTCAGAAACGGAGATGTTAAGTCCGCGCCCAGCTGCTAGGTTTGAAGCGCGTCCATTTTTGCTATGAGCCAAGGGTGTGTCCGGAGGCGTGAGATCTTGTTGTGTTCCCCCAACAGGACTGTCTGGCGAAGATTCAATTGTCACTTCCGGTTCCGTACCACTATCTTCATTGATTGAATATTCATCGGTATCAGACTGATTCTCTTCAGCAGGAGCTATGAGGTTGTGGCATAAGTAATGGGGCAGGTTCGAGGATAAGAAACACAGCGCTTACTCGACAGTGACCTTCCAGACAACCCCAGAAGCTTATCGGCAGCAGCTTCAGAGTACTGTAAACTATTTCTTCTATCAGGCTCCAACTCAAGATCTTCGTTAGATTCCGATGGCGATCGACCCGCATCAACGTTGAATACTCTATTGAACTCCCCGAGCATTAAGCTGAAGACACCTGCAGGAATACCCAAAGTTGGACTAAACACAATTCCGACGTTCCGCATTGTCATTTTGTTGACGGCTGAATTTTGCACGATGAGAATTAAATGAGCTGTGAGCGCACGAAGAAGACTGTAGTTGGTGATAGGTAGGGATGCGATCAGTTGCGAAAGTTCTTTGATCCGTTCTTGAGGATCTACAAAATCTAGAAAACGCAAATGAGGACATTTAGTTGTTTGTGCGCATATTGACATACCTATGACGGAGAGGAATCTCATATGGAGTTCACGAGTGAGGATACTTGAAGGTAGATCTCGCAGAAAACTTTTAAGTAAACCGGCGATAGCATGAGGATCCCAGTATTCATCTGAAGCCAGAAGATCGACATCGCCCTCTACAATGTTCCAAGTTAGTAATTGTGGTATAGTATACCAGAAATTCACGCAGACTCGCCAGCATTGAAACGATCCTTCAAGGATTTGATGACAGCGGAACTGCCACTCAGACGATATATTCCCTCCTCTTGATCTGCTTTCTTCGACTCTAGATACTGTATGCAGCGGAACACGATTGCGGGCAAGTTCGCAATTTGGGCAACGTCAAGAGACTCCTCCAAATTGACTCCGAAGACAGCGCGAGGCATAAATGTAGAAGAGGGTGCCACATTCTTATCTAGTCCCTTGTGAGTACAAATTCACGACGAACAATGAAAGATCGTAACTTACCACTACCTCCACTTCCACCAGGTCTAGCGAAACCCCAGAACGACCTAGATTTGGCCTTTTCTCGTCGATCACTCGAACTTGGAGTGAGACTAGGCTCTGGCGGATTGTCCTTCCCAAATTTATATCCAGCGGGAATGGGTGCGCCATTCATTGGGGCAGATATTTTAACCTTTTCCATCTTTTCCGGAGACGGGACGCGCTCAGTAGGTAAAGGTCCAATCGGAGACGAAACCTGTGATTGTTTGGATAAATCGCCACGCTGACGATACAGCTCAGGCGATTGACGCTGTTGTTGGGCACGCACAATCTGGATTTCAGGATAATGACCCATTTCGGAATTGGCCCGCTGTCCGGGATCCAGAAAAGGAGGAGGATTAGATAAAGGCGAGGAATCTGGCAGGCTGGAAGGTTGTCCTGACTGGGATCGTTCAGTGGTGCGAGGATCAGCAGATGCAGGAATGGATTTCGAGGGACTCGAATAGTTATAATCATCTTGAGAAGGACGGGAGAAGAGCTTGGCATTTGTGGCATCTTGAGGAAGTTGAGATAGAGGAATGGCCCGTTTCTCTGCACCAATATCATCCTTGGAAAACCCTCGCGAGGGTTTTCTGGGAGGGTCGGTCGATATACTAGTCCTTGGGACACTAGGATTAGGTTGAGCAGTACTGTTGACATACTGTGGTGGTGGTGGTGGTGCAGCGGAAGAAGGAGCATATGCTACGGGTTCTTCACTGTACGTTCCAGTGAAGTATCTCACAAGAATCTCAACCCAACTGTCCCGTTCAGCATCACTCTCAGCACAAAGAACATGTCGAGGATGGTTTCCACCAGGTCCTTTCTTCGCCTCAACAATGAGAAAGGCGTGTCGGTATTCCTTTTCCTCGTCTGTGGAGGTAGTGGTGTTATTACGTTGTTGTCGACCAATTTGAGCACCGGTAACCGTTATTGAACCGAGATGAGTGCCGCCTCGCTGTATATCGAGAAAGTGGCTATCAATATGTTGCAAAGACGTCAAGAGTATATTAAGACGCACGGCATCAAAATATTCTAACACGGGACCTTGTAAGACAAAATAACGTGTCTTCCATCCTCCAAAGTTCTTTCCCCGCTTCGTGAGGTATCCTTCTTTATGACCCACCTGCATCACCGGTTGCATAGTGTCTTTCACAATATCGGTAGTAAAAAAGGCGATGACTTCGTCGTTGTTTTTGACAGGAAGGTTGATTAACGTTTGCAGATAGGTCTCCAGAACAGCCTATAACAGAAAGGTAAGGTATCAGGAACCGATGACGGAAGGACGATGAATCGATATGACTACCTTTCGTTGGTCAGCTTTGGCAGGTGCATGATCCTTCCATAGCTTGCCCTCAGGCAAAGTAGATATCTTTCTCCCAACACTTTTCCCAACGCTACCTCTGACTCGTTGGTCTAGATTTATAACGTCACTGTACATCTTCTCTACTTTCCAACCATCTTTGCCTTTACCAGGATTCACGTAGACGATGAACGATAGAACTTCCTTGCCTCGATCATTTGGTCGAACGAATGAATGCGAAACGTAGATTTTAGTATGGGGAAGGTCGGTAGATAGCAAAGGAAGGGCACGGAAGAAGCCAGCAGATGACGCAGTAGCGTTCATCTGGGTAGCTGGAACATTTTGTGCCTCGAGTCGTTGAGGGCGAAGGTCATCGTTTGAGCGTTGCGGTGAGGTGTCACCGATCAACTGGCGCTGATATGCGGCTTCTGCTCTGGCCTCAGCATGGTGAGGCGACATTGTGGATGGAGAAAGAGGGAAGTCGTTGATTGACACGTACTGACGATTACTGCTCGAGCGAGCTGGCGCCTGACTCAAGGGTCCAGAGAAAGATGTTGATGATGACCCTGATTGATTTGGCAGTCGATCCTGGGAAGATTCAGCAGAAGCTGATGGGGAAGGAGCTGGCGCAGAATTGGGTGCCGCCGATGAAGGATCCACGACCTCATACTCCTCATCCAAGTCTTCACCACTTTCGTCGTCCTCCTCATCACCATCGTCATTGTCATCGTCTGCTTCCTCTTCCATGTCCAAAAATTCTCGATCCTTTCCACGAACTGGAGAAACCGGGACAGACGAGTGCGATGATGATGTCTTGTTGAACATCTCCACTCTAGGACTCGGTGCAGGGGACTCGCCCATATTTGCGATGTATTGCTTTGCCTCATCCGGTAGCGATATACGAGATTCTCGGGAGAGTGGATGGCGGATGGCAGGAGATAAGGCAGTGAGGTTATTGCTTGCTTTTTGGGAAATGGGGGACGCGTGTTGGTCACGATCTGGAGCGTCGTTAGGAATGGAGATGGATGTGATGATTTGTGGAGTGCTCAAAGTGCCTTGGCCGTGAGGCGTAATTGGGGTATATATTGAGTTGTTGGACGGGTATTCTGCTGGAGCGGTCTGAGGGGTATTTTGGGATGAGAAGTCATATTTCCCCCCTGTGGCGATACCGCTGTAAGCGCTCCCTGAAACTCCGTCCACACCATTAGTGCTAACACTACTGATGCTCTCAGTGAAACTACTTTTTCGGGGGTATACTGAAGGTTTGGTCGATGTACTATGACTGTTGGAACTGGAACTGTAGGATATAGAGGATATGATGGAGTCATTATAGCCGTGAGCAAAGTGGGAGTATTTTGGGGTAGCGTTATTGAATGAATGAGGTGGAGTTTCCTGTGTAGCCGAAAGTTCCGGCAAGAGGTCTGAGCGAGGAGGAACTGTAAGTGGGGCAAGGCGAGCAGTCATTTGCTGGGAGCTGTGAAGGCTGGCGTTGGTAGACGCAGTGGAAGAGACCAGGGAGGAAGAAGAAACGGAAGCCGATGGAGAGTTCGCCAAAGGCTCGTGAGAGCGAGCAGAATGTAAGCCGTGACTGTTTGTTCGTGGTGGAACTGCTCACGAATTAACACAAGAGAATATACTTGATTCATTTGCCAGAACATACCTTGTTCATCCGAGTAGAACCTGGTCATATTTTGACGGGGATTGTGGTCTCTGTTATTAGAGGACATACCTCCGTCGGTTACAACACTGTCAATACTTTGTTTCTGTACGCGCTCTCGACTGAGGTGACGCTTCTCGGAAACTATTGGACCACCTGTGGCTGCTGCCAAACGAGCCTTGTACGCATCCCTCTCGTTCCTAACTCTTTCCAGCTCCTTCATGATCTGGTTATACCCTGACCGTTGCTTCTCTATGAGCTTCCATAACTGAGAGTTCTGAGAAGAAAGCACATTGCGCTCAGACACAGCCTGATCCAGTGCAGCGAGTTGAGGATCAGACGCTGAACCGTGCAGGGCTAGGATAGACTCGATAGTGTGTGGGGTGGGATTGATAGAAGCTGGCAGGTTGGTCGTCGATGAAGAAGCTGTAGGCAACGTCGTCTGCCGGTGAGGTGACGATGTATGTGGAAATGGCTGCCTGTTATCTTTCTCCCGAGACGGAGATCGAGCAGACATTTTTCATACGGATATACTTGGACAATATAAGAGACAATAGGGCAGAGATATCGAACGACGACGGCGACGACGACAAGGAAACAGTTCAAGAATCAAGAATAATATATCACGTGGTGTCCTTCTTATCATCATTATGATGTCGGGCTTCATTTGCTCACTGGCGGTGCTGGAATTGATGTTCCCCGTTCGTTTCTTCTACCACCACAATGTCTCTGCTTCTCGGTCGACGGTCACTTGTCTCTCGGCGTCTTAATATTCCCTTCTTCTTGCGGACCTTTTCCTCTTCGCGACCTACTTTTAGCAAACTTGAAGGCATTTCTGAAACACCACAAGAGCGCCAGCTACCAGAGCATGCAGTGATCTCGACTTTTGACTTGTTCAGTATTGGTGGTGCGCGCTCCTACACATCACATCCCTTCCCGCCATTATCTGATACAAAAGCTCCTTTCACTTAGTTGGACCTTCGAGCTCTCATACAGTTGGTCCAATGCGGGCAGGGAAGATATTCATTACAGATTTGAAGGAGCTGCAGCTGTTGAAAAAGGTCGGCATATCGTCCTACTTGATTCTACTTTATCAAACTCAGGATCGACGTGTTCTCTTCTTCAACTTCAACTTACGTCTTTATTTCAAACTCACTCCGGCAAATATATGCATTGATTGTGGCGATTTATATTGAAGGTTGCCACTGTTAAGATAAATTTGTGAGTGAACAGTATACATACACGATTTGGTTCGTTGGTCGTTAACTACCATTTTCTCAGATACGGCTCTCTAGCTGCTACAGGTGAATTATGGCTCGATTTTTCTACCCAAGGTCTGATAAAATACTGAAATGAAATCAAAGGCAAAGGGTTGGCTTAGTTATCGTCGGTGACATATTGGTGCTCACATCGATGCAGACATCATACTCCCCAAGCTATCTTACTGGGTCTCGAAGGTTCAGACCCCGAAACTATTATACCAACGACTATAGAATCTCGCTATAATAATATTCTCGCTAACAAGGTATTGCTATTAGGTGGAGATCACCTTATTCACTATGATATGGACCGAGATATGCTCTGGAGGTTTGTATCATGATCCCTAATCATCCTAGTCCTATGCTAAGATAGGTTTGGCACAGATGGGATCAAGTTCTCCCAACTCATCCTAACGGTATGAGGTTTAGTGCGTTTGACGAAGATGGTGATCTTCTCGCAACAAATGAATACTACAGTGTAGGAGGAGGCTTCGTCGTCAATGATAAAACACAAGGTGATCAGATATGTTACACTTGATCAGCCTACCTAACCAATGCTTGTTGGTTTCGTGAAGTGGATGAAAACCTATTTTACAAAGGCGTGGACAAGAGTGTTGTTCCCCCTGCACGTCTTCACCAAACGCATTCCCTAACTGAACCAACCTTGAACTCTCCTTCACCCGAACCATCCCCTTCCAGCCGTTCGTCGCAACATAATGACGACACCATACCCAACGCCGAAGCCGGGCCACCCCACCCCTTTGAATCTGGCAACAGTCTGTTGGCCTTGACCCAAAAACATAACGTCTGTCAAATTATCTTCAAATATGCTGACAATGCATCTGATTCCATCATTCATAGATGACCATTGCTCAAATTGTGTACGACAACGAAAAAAGTTTCGGGTACTCAGACGAAGATATACATAAGAAGGTTAGCAAACCATGCATAATCGACCGCTGTATCTGGATTGAACCCAAAATTCAGATCTTTCGCATCTGGTCCGTAATGGACGAGTGCATCCAAACAGGTGTTACCACAAATGCCACGACTCTTCCCGGTCGCCTAGGTCTTCGTCGGCGAGCACCTATTCTTTATCGACGCCTGATGCGTGGATTTTACCCTGGCATCATGTCTCCCCCCTCAAACAATGCGAGAATCGAGGCTGGCTCTAACCCTAGTGAGACTTTTGGTGGTTCAATAGACGCGCCCAAATCAAGTAGCGAAAAATTCAACCAAAGTAAACAGGGTTCTAGCTTTGAGACAATAGGAGCAAGAATCGTGGATCCTGCTATTCCGAGCGCGAAACGTGCTCCCCGCGTGATAGGCGCTTTCGATCACCCACTCTTGCCTGAACCTCCGGTACGTGGACCCATTGTAAAAATGTCCATTAACTGATTATCGTTGTTTAGAGAAAAACTATGATTCCTGCAGTGGATTTCCTCTCATGCTATGCGATCGCAGTGAACGAGGTAAATGCTAGCGGCGGCAGAATCGTCACATCTCCAACCAATGGTGCCGCTGGTGTTATTCCTGCTGTGTTGAAATACATAATTGAGGTACAGTGCATGTTAAAAATTACTTCAACAAGACTACTAACGACTGCCAATTATCATCAGTTCGTCAGCGATGATCCGGACAAGAGTATAATGACCTTCTTGCTCACAGCTTCGGTAAGTCGTTTTGAGATCTCTGCTCACTTCGCGATAACCCTTCGTGAAGGCTATCGGCATGCTGTTCAAACGTGGAAGTACGATCTCTGCCGCTGAAGGAGGATGCCAAGCTGAAGTTGGTGGTAAGTTGTCAGTATTAATATTTCAATCAATCTGATGGGAGTTCTGCAGTAGCATGTTCTATGGCTGCCGGAGGTTTTGCCGCATGCATGGTGTGTTTTCTCGCAATGTATGTATCGAATTTAAATGAAATTATTCCATCATGTCAAGGGAGGTAAGTATTCGCCGTCCAAGTTTTATTCTGCCACTCATCTTCGGAGCAGCCTCTCCGGAGACTGTACTTCAGGTATGTATATCCAGAACTGTCTTTAACTCGTTGCTAATGACGATTCAGGCTGCAGAAATCGGGATTGGTTCGCCACTACTTAATTGGGCATTGTGCAGAAACTGATTATCCCTTCGTGTTAGAGCATAACCTTGGCTTAACATGTGATCCCATCGATGGCCTTGTTCAAGTTCCTTGCATCGTATGATTTCCCTTTTGGTCTAAACGTTCATACTAAAATTATACTTAGGAAAGGAACAGTCTAGGAGGTTTGTTAAACGTTATACAGTCCTTGCAGTGAACATCCTCAGTCTGAAACTTTTTCCTAGCGGTCAAGGCAGTCACTGCCGCTCAACTTTCTCTCGCAAGTCATGGTGTTTATAGCGTCACATTAGACGAGGCAATTGAAGCGATGCGTTTGACTGCTTCTGATATGAGCGTCAAATACAAGGAGACGAGTCTTTCTGTAAGCTTCACTTATCACATGTGCTAGTTGATTACTCATTGTCTTCCTAGGGGCTTGCGGTAAATATGCTTGTTACTATACTTTTCTTTTACATGGAAACTAAGGACCGCATTCCAGACCACTGTTAAAATACCACTGACTGTGCCCGCTTGGTAAGCTGACTGATTGTCTGCTGCAATGGAATCTGATTGCCTCTTCGCAGCTGATTGTCGTCATACCCATCCTATCTTTCAGTGTTGATACGGTTCTCTTGTGGCCTGCTTTTGGCATTTGGTCCATAAAGTATCAGTACTTGTGGATGAGATCTCTACAATGATATCCTTTGCAGACTTGAAATTGTTTCCTGCCACTGCTGGAGCCTAAGTGAAGAAGCCATGCTTGATCCAGGTGTGATCCTTCCAGCGTTCATTTTCTTCTCTCAATAGGCTATGCGTCGCCGCTTAAGCACTGCCTTTGCCCTTCTTGTCCGCTCCAGACGACACGAGCACCTTAAAAATCTATATTCTTTATTCTCACCAGAGGACTCGCTCAGTGCCAGGCCCGGCCTCACATAGGAATCGGGATTGCGTGCAGAAAGCCTCATTGCTTGAGGTCGAGTCAACCTTCAAAAACAGCGTTCAAATACATTCAGGAATCCAGACTCGTGTGTTGACTCCGTTCCTCTCCTTTTAGGTCTTTGAAACATACGAATCCTTCGCTAAACCTCGACGTTGACCCAAAAATAATGCCATGTTGACTTGCGCTACCTTCGAGAATTATGAGTGAGGGGGGATGTCCCTTACTCTCGGAGAATTCGCCTCCGCGAAAGGCGGATGTTTTGAACCTACGGCAAACTCGCGGCAAAAAAAAAACGAAAAACAGTTGATGCCGTCGATTTTACGTCCGGAAGAGTCGGGCCTCAGGCCTCAAAACCCAGAGGGCGCTCTACAGTATTATGTGATATGTTTTCTGTGTTCAGATCTTTCCTGGTCAAGATCTTTCGTGCAACGAGCTTCCAACAAGCCGATGATGGCAGATCATATATATCGAACTATGTCTCGGTAAACGTGCAGACTTGAGCCGATTTCAGTAAAATGTTTTGATCCCAACAGGTCCCAACTTACTACGGTAAGGCTGTAATCGAAATATACGCGGGTTAAATTGACCGTCGAATATGATAGTGCATTCAACTTCAACTGGCCCGTTAAAGTTTTAACATTCACGGACTTGAATTTTTCACAATTATGTACGGGCACGAATCCGTTATGTGGTTACTTTGACGGGAATTCTGGCACCGTATAAATACCCTCCGTCTTGCTTCCATCGAGGTCCTGCACATTGTATAGTCCTCTTTGTGGTGCAGACCCCTTTGCCGGTTTTACTGTGATGCAGTTCCCAGTGTTGTTCCATGTTCGGCTTCTGTCTACACTGATCTGTCTCCAACTTCTTCTTCATGCTGGCAATGCTGCTACAATAGACCGCACCTCAGAGCAGGGTGAAGCCGCCATTACTGGTACACCCACAATTTCCTCTTTGTCAATCAGCTCCTAAAAAGCCCCACTTAGACCCAGATCAGGAGTGCACGCCCTACGATTATGCGCCTGTCACAAATCAAATGAACTCTTTCCCTGAGGTGTGGGAAGCCGCCAAAATCTTGTCTGACGATTCAGCGGCCCTTGCAAAGTGGAACTCCATATCGGCTAACATCCCCACAAACATCCCCCAGAAGGTATTTAGTCATTCGGGGCTGAGCGTACAGTGCTCTCACATTCAACAGACTCAACCTCCACCGTCTAGTTACTCATCAAGTGACCCGGACTGCTGGTGGACCTATGGTCAATGTACGACCCCAAAACTGGCTGACCTCCCCCCTGATATCACTGCTGCTCCGGAGGTATGTATTCTACCGCATCTATCCGTTCCAACTTAACAATAAGTCTCAAAGCCATCCACCCTTGGCTATGGATTCGACGACGGACCAAATTGCTCGCACAACGCGTTTTATGACTTCTTGCAAAGCCAAAACCAGAAAGCAAGTAAGTCTGTTAATCCTGTATCCTTCCGTAAAAACATTCCACTCAATTTCTTCCAACAGCTTTCTATTTCATTGGTTCTAATGTGGCGGACTTTCCTCTGGAGGCTCAGCGTGCTCTCACTGATGGTAGGTCTGACATCTCATAGACGACGCCGCTTACTTACTGAATATAATCACCCAGGACATGAAATATGTGCCCGTGAGTTACCCAATGAGCAGTACTTCGATCTGATGAAATAACTAGAGAAAATTCTGCAGATACCTGGTCCCATCCATATAGTACGTATTTTACAATATTGTCAAATCAACTGAAGCTTGATCTGCATCCCAGTGACGACATTCGCTAGCGAGGATGCTTTTGCAGAATTGTGGTACTGTGAGTTGCCGTTAACTGTCATACCAGATCTCAATTCAACATTCATGTTGAAACTTCGTTTAGCTGTGCGCGTTTTTGCAAAATTTTCTTTCAGAGTAAAAGCTTACTGGGTACTATCGAAAAGATGCAAATGATCAAACTTGTAGTAGGCGTTACACCTACTTGTTGGCGAGTGAGTTCAACTTTCATTACGAGTCGAATAGTTATTTAACTCAGTTGGAATTGTCTTGAAAAAAAGCCACCTTATGGCGACGTTGATGACAGAATACGAGCTATCGCAAACGCATTAGGGTTGCAAACCATTATGTGGGAATACGATACAGCGGACGCCAGTGTAGATGGCAAGACCATCACTGATCAAACTGTGGTGGATAACTATAACAGTTTCATTCAAAAGGCTGAGGGAGGAGCGTTCAACTCGGTATGTTCTGAACGAAGCCGTGCGCTGAGGTTGTACTCAAGTCGATCATTTAGACTGGGACCATTCTATTGACTCACGAGTTGAACAATTTTACTATGTCAGAGGCTGTTAGTTTCTATCCTCAACTCAAATCTGTTTTCCAGGTATGATCCGCTGGCTCTTCTCCCTCCAAAGCATCTTACGTTCTCGATATCATTTCAGTATCTTGTACCGGTTGGAGTGTCGCTGAACAAGACTCAGCCGTACCTGGAAACCAATTATTCACTTCCCACCTTTGAGCAATGTGAGTTCAACGTATCATTCAGTTCTTACAACTCGTTAGGGCAGAATATTAAACTATTTTTAGATATCTCGGGTACATTGACAGGTTCACGAGTCTCACCTAACAACACCTCCACCACCACCTTGCAATCATCGACTTCTTCGGCATCGGTATCCCCCACTACATCCGCTGAAACATCCAGTGAATCTGGCGCCTCCACAAATTCAGCCAACAGCGTAGCTAGGCCTTTCTATGATTGTGCCCTGCTGACAGCTTGCTTAGTAGTATTTTTTATCAGTTAATTTGGTCCACAGACATTCATGAAATTTACGCTACATATTTACATATGATACATTCAAGTCAACGATCTGTCCTTTCTTTTGGTACGGACTACAGAAATTATTTTTCTTGATACCCTTCCATGAACTTCGTCGAAGTTCTACTATCGGAATTACATAAATTTAATTCTCATCCAAGAAACACACTTATGTACTGAGGAAGAAGATGCACTGACAAAACTGGATGGTTTCAATTTTTTTGTTCAATCTCGCACCACGGCGAAACAGTGGGAAAAGCAACACGGAGGTGTTTGCGCTTTTGTTCGGAAAGGAATTGCAGCTTCGAAGTCAAAGCTTTCATCACCAGATATTCTGGTTCTGGATCTTGGCAGCTTATGGGTTATCAATGCGTATATACTGCCTGTGCTATCTAGGTATATACATTTCACAGATGTAGCTCCCGAAGAGCAGTTATTTGAAACAATTCGGATATGTGCACTGGTGGACAGTTCGAAAAAGACTGTAGTGGCTACAGATGCTAATGGACGGACATCTTCAAGAACCCCAAAGGCTGCTCATTTGACACGGTTATCACAAGACACTGAAGTCAATGCAAGGGGAATGCGTATTCTGCAGTTATGCGAGGAGATGAACTTGGCAATAGTGAATGGTACCGAACTGGAATCTCCCAATCGTGGGTCTTACACTTCCCACCAGCACAATGGCAAAGCAGTTGTGGATTATATTCTGGTTTCAGATGAGCTGTGCCCAATGATACAAAATCTGAGCGTGGAAGTCAGGCCATTATCGAAGAAAGACCAATGGTCGGACCACTCAAAGCTCTCATTGGTGATGTCACGCGAGATTTACACCATGACTGCTCAACAATCCAGCCAACCAAAAGTTCCTCTCACAATACCAATACATGATGAATGGACAGACACTTTATATCAGGAAATGCTACAGAGTGGAAAACCTCCACACCTATTGCTCCGAGACTTTTATGGTCCAGTATACTATGATCAGAATCCAATCTCGGTATACACGGATGGTTCATGCTTGGAGAATGGGAAAGACTATGCAAGAGCTGGTTCTGGGATATGCTTCGGACTACAGTCTAACCAGAACATTAGCCTAAGGGTACCAGGGCCTGAGACTCCCACCAATAACAGAGCCGAAGCATATGCTGTCTTGATGCTACTAGCAAAAGTCAACCCAAAAAGAGCAATGAACATTTTCTGTGATTCAACCTATGTCATTCGAGAATGCTGCTATTGGGCGGGCCGTCACCTATCTACAGGATGGAAGATGCCAAATGGGGACCTATTAAAAGACATCTGCCTATTGCTGAAGTATCGCTTAGCTTTCACCCGCTTTATATGGGTCAAAGGACATAGTGGCATTCCCCAAAATGAATTGGCAGATGAATTGGCAAAAATAGGATGCACAAAAGATATTCCAAGGGATTATTCCCCCCTAGTATCTTCACCATGGGAGCGGGACCCAGGAAACAGGCAAGCAATTGATGTTCAAAAAGTCTCCACGGATCTACCGGAACACGCAGAACCCAGAACAATGATTGGTAGGTCAATTACCTGGGCTGCGGAGCAAGGTCACCGAGGAAGATCTAAAGTGGCAAAAATCCGGGATGATAACCTTGCAAAATTGCGCAATTGCAAAACTAATGCACAATTTTGGATGCTATACAAGTCATGGCTTGACCCAAAAGCAAAAGACTTTGAGCTTTCACTAAACCACCTGTATACTGAGTTTAAGACAAGGCTGAATACCCCTGTGGTCCCATCATTGCAATTAAATCACCAGCATCTGTCATATCTAAAGCACTTGGAAGCAATGCTACCTGAGGCAAACTTAGACCCAACAGAGCAAAAGTTCTTTAGCTTGACCATCCATGAAGAGGAAGTGGCAGATGCCAAGGAACATGTACTAGAATGTAACCTGAATAGCGCTATAGGCTCAGACAGCATTTCATACAAGGAAATCATGGACATTCCCAATGAAAATATAGCTTCCTTTCTCAATTTCTGTGTCAAGAACAAGACAGCACCTTCAAAATGGTTATATGCAATAGTGATTGGCATTCTAAAACCTGGAAAGAATGCTTCAGACCCAAATGGTTATCGCCTTATTGTATTAGAGTGCTGTTTCGCAAAATTGTTGGCCTATATAATTGACCGGAGAATAAGGTCTTATGCAGATTTGAAACATTTGATACCTGACTCACAAAATGGCTTCAGACCTACATACCGAACAACTAACAATCCATTGATTTTGAGAACTATGATAGATAAGGCTAAATCTCTGGGAACCCCACTATATTTTGCATACATGGACTGGACAAATGCATTTCCCTCTACAGATCGATCTGTAATGTGGATAAAACTATTCTCGATGGGTGTAAAAGGTCCAATGATAGACTGGTTACGTATGCTCTATGCAAAAATGGCTTATGTGGTTAGAGTTTGCGGATCTCACTCGGAACCTTTTGGAGGTGATATGGGGGTCATCACAGGTAGTCCGGTTTCACCAAACTTGTTCAATTTGGTTGTTGCAGATTTTAAAGTGACAGAGCACCCAACAGATGTTGTCCTTCATGATAAGCATGTGAACCATATGCTACAAGCAGATGACACAGGAATGGCTAGTACAACACCTTCTAGTATCCAATCAAAACTTAGACAATTTGAACAATATGCATCCCTCACAGGCTTCGAAGTCTCTGTACCTAAATGTATGATCACAGTGTTTGGACAGGAAGCTAATGCAGACACAGTTTTTATGCTGCATGACAAACCTTTGCAAAAGAAAAAGAAACTGAAATATATTGGAGTTCATCATCAGACTGGTCAGGGAGGTATATACAAGGACAATTATCAGAAGCTTGCAGACAAGGCCAAGAATGCTGCTGGTGCTGTGCTTCATGCTAAAACTTTTGTGGGAAATGACATGCCAATTAAGGATATGATTACTATGTACTGGGCAAGAGTAGACCCATATTTAAAGAGTGGGTCTGAGTTTATCATGGATGTGGTAGTGTCCCACAGAGAGCAATTAGAAGAAGTACAACACTATTTTCTACGAAGGGCTCTCTCTATCCAAAAGCGATCATCTTTGGAGGTTCTGTTCACTGAAACAGGAGTGATGCCAATTCGATACAGACGGATTATCCTTTTCTTCAAGAACATGCAGTACTTAATCAGTTTACCACATCACCATCTGGCATGGAAAGCAATGCGAGAAGCTTACTCTTTAGCACAAAAAGGACATACATCCATCATTTTGGAGGCATGCAGAGTACTTGAGAGCCTACCAATTCCAGTCACATGGAATATTCCAGAGTTTGAGGATATCACTGCAGCACACCTAAATGGTTTAATAGAACACATTCAGGACTCCATGGAGAGGACTCTACAAAATGCATTAATGACATGTCCCAGAACAGCTGATACTCTGAAAGATCGGAAAGAGTATGACCGAAAAAATAAAAAGATGGTTTTCAAAGCTCTCGCTTTTAGACATTATTTGACGGTCCCGACAGGCAAACATCGGAAAGCTTTGATCCACATGGTGACAGGCAATCACCAACTTGCAGTAGAACGTCTGCGATGGAATGAACGGAACAGACCTCGAATCATCAGAGAGCACCGAATTTGCCGCATCTGTAAATGCTCTGTTGAGGATCCTGCCCATGTGTTATTTGAATGTAAAGGAAGCACTGAATTGATCAAACTGAGGGATTCTTTCATGCAAAAAGTCATCTCAGAACTTCCACAGTATGCAAAATCCTATTCCAATGCATGGATGCTATTTCGCATATTATTGGCTGAGACAAGGATCACTGAATTGTTTGCAAAGCTAACATATGATGTTTTAGAAGTGGTATATAACACTGAAATGTTTGTTCCAGCTTAATGCAGGAGCTGCTCACATGCATTGTCGAGACGGGGAAGACCGTGCACGTTTCACGAGGTTTTTTTCTTGCTTTTTCCTCATCAAGTGTGAGAGTGGCATAATCGCCCCCCCGCATTAGAAATGTGTGTTCCGTTACTGTAATCTTAAGTAGTGATTGTACAGTACGGTAAACTGGTTGTTCGGGAATCGGACCTAGCCAGTATAATTTAACTATCCTATCCTATCCTATCATACTATATTTTCAATTTGCTGTTCCATTTGTGGAGCTAGTAATGTTGGAGTTTCAGGTGCGCGGAGGAAGTTGTAAGCTTCGAGACGTTATGCGGTTGACTGAAGATTATGTACTTGATCTGCAAAACTGTACATTCAGCGCAACAGGGACTTAGAGAGGGTCTTCAAGGCCCCCAGACAACTATTCAGGAGATAGGGACAAGGAGGGAGAGTAGCGAATATGATGGCTTGTCGGAGCTTGTAGAGTCAGAGAAAGGAGAGGGGATCACTCTCTTTCTGAGCTCTTGCAAGTTGATCAACTACTAAGGAGTCTATCGGAGTGATTACTAGGTAGGTAGCTTCACCGACACGATCCCATTGAGGAACAGCTGGGGCCCATGTTACACACATTGCGCTAAGATGTGTGCCATGGACACCCAGCACTTCTACTAGTCTCCTCGCAAGCCAGAATTCAAAGAAAAACCGTTCTAATCTCGCAGCCGGAATTCACGAGAACGAAGAAAAAACACTCATTGACAGGACTGGGCATGGCACTCCCGACTTGCAGAAGTGACACCGTCGCTAGCCGGCGCATTTTTGGGGAATTGAAACCATTCTTCATACATAGCACAGACGTTCCAGGACGTTCCCCTGATAACGAGTGACATGAGGTGATAAGCATCTTGAATTTTCTTTACTACATTATCAGACATTATCATAGTGGCAACAAGTACAGGTGACAAGAGGTAACAAGAGGCAACAAGCTTGAGGGTCAAATTTTCTAGCGAAATTTCAAGTTTCGAATTCCCTGATATGGACGCTGATAAATCTAACAGACACCGTAAGATTTGGCAAACAGGATTACAGGTTTATCATGGCATTCTCATTCCACATCTTTGGTTTTTGAATACTTTCCTGAATATACTATCTTCAAATCTTTCTCAGCATGTCCTCTAATGTATCTAAGGCGAAACATCATTTAGGCTATGGATAGCTATGGATGCAGGCCTGTATATATGCATAGTCTATATATCCTGTATGCGTATCAGCCGGGTCGACTTATGTTTGGAGATCCAATACCGCTCTACTTGTATTCAGAAGGCGAAATACAAACAACGCGACATACGTTAAATCGGATTGACGCTATGCATAATTACGACCAGTGGCCGTATGTAAACAAAAATTTTCACCCCACATTTTACACAAGCTGCACAGTATGTAGCAGAAAGGCATTTTTTGGTTTCTTTCAAAGCCATGAGAATATGTACACACGTAGATTTCATCTACTATAAATCACAGAATCACTATAAAAAAGTAACAAGCCTTATTCACCAGTAAAATAATTTGTTGTTCAATCATCTCCGATTTTGGGCGCAAGGTAATACCTAATGTAGCCTTGCCCGAAGTCATACGAAACCTGAAATTGATGTTAGAGTCGTAAATTAAAGGTATTCTTACACTCACTAAGAGTGGCACATCGTTGCTCATGTATAACTCCACCCGTTTAACGAGGTTCGAGCTTTTGCTGAAATTGACAAGATATTTTAACGAGAACGTGAGGGAGACATGTGAGTTCATCTGGATAATGACGGCCTCGTTCTCGTCTTCGTCTCCGTCGTCAGCTTTGGATTTTCCTTTCTTGGATTTCGAGGAAGACGCGGCGGTTTTTGCTTTCTTGGCGGGTTTTGGGGAAGACTTAGACTACAGGACAGGTTTAGGTTTTGAGTGTATATGATAAACGAAAACGCGCCTTTTTCTTTCTTTTCTTGCCGTCTCCGTCCTCCTCCTCCTCATCTTCTTCATCTTCCTTCTCCTCCTCACCGTCATCGTCATCTTCATCCATCTCGACATCACCGTCATCAGTCTTCTCTTTCTTAACTTTGGTCTTCTTTTTCTTTTCCCCCTCTTCATCCTCTTCACCATTTGCCTCTTCATCTTCCTCTTCACCGCCGTTTTTCTTTTCCTTCTTCACGCCTTCACCGTCTTCGTCTTCATCCGAGTCGTCCCCTTGTGGACCACGCTCCACCTTTCCTATCGGCCCTTGACCTTTTAGTAACACGTTGCCATTGGCAGCCTCGCCGTCGCTAGCAAATCGCACGCCTTCCTTACTGACCTCGATTCTTACTGAGTCACCTAGCAGCGACAAGTCGCGTACAATACGCGTGAATTCAGCGGAAGATAAGACTATTCGTGCTTCGTATGAGGTCTTGGGAATTCCTAAAGTCTCGGCGTCGATATCCATAAGCTTCAGGTCATACGAGGATATTCTATCGGAGTCTGTTGAAGAGAAGCCATTGTTACTAAAGATCCTCCAAATAGTAAAAAAACATACTTTTGGCTTCGTAAACCAAATTCAACACATCCGCTTCGTCGGCTGCCCTTAGAGTGCAGACATCGTCGTCTTTAGCACATTTCAGTACTTTTGTCAAACTTCCAACATTAACGCCGAGCGGCATTGGTCTGTCACAGCGATACTTCTTGAACCCGTTCTGGACCAGTTTAACCGCGACAAGGGCGACGTGTGAGTTGTCCATTGCTTGAAGTGTTATGCCTTCTTCTGAACATTCGAAGTTGGCATCTGTAACAAGTTCTTTGATAGCTGAAGAAAAGAAAGTAGATGACAAAATATGGTCAGTAAGAATGAAATCATTGTGTCGACGCGTTCAAAAACACGAACCATCAAGCAGCTTTTTTAGTACGCTGGCTTCGGCGAGCTTGGCTTCCAACATGTTCCGATTCTAATAAAATGATGTCCTCAAAAAAAGCGCGTTTCGAGTAGTATACGCGTCGAGGTTCGGAGAAAAGAGTCAAAGTGAAAGTTAAGATGAATGGGAACTTTGGGAAGACGCGTTGATTGTGAGCACGCACGCTTTCAAGCTCCGACTCGATGTCCGACAATGTCACGAGATCGATTAAAGTTACATTCAAAGTTTAAGTACGCCCTCAGTACACTACACTGACAATACATCAGGAAATACGGCTACATAGGGCTACATTCATCATTCAAGGCTGAGCGCCGAGTGTCGAGTGATCACCAGTGAAGGCGATGTGTTGCACACTGATACCCGTTTGGATTCTTAAAGAGATAAAGCTGATGATAATCCTCGGCGTCATACCATGGGCCAGCCTCTACGATTTGGGTGACAATCTTCTCTCCCTTGGGGGTGAAATGCTTTTGCTGGACTTCCTCTGTCACAGCCAGAGCAGTTTCGAGTTGCTTGGGTGTATTTGCAAAGATTGCGGAACGGTACTCTGGAAAGATCAATAAGCGTGATGAACCCCAGGTATGTAAATAATGTATCGCCCTACGAGTGCCACGATCATTTCCCTGGCGATTCACAGTTGTGGGTTCATGCGTGCGATAGAAGAATTCTGTGACAGGTAAGGCCAGCGCTGTAGTTAAACGGTAAAACGACTTACCAACAAGGTCAGCATAAGACACGATTGTAGGATCGAACTCAATCCTCAACGCCTCGGCGTGGTCTGTTTCTCCAGAGCAAACATCTCTATAGCCGGGATTAGTCACTGTCTCTTTCCCCCCGGTATATCCTACAGCTGTCTTTATAATACCCTTGTTCTCCTTGGGTGGAAAGTGTTTCAGGAAAATGTGTTCAACGCCCCAAAAACAGCCTGCTGCGAAGGTAGCTATCTCGGTAGACGCGTTGGTGGCTTGGATGTATATCAGATTCTGAAGTGTACACAGGAGTCAGAAGTTGGATAATTACCCGATGACATAGTAGCGCGCAGTGAAGATGGATCGAAAGGTGGACCAAATAGTAGAGATCGAAACCGTCCTAGCATAGCAAAGTGAGGTTAAGTGATCGAATTCGTAGCTGCTTTGCGAGACTAACAAGAGGAGGATATGTAAGGGTGCAGATGATTGTAAGTAAGTAGGTGCTTCCCGGAAATCTTCAAGTTTCCATGGATTATTAAAGCGTGTCGGAAGCTCACGTGAGATTTCACAACGTCGGCGGTCGCGTCCTCCAACCCCTACCGCGTCGCGCGATACTGTCGCAATATTTGGTAAAACAGATTCTAATAATTTCTCCTAGCTCAGTAAGTTAAATAAGAATTTTCATTGAAAGTTTGAACGAATCGCTCGAGGTACATACATGCTACATGGAGAATACTTACGCCTTCAGCTTCAGTGCGCGTAAGAAATACGAGAAAATTGTTGTTATGAAGTGAGCGAGCGAAGATTGATGATAGAGTGGTGGAATACAGTGATACAAAGTTGGAAGGCAACCCAAAAACGACGAAAGAGATTTAGAGATATTGAAATAAGGGAACGCAGTAAGCATGCATTAAAGGAGTGTCGCAAGCGGATATATTTGTGAAACAGATGTGACCAATCATACTTTTCGAGTACGAAACACGCTTGGAGAGAAAAATTTGAGCAAAGGAAAAATCGCTGGATATTCAGAAACGACTAAATGCTCAATGAGGGCACCGGCGAATTGAAGGAGTTCGACCGTTGAAACGAACTGGTACTGCGTGTTTTTGAATTTGGATGATGGGAATGTTGGTGATGAAGATGAGTATGCTTGTGATTATTGACGGGTCCGTAGCCTTTTCTCTTTAGCTTTCGTTCCCTCCGCAGCTCTTTGCGGCTTTTGGTGTTAAACGGAGGGGAGCCATTGTGTTTCTGAGAACCATGAGTTGGTGTGCGATCACCATCTCGCACAGGTCCCAACTCTGGAGATAGGATATATCCCAAAGAACGTTGGTGTTTTGAGGCACCATTTCGATTATGCCATAACATGGTACTGAGGGGACTACTTTTCATGACGTTGCTGTAGGCAGTATAGTCTGGACCAGAGTCGGAGCCCCGGCCAACTGTGGAGTCTGTCAGAACACCAGTTTTTCGCAAAGCGCCAACCGAGATAACATCCCAGCGATTGAGACTCTTGATATATTGACCGGTAGAAGGGTCGGCGTCCGAGTTGCTGACAGCAACAGATGACCCGGCAGGATATTCTTCATCAGTGTTAGAAACTGCAGTGGGTTCTGACGCAGCCATAAACGACGCATCCAGAACATCATCCAGGTCAATGGTCATGGAGTGCGCGATTGGCTCTTCTGATTGGGATGCAGATGAGAATTCAGGAGGTGTTATCTCAGCGCTGGGACCGAGGGTCATTATTTCCTCTGGTACTTCACTCGGAGGGGATAATGAGAAGACGGATGTTGATAAAACGGAACTGCGTGTCGAGGGAGGAGGAAGAGAAGTCGGTCGGAACGATTTGCGTTGAATAAACTCAGACTACACAGAATGGGTGAATTCATATCCACGTATCAGCGAATCAAAACACTTACCCCGCCGCTCCTCCCTCCACGGGATATAGATAACGACTTGCTCTTGACGCCTTTACCTTTTCGACCAGTGAACCTTGGATACGAAGAAGGAATCTCCTTCCGTTCTCCATCAATGACAATCTGTCTCGCTTCCTCTACGGCTTCGAAAAACCCAGTTCTCGGGAGACCTCCTCTCGCGGCTCTGTCTTTATTCCTCTGTTCACAGATGAAGGCGTTCTCTTCTTCCTCATCTGGCTCATCCCCTTCGAATCGTTCTTCAAGGTCATTCGTTCCCCATGTCATGCTTTGAGAAAGAATATCGCTGGGATGAGGAGATTCAACTCCAAAATCAGATTGTCTTCTGAACGAAGACGAAGGACTAATCATCGACATGGGATTGATGGAAGGGGCATTACTGAATGCGAAAGGGGTGTTGAACAAGCTCATGGCTAGTTCGTTCGGGAGATCGTCCTCACCAACAAGCTCTTCGTCGGTAGTATCACCTTCGTATTCGGCTTCAGCAGTGTCCTGATCCACGTCTTGCTCATAACCTTCTTCATCCGCCTCACCGTCTGCGTCGGTGGAAAACATATCTACGTCACCATCTGGGCCGGGGGATGGAGAAGTATCTGGGCCTGGCGGAAGGAAGCTCGCTTCAAGAAGACTCTGAAGCCCATCTCGAGATGAAGATTCAATATGACCGTTCGTAAAAACGACCTGTCCATCCCAGCCTTCGGTCAATTCAAAGGCCAAATTGGGTATACCAATACCGACGCCCTGCCTGAGATGAGGGATCAAGCTGGAAGCAGTCTGAGAAAGATCAAGTTCGGGATCAGAATAATCACCGTCTTCCCCATCGTCACTTTGAGTACAGGAACCAGAGGAGCCCGACTCCTTGTCCGAGAGGTTGGCAAAGAAGAGATCAGCGTCAAAGCTAGACTCTTCCTCCTCGGACCAAGCAGAGACGAGACCAACATATCCATGGCGTCTAGTATTCATGTCCTCCGTATCCTCGCCATCCGGCTCGTCATCGTCCTCCTTTTCGTCTTCGTCATCATCATCATCATCCTCCGTCGCTTCACTGTCTTCATCCATGTCAACATCACTAGGTGCATCGACACTCATTTGTCTAGGCCGGATGACCCAGTTCGGGTCTCGCCTCTTTTGTAAGCTCTCTTCTCCGCTGCCATTGAGTAGTTCCCGTCTGACACGAGCACGTTCCTCTGTAAGAATGAAGTTCTCTTCTTCTGCTTCGATAGATGAATCGGTCTCAAACCCAGAAAGTGAATCGCTATCTGAACTGCTAGCAGAAGAATCAGATGATAAAGCAGACACAAATGTTGGGAATTGCACAGATCGTGCGTCGTCGTGATCTTCTACGCTACGATGATAGTTGTTGTTCGAAGTGTACAGATCTAAATCTGTGAGCTCCGAGGAGGAAGACTCGTGACTAGAATCGACGCGTTTACGTTTCTTGATCGCTCTTTTCCGTAGGTCGCTGTCTCTGGCAGCAGATTTCGATGTTTTCTTCTGGAGAGATCTGTTTTGGGAGGCAACAGACTTGGCCTTGGGACGCTGATATGCGGAAGTCGAGGGGCCTGCAACGCCAGGGCCGGAATGTGAAACAAGATTTTTTGGCGGACGGCCTCTCCGTTTTGGAATCCGTTGTGCCTGAATGGAGGAGTCGTGTGCAGAGTAAGATGGCAATGAGGATGAGCCAGATGCCGTCTTTGAAGTCGGAGGCAGTTTCCTTTTGAGGAGATTCGGTGGAAGTTTGATCTTTAAAATAGGTCTTGGAGGGTCGTGTGCAGGAGATGGGATCCTGGTAGTAGGGGGTGCCTGCTGATAGAAGGAAGGTGTGTTGTTGGAGCAGGTACATTGGCCATCGCATACTGGACAGATATCGTTGTCGTCGTCGTCTTCGGCGACGATGGTTACGGTATGGGGGTGAGGAGGCGACATGACGGAAGGCTGTTGATTTGGATTGACTATAAGAGATGATAAGAGCAAGATGGTCAGTGAAAAGGACGATTAACGACCCTGAAGAACGAGGCAGAGCCTTGAGGTTCTGGGTAGATGATAATTTCGCATGACAATTTCGAATCGGCTCTCGCCAGAAAGATGAATTCAGAGATGTACTCACGTGAAGTACGATTTTTGACCATTTCGATATACAAAGTAACATGGAAATTCGGTAAAATGCTCCAGTTTTGCTGCAAAAAGAACACGCTTGTTTCACCACACTGGTGAAGGAAGTATCGAAACGCTGTCCTGCAGGAATAATTTCTGATCGTGACTGATGTTCCCACAGCCACTAATATTTGATCTCTGGCTGTCACATGTGTCACGCATATAGTGCCTTTAGGCTCTGGCTTCTTTAATATCTTTCTTCGCATCGTCGCGACAAACGCCCCGAATGAACCGACTTGATCATGAAAAACGTGAACTGGTGTTTCCCCTTAATTTTTCCGTCGACGCACAACGATCACGGGGCTTCGTTTTTGTCGTGTCCCCGGGTCAGATGCTCTCCCGGATCACAATTTACTATTAATCGAGCTGTCCGTCCTTCTCAATGCTCTTGAAACGTAATCTCCTCAGTTCCTGCTATAAGTAACCCGCACTCAGACCTAGATTCCCCCTAGCTCCAGGAAGAAATCATGTCTACTCGCACCGCGAATGTGACTGCATCAAGCTCTTCACCTTTACCTTCGCATTTCAATCCGTTCGCTACGCATCCCTTCACGAGCTGTTCTTCTGTGTCGTCGGCGTCTCGTCCGACTTCCCAACCTCAACCACAGTTGTCCCCTTCTACACAACCTCGCTCAACCCCTCATCCGCCCCCAACACGGACTACAGCTTCCCCTAAAGCCGTATTCGTACCTTTCCGTCAGGGCGCAGCCTCGCCTGACCTGTACGAAATATTGAAGAAGAAGCCGCAACCCACGCAGATCACGTCTCCAAAGAAGAGTTGAAAACGGTGTGCTAACTTTCCTTCCCCGTTACTTTCTTCTTAGCCTAATTTGTTCTTTTCTCAAAAAGCACCGATACTTTCTGGTCAAGTGGTACTTCGCTGAAAGGATCCGCTGCCATGTAGCTATCCTTGTGGGCCATTTACATTAATAGGTGGCCTTAATTCAGCGGAATACCCTGGGTGCTCCATTGCACACTCCACATTCACCAGATCAACTGTTCTCCATCAGCTTTCACTCCATACATATGCACTCCCAATTTCTATTATTTATTTCTCTTTTTAATATCTGGGTTCGAGGTTCTGGACGATGTATTCCCCTGCAATCATTTCGTCCTTTTTACTTGTAGCCCTACGCTAGTGCTAGTATGTGTGTCATGGCAGAGTAGTACAAGCCCTGGATCACTCATTGGCTACCTCTAATATAACTTCCTTGATTTCAACTACTTCATCAATGCTTTCGACGGTCGAAGTACAATCGCAAGCCTATAGACTGCTTTTGGGCGTCAGTGCACCAATCTGTCGATTCTACCTTATCGTACGACACAACTTCACACCTGAAGAAAATTCATTTTTTTGTGGATAAATCGGAGAAAAGGTTTCCACTTGTGAAATTTGCAGATTAATATTGATCTCTCGAGAACGCTACTTTGACTATATACTTAGTAATTAGGTACAAGTAGCACGCGCGACAGATCCAACTTCAAGGAAAGAAAGACCTCTTTTGTCACTGCTCATCTCGCCTCCTGACATCCTCCTGTCACTGAACCTTCGTAAGTAGATGTCATATACCTCGTATCTTGCGGTGATACAAGACCCAACTCAGACACATTGGTTCCTCATTGGTTCTTGTGCCATTTGCAGAAGCGAATAGGACAATGGAGGGCTATATGCACCATGTAGTATGTCGTTCGCCCAAAGCACCGCGTCAGCCGGAGACAGAGGGTCCTGATACTTGGCCGTATATTACGAACAGGGAATAGAGACGGAATTCTTTTGTACGCATGTAAGGCTGAGGCATTGAGGTGCATAAGAATAGCGCATGAAGTGACTCCTTGCCGGTATTGATTAAAATGTTTGGCAATACCCGGTGCGATTATTACACCGCTCGTGTGTTCAAGATGTATCTTGACATCCCAACTTCAGAGTATAGACCCATGACCTCGGCGAGCCCATTTACCTGGGTACTTTCAACGGCTTTGCGGAATTTTGTTGAAGCCCGGCCTCGTTCATACCACACCATCGATATCCTTCGCGTACAAGCGAAGTGTAACATCTGGTTGTTCTGGAACCAAGAAATCACCCATGTTTTGATGCAATCCACAGGGTTTCATCGATTGAACAGGTCACACCCACACATTAATTCAATCCTTTCCACCAAACGTCCCATGTAGCCATCCTTCTCCATGTTCCAATCCGCGGATGATCCTCAAAGGTCATCGTACATAAGTCCTTGCACTTGATCTTGTAATCTTGACATTCATTCGATCCCTCTGGCATACTCTGATATCACAGAAGTAAGTACGGTATCTCATATGCGTCGGAGACAGGAGATACTCACTGAATACATCTCTTTCAGGCTGTAGAAAAACTTTGCCAGGAAGTCACCATATTTTTTATTTGTGACGTTTTCACCGAGTACAATGCGATTTCCACTCTCATTCTCTTCGTCGTGTAAAGATTGTTCAATATTATCCAGAATACCTGTGGTCTTTCAGTATCGTGAGGGCTTCACATTTGTGGCTTTGACGCTTACCTCTCAAGAACTTGTCTCGTGATGTCGTAAAGTCGTTCTTCGATAAGGCGAGGATCTTCGGATACGGAGGAAGTGTGACCGGCAGATTTCTCAACAGTGGATGGCGCAGTCCATCGATAGAGAAAATGCAAGACAGGAAGTCATGTTCAACTGTGACTTTGACTGGAATGAGACAATTAAAGAGTGTCTCGATGAAATAGTCCTTGAGTTTCTGGACGGCTCGCTTGGTTTTTGAATTGAATCGAATCAAAGGTCCACTTACACTGTCTGCATACGACATGGGCGCTCTCCTCAGTATGTTCAATGCAACTCTAATATCGATCCGCCGTCGCCAATGGACATCGCCAATTGCCGTCCAAGTTTTTCGAACGTCTAGACAAAGTGAAAACCATGTCTATGTAGATGTACACAATGTGAGGAGAAGCTGCTTGGATGAGAACAACCACTGACCATGCTTTGACTATGTATTATGGCAATGCTGGCACATTGTATCCATGTATCGATCCAACCATCGACGTTCTCCATAACCTGAGGTGAAGGGCTTCGACCTTCGGGGTATCCCTCGAACATGTTTTTCAAACAACGATAGATAAGCCATGTCAGAGAGTTCAGGCTCTAAATGCGCGGGCAAGTTTCAGATATTACACTTGTTCACCCAAATTCAGCAAAACTTACCTTGCCAACGACGCGATCCTTGACTTCGATGTCTTGATGTAATCTGTTAGAGGCATTCGAAATTGCATTGCCGCCTAGAAGCTCATCGAGTGCGGGATCATTCATATCAATATCCACCTCGCCATATTCCTGGCTTTCCTGATTGTCATTCGACTCTACACCATTGTCTAGCAGCGGTTCTATGGGAGGACGTTCAGGAGGAGACACTACTTTATCCCTCAGCGAAAGGAAGGTACGAATAACCGCTGCGAATTCTCTTGCAGTCTGGGTATTGTCTGTAACGACCGCTTCTCTCCCGATTTTTTGTACCACATCTTATCAAATCTTGAGTCAATGTTCGATGCGTATAAAACCCACTTACCAAATAGAGACAAGTCAGGATACTGTGCTTCCATCTCGGGGTCGTTGTATGCATTCAGGATATGCCTCAGAGATCCCAATACCGCATTGAGCAAGAACCTGACTCGGTTCAATGACTTTTCCTCCTTTCCAGACAATTCTTTGTACTCTTTGATCAACACCTCAACGATTTCTATGTACCATGCATTCACCTCTGTCTGCTCCAACGGCAATTTTTCTAATATCATCATCTGGGTAACATACATCAAGCTTCGTATGCAAGCCATCCTAGAAGTATCATCGGATGTTCGAAAGTTGAAGTACTGCCTGGCCTGTTGGACCCGCGAACAATAATCTGAAGGCGACAAGTGAATGCGAACTGCGATTGCAGCCATACGATTATAGAGCATTGATAGCTCGTTTCCCTGAGGAGGATGAACTTTTGAGAACATCTCAACCGAGCTAAGAGGTGTGATCAACGTTAGATTTTTCTCCAGACTGTGTGGTGACGGCCTCTCGGACTGTTTGAGTGCGATTCCCCTTTGAACGACAAGCTTCACAAAAAGAACGAAGGCAGAATCTCTCCGTGAATATTCAAAGCATGACCCCCATCGCTGAGTCCTCAAGAACTCTGGGAAGTCTGCCTTCTCATGTAGTAAGTTCCGGAACTTCCGCGTCCCAAACGCACCAGAGAAAATATTCAAAACTGGAAATGAAGACTCGATGGCCCATTTCCAGCAATTGACAAGGAAGAAGCAACGTCGCACAATTAACGCAAAGTATCGGTCCTTCATCCTGAGCGGAGCGGAATTCAGCTGCTGGTCAATTGCCGAATCGGCTTTCAATTGCACGCTCTTAAGGGCAAAGAAAACAATCTTCCAGCCTTCCGATATGGAGGGCTTGTCCTTACACAATCCATGTTCGGAAAACTGGGATAAAGCGCACACGCCGGCAATGGTTTGCCAGATAACTTCGTTAGATTGCAGGGTCCATTTCGCAGCAGCCGAGGAACGACGTCCGAGCTCCTTTCTGATAATGTCCCACAGCGGGTGTTCGCAGCTCGGTCCATCCGGCGCACCCGGCCTCAGGACATGAATTAAGCACACCCATAACTCCGCTTCACGCTGAACGATGGAGGTTGAGTCATTGAACTCCCTCTTCTCCGAATTTTGGTCTCTTATCAGCGTCATAACGTCCCTGAGTCCAGGATCAACTTCTAGCAAGTATTGCACCAGTATCTTGCAGGCGTCGGAGAGCAACTTTGACGACGATAACCCGAAGCCTGCACGGAGCAGCATCTCGATCACGAACCAACACACATCAAACGTCATCAGGTCAATGGTGGATTTGATGAAGTCGGACGTGTGCATCTGGGTGATCAATAATCCGATCGTCTTTCCAACGATATCCTGAAGTTTTTTCTTCGCCTCATCTCCTTCACTTTTCATAAATCCCGTAAGTACATCTTCTGCTCCTCGCATAACGGACCTCCACTCTCGTGCAACCACCTCTTCATCCACATCCGGCAAACCCATGATGAAATCTCCTAAACTTTGACAGAGGATGGGTAAGTCCCGGAGAAAATCTGACAAGGGGTTGGATAGCGAGATGACAAGAGAGAGGTGGGGGGCTCTATATGATGGATGTTTCGAGTTCTGAATTAATGAGGCGGGTGCGGACGCAGGAGCGGAGTCTGCTTGTGAAGGGGGAGTAGGATGTATTAGCTGTAGCAATTCATATAACAACCCCCGCTTGATGTAGGTATTAAACCCAAAGGTTTGGCCAGAAGTGAGAAGCCCAAAATCCGTATCAACTTTGATAGAATTTGAACCTTCATCTTGCTCATTTTCTGCGAGAACACCGGTTTCAGCATCATCCTTTTTGACTAGTCGACGATGGGGTAAATGCTGCTTCGACGCTAAGTCCGGATGTGTAGTCCGATGTTGGGAAGATGATGGCGCAAGGGCCCGATGAAGTTCTTCATCCTCGGCATTTAAGCTCAGATCCTTCCATAGCCCCTTCCCCTTCGCCTTCCTCGGCCTTTTCCCTTTCCCTCTCGTAGTCCGGCGCTTCCTTCTAGTGCCTCCGGCGTAACTCCCACCTGACTCTGAAGCACCAAACTGACCTGCGTTGGCTAAAAGTCGCGTTCCGGCATCGGCGACATGGATATACACACCGTGCATCCGTTCAGCTTCTTTCCTTTGTTTTAGCTTCTGTTTCCAAGTGAGATTTTTGTTGCCTTTCTTTCGAGATCTTTCTTCGTCAGATTCCATTCGTAAAGATTCGTCCTCTTGACTTTCGTCGTCGTCGTCGTCATCTTCATCGTCTCGACGATCACTCTGGCTATATCCGTCGACGTCGGCGGCTCGAGATCTACTAGCTTCTCGGGCTTGACGATGATTGTTGAATGAAAGTAGACTCTGTCTTCCTCCTCCATGTCCAGGTCTAACAACATCGAGCCGATAGCCTCCGGTACCGGCCGAAGATTTATTTGAGTCAAAAGATTTTAGTAGTGATGTCTGAGTTTTAGCAGATATCGAACTGGATTTGGTTCTGCTCGTGTTGTAGCGTATCCCTGAACTAGAACCAGACCCTTTAGTCAACTGCTTTGATTTTCCTGGTTTCCGTCTCGATGAAGATGAACCACCGATATACACGTTCCTTGCCAACATGTAATCAATCAACAGCTCGTTCCGCACTGTTTTCCGTGAAGGCTTGACTGCGGAACGACCCGGATTGGCGCTACGCTGAAGAAATTCTGCGATTTCCTCATCATCGACATCAGTTTCGTCACTAGAACTGTCCTCTGATGAAGATGAAGATATTTCGATAATTTCCTGCTCCTGAACTTGAGAATTGAGAATGGAAGTTTAGAATCAGTTTCCGACATAGCCAAGAAGCGGACGGACTTACTATTTTGTCGTTGAGGCTGAGGTTGAACGGAACGTCGTCGGAGAATGTTCCGCTGACCACGAGAGTTAAAGGGCGAAGGTGAGCGTGGTGAAGATGGAAAGAATGAAGATTTGAAAGTCGCAGGAGCCATTTCTGTGCCGTCATCTTCTGATTCTGTATCGCCCTTGATAGGCCTTATATTTCCTCTCCTGACTCGCACCCTTGCAAGTCCCGGTCGTAGGTTATCACTGTCTTCTTCATCATCAGAAGAAATACGAAGAGAGGCCTGTCGTTGATTCCCTTGTTCCCTAGGCTGGCTCGACAGTCGAGCGCGGGTATTGACACCAAACGCAGGAAGCATGAACCTAGGATACAGCCTTCCGAGCGTCTTTAGTTGTCGATTCTCCTTGGCATCACCTGAGTCTGAGGACGAATCATTGTCCGAATCATCGACATGACCAGAATTCACAGTCGTCTGAGAGGTGAAACGAGATCGGGAACGGGGTCGAGAAATCATTGACGGCGGGGGGGAATTAAGTAAATGTGGGGGAGGAGATGCCGATCCAGGACCAGAGCCTACATTGTCGTCATAATCAAACTGGTCAACGCGTGGAGGGTTGCTATGGGAAGAAGAATCCGATTTCCAATCGTTGAAGAAAGCCATATCAGCATCATCCTCGTTGTGCCCCGTCGTTCGTTTATGAAGAATTCCAGAAGAAGGTCCAGGTTCGGGCGCTGGTGACAGAGTACAATCATGTCGATCTGAAGGGCCGGGAGTAGCATTCCTCTGGTTCTATAATAGAGCAAGCTTTAGTGAATTACAGATAAATTATAAACAAGACCTACCCCAGCAGGTTTAGTCCTTTCTTTCCTCGCTTCTCGTTCTTTATCTCTGACAGGAAACGACTTTGTTCTACTTCCCTTGTCCTTTTCAGCAGCGATGCGCTTCTCCTCCCTCTCCCTCTCCTTCTCCGCACGTTTTGCCTCCTTCTCCTTCCTCCTCTTCTGCTTCTCAATCTGTCTCGCTTCTTTTCTCAAACCTCTCATATCCTCGTCTGAACTCTCTGACATGGAAGGAAGAAGCTCATTGCCAACGCCTGTTGTTACGCTGTCTCCTTTTTGCCGAATTCTTGGCTGTGGCATTTGGGACTCTTCCTCCGGGTCAGACGGTGGCTGATATTCTTGTTCTTGACTTTCTTCTTCAGACAAGTACCCATCCCTGCGCCTTTGTTCGCGGTCTGTTCGTTTCTCCTTTTCAAGATATCGAGCTGTGACTACCGCCTCTGGAACGTTCTTCATTTGTTGCATGTACAGTATTTTATCGAATGTATATGGACGTCGTTGGTGTTCCCCGCGCTTTCTGAGATTCCGTTTGTTGGTACCCACAGCGTCATCGTCGTGAAGGACACGAGCAAGTTCTGCGTCACCATCTGTGCTTTGGGGTCGAGGCGGAGGGGAGAATAAAGGGGAATGAGTTGAAGGAGGGAAAGTGGGAGGAGATAACGGTGAAGGCGCACGATCCAATGGAGGAGGCGAAGGTGAATGAGCCGGCACAGGCGAGATCTCGCGGCCGTCGTGGAAATGCAGTAAATCGCCAGCATCTTCCACAGTAGAATGTTGCGGCGAAGGCAAAATGCGAGGAGCTGATGACGGGGGAAGCGGTGACAGATTAAGTTCCCTGTCATGATCCAGTAAATTCAATGGATCCTGCGACATTTCCAAGTCATCTCCAGCAACTCCAGCCACAATATCCTCATTTTCCCTCCTGTCATCATTCTCCTTCTCATCCTCAGAAGGCGGAAAGCTTAGAGGTGTTTCTACGCCCGAATCAGCCATTGGCTCAAATAACACGGACAATGGCTCTGTGAAGTCTGTTACCGGGGATTGAGATTCGAAATCAGAAAACAAAGGATCCGGGGCAGAGTCTCGTACTCGCGCTGGCCCGGGTGAGTCATTAGATTGACTTGGTCGTGGACTTTGAGCTGAACCCTTGCTGGCGTTCTCGTATACATGAGAGATCTAAATGAAGATATATAAATAAATTGTCAGTGTCAAAATCCAGTACCCGCCTTTCTTCTCTTTGTTTCTCTTGAAGACTCTGACTGTCGGGGTCTAACTCGATTTTGATAGAACAGACCTCGACTTTCTTCTAGTTCATCTTGGTCCGAGGTCTCCACATAGTCGTCTTCCATAGTGGCAGTGACATTAAAGTGACAGTGGGAAAGGATCAACGTTACAAACACGGGGTTAGGTCACACCGCGCGTTCCTCACACTACCTATTGCACATCATGAACGTCTATACCGCTAGCATTCAATATAGAATTCCAACACCACTACTCACTTATAAGTCTGCTGTGATTTACATACTACTCATACCTCACCTCGTTTTGACTCCATCTGTCTCAATCCCTCACATTCTGACTCTATGCTATTTCCAACAGCCTCAGACAAGAGCAGACAGGCTTCCAGTGCTCCAATCTGCCAGTGTAAAGCACCAAGAAAGCTGGAATTACTTCGAACCTACGGAGACTATCGTCAAAGTACTGAAGCTGGGCCAATCTTAATGCATGGTAATAATAGGCTACCAACTTGAAAGCTGGCTGTAGCCGGCGCTTCAACTTTTGCAAAAGTTCCTTTCAAAAGCTTTCAAATGATAAAGACAGAATTATCAACTATTTCTAAGTATAGCCTGGTAGCTATGAATGACCATCATATTGTTTCTTACTACGGCGAGTAATTTGTAAGTATCAATATATGAGTCCAAAGTCCGAAGTTGTTCGGTGGGGAAAGAAGTGCCATCTAGACGCGTGAAGATCCCGTATGATAAATTTATTCTTCATCGAAATCAATGACAACATCATGCTGTTTAAATTTTATGTCCGACTCTTTTCGCGAAAGGCCTAGGTTGCCCTCGGAATCATCGATGTCATCACTACTCCCACCTGCAGGTGAGTCTTCTATATGGCTACCCAGTCCATTGAACTTCATTGGCCGGAGGGGATAGGTTCTTGAGGGGTTCATAGCTTCGTTTTGAATAGTCGTGGTTGCCAGCGGATGTCCTCTAAATTGCATTGAGGCAAGCGTAGCTTCTTTACGCGTCATCTCATCATGCTGAGTCAATTTCAAGCATACTAGAACGATGATGACGGTCGGATATATTCCCTGAATGAAGTTTTTAGACGAAAATTATCGAGTTCATGTGTCTTGATACTCACAGTAAGATGCGCAAGCATGTCGGCAAGTATAATGACAACATTACTTGACTGGACGAAGAAGATAATAACCAAAATCTGGAAGGGACACCACCATGATTAGTTCAGCAACTGGGGATGTGCAGAATTGTACGTACCACGGCTATGCAATAAATCCCACCAGACTCTATAACCAGAAACAAAGCACCATAGTATCGAGGTCCATTAACAAGGACATCAACGCAAACACGCTTCATTTTTCTTTGGTGCAACCTAATTGACGGATTTTCAGTTACAGTTTAACGTGAACACAACACACTAATCAAAATCTTACCATGTTTTGAGCGAGATCACGATAACAGCATAGAAATTTGTAAGGAAACTGAATCCACCGAATATCGAAAACCAGATGGTGGTATTATTGCTGAAGTTCGGTTGGCCAGGAGGCGATAACGAGAATTGGTAAACCATGACGCTTCCTGTGACTAGAAAAAGCCGTCGTCGGATACAAGGGGGGAGTACGGCCAAGAGAGAAGGTGAAACCAGGGTACGGCCAAGAGAGAAGGTAAAACCATCAGCATCAGACCCTACAGGAAGATCAAACTCAAGCTTACCAGAGCTACCGACCATGAGAAAACATGGAAAGTAGATCGCTCTCCAGTCGCGACCCCAGAGAACCCATGTCCGCCATGTCACTATTGAATCACCGAGAACGCACTAAACAAAAACCAAATAAGATTAAATTCAAGAAAAAACCAATGAGCACTCAGCACTCATACATTGATAACCTCAAAAGCGACTTGACCAAAGTACAACGGGGACCCCTGGTCATCATACAGTGTTTCTCCACCATCTGCTGCCTTTTGCGTGAACAGCGCTACCAAGTTCATACGCACAGAGAGCGCAAGATGGACGGTGGATATACAATACATGACCACAGTCAAAATCGTCATGATAGTATTCGTGATTCTTTTCGATTTCCGTCTGTGTCTTCGCCTGTCAAGTTCCTTCAGTAAGCAGCCTGATAACACTACCATAATCACGACAAAGAATAATACGCACAAAAGCAGATACATTGCGCTGCAGAACAGAGTCGTATACATGCCTGGGGCCACATCAGAATAGAGACAAAATGCCATTAGTAAAGAAACTCACCATGGAATATTCCCTCGCAGAAGACCGACAGGAAATAAGATTTGGGAAGGGACAACCCAGTCTGATCTGTCATATTGAACACTACGTATCTGCGCTGTCCACTAGAAGACACAGAAACAGCGAAAACTCGGATTGGGGAGGGGGGACTGAGCGCCAACTGACGGGTGGGGGAGATACTTTTATGTATCAGTCACCCACACACTTCGAGATAATCTTAGCCATGAGTGGGATCCGGATGCTTTAATAGATAGAAGAGCGAGCCAAACCCCCCCAAAATTGAAAGTGAATCGAAACTGCCTTCATGACATCGTTCACGGTGATTTATGATTCATTCAGGCAACTACTTGGGTCGAAGTATATACCCAGAGTGGCAGTGAAAATTTAACGACCGGGAAAAAGAAGCAGGGGAGGGAGCGAGATGAGGTAGTAGGCGCCCCTTCGTGCTAAATTCGTACGTGGAAATCGATGCGGTGTCATTAATCATTCTTGAGTCTGGTACGTATTCGAGGCTAATTCTCGAGGGCAGTTCCAGCGTTTAACGTTTAACGTTCAGAGCTTGAAAAGAAAGCTCAAATGGTGCGTGGTACGCGAACAGTGCCACTGCCTAAGAGATGCTAATCCGGGAGATAAACATTACTCAAATCGTTCCATTTCGAGGAATCCCTAGTAGCGCGAAGAACTGAAGCCTGATAAGAATGACTCATCAGCTCTCATCAGAGTCCAGACTGGGAAAAATCAGACGCACAATGGGAGAGTACCATGATAAAGAATGAATGATTAGATAAGCACTGATTAGGTTGACACTGTTGAACACACAGAACTGACGTTCTGCTTGTTCTTCCAAGAGCTTCCAGGGTTCCAGGAGGGTTCTTTTCTTGTTCCGTCTTCTGATTTTCACCGACTCCGAGGCACACTGAAGAATTCAATATTCAATCTCCGAGTCGATCAATGGTGTACACATCATACTCTATCATACTCTGTCATTGTGGCTCACAATGTTTATTGGGGGGGCGCTAGAAAGCATATGAGAGCCGCCTCTGAGAGCATATGTCTCCAATTTGATGGACGAAAATCGTGAAAGCGTCGATATTACTTCAAGTTCTCAAGGTGAACCTAATCTACATAGTGTGTAAATCTACAGCCATCTTAGATACCTATCGACGATGTACGCAACCTTTTCTGATTCCGACTTTCCAGGACTTTCCCTCCTCAGGCTAGCTCAGGCTCTACTGGCAGTGCTTTGATTCTTGATTCCCGAAGCTTAATGCATCCTCAAATCAACTCCGAGTCATACCCCACCGAACGCGTTTATCGCTCGGAAAAGTTCATCTGACGCGACAGCGGTCGACCCACTGTGACACAAAACCATCCAAATCATCACAATCAACCAACAAGGTCAACAAACTCATCTAAGCCGCGTTTACAACGTTACACTATCGCAATACCAGGCCCAAGTTTGATCAGCGCTAAAACACCTTGAAGGCAGATACAGACAATGTGAAAACTCCCAGTCCCAGGATGGCTAACGAGTCAAGATGATTGTTATTTCTCATGGTCACAAAAATGGATACGCCGTACACACAGACCTTGCGGATTTACAATTCTTGAAATCACCATCATCAGAGGAGTGAGTCCACTTTAACCAGAAACTCGTTTATCTAGAAAGAAGACTCATCGAACTCATGTCTCCCTTCAGTGCTCATGGGGGAGGTGCTTATGTAATACGACTGCCACTTTCCCTCTTCAGGCTTTCATCAAAATACCTCAACCAGGTTTGCAAAAACTCCAGTATAACACCCTCCCCGCTCAAGCGTTCATCGCTCGTCCAACTCGGCACTGACATCAAACAAAGCACCCCATTCCTTTGAATCACTGCAATCAACCAACAGATCTCATCCCAAGCGGCGCTTTTCAACAACTTATCTCATCTAAGCCGCGTTCACAACGCCAACCTATCGCAATAACCAGGCCCTTTGATCAGCGCTGAACAATCTGAAGCAGATATAGATAATGTGAACCATTCCGATATTACTACTCCCAGGACGCTATGTAAGTATAATAAAGCTTAACAAGATGACGACTGTCATCGCAGGTTAAGCCGAGTCGTCCTTGTGGCTGACCGAGTCCTACTCCATACACACACACACATTGAACAGGCTTGAAACTTGCGGGATTTTACAACTTTTTCGTGTTTTGCACCCCGGGCCGTTTGTACTTTCCGATAATGTGAAATCATACTAACGAACAAGTTACAACATCTGGGGAGGATCATATCATATCATTTAATGCATTTGAAACATATCTTAAGCCTCACTGCAATCTCCTGGAAAAATTCTTTTATTGGAGTCTACTCCCGAATTTATACTATATTCTACTTCCAACACAACCAGTTGACCTCGGAGGGAACCCCTAGTAGCGCTGCGGGTAGCACGGTACGATCTGTGACTCGCGACACCCATAGAAGCCAATGATGTCTCTCCACTGAGTGCTCATCATATGGGGGGTGCTTATCAGAATACCTCACAGTCAACCGGTTTTGCAAAACCTCAATGAACTACTCCCGTTCAACGCGTTCTACCTCAATCATCAAAAAACCAACAGATTCAGAGTCATCCTTGACTCAGCCGCGTTATTTTCCAACTTATCGATGCCATGTACCAATGCGAAACATTATTGCGGTACTTCCCACTGGGACCGCAATGACAAGGATAGAACTTCTTAGTCAAAGTTAAGTAAGTTGTTTTTCCTGTACAGGAAAACAAGATGAATGTTTTAAATTATAATTATTACCACATGGACTCAGAGGGGAGCACGCTGTAGCAGGCCCTAGCCCGTCGATAGCCGTCGATACTACATATCATACTTCTACTTACTCCCGCCAGTGGTTGAGTGGACCTACCACCACAGCCTACTAGCACAAACTCGAAACCGAACTTATTCCGGAAAAATGAAAATGTTCGTCGTATGTACGTACCACTTCCGATCAGTGCTATGACTCAGAAGGAGACCCAGCATTCTTGAAGGACTCTTCCGTATACGAGGAACAAGATCGGTCTGTGAATACTTTTTCATCTACCATGCACCTATGCACTCACTCTACACACTCAAGCCTAAGCCTAAGGACTAAGCGCTAAGCTCAAAGTTTCAATCAACGAACCCTCACATCCTCACATCCCCATCCACCCTTTCCACCTCGGCATCCCCACGCTTTCTCTGATATTCCCTACCCCACCCCCACCTACCCCACCCCCTCCTCCACTTACCCCACCCACATTACTATCACCTCCACCTCCACCTCCACCTCCTACCCCACCTGCACCCCCACCTACCCCTAACCACATAATCAACCTCTCGAACCCCATCCCAAACCCACCATGTGGGACCGACCCGTGGCGGCGGAGGTCGAGGTACCATTCGTATGGGTTTTGGGGGGGTTTTTTAGACGAGGGGGAGGTGGGGGAAGGAGAAGAGGAGGGAGACGAGGGAAACAAGGGAGACGAGGGAGACGAGGGGGAGGAGAGAGACAAGGGAGACGAGGGGGAAGGGGAGGAAGGGGAGGAAGGAGAAGGGGAAGAAATCAACCCAGCCTCAACCATACTCATCCTCAACACCTCATACCTCTCTTCCCTCACACTGCCCCCCACGAGTTCCCCGACCCGAGGAACGAGGAGATCAAAACACGCTACTGTCTCCATATTCTTCTTCTCTTCAGTCACTCCTTCCCCTTCTACTCCTACTCCTTCTACCCCTTCTACCCCTTCTTCATTCGACGTAGCATCCCCAACATCCCCATTAACCCTCATATAAAACGGCTTCACCCCGCGCGGGTAGTCCATAACAAACACCGGACCGTTGAACACCACCTCTGCGAGGTATTTCTCGTGTTCTGATTGTAGAGAATGTCCAAGAATCGGGGGGTACGTGAACAGGGGCTGAGCTTGTTGTAGAATACGTATAGCCTCGGTGTACGTAATCCTAGGCCAAGGTTTCTGACTGAACGCTGCTTGAGCAACTTCGTTGTCCGTGTTAGGAAGAACCCGCGCAATAGTATACCGGAGCATATCTTCCACAAACGTACACAGACCATGTAAATCGCGTGAGGAGGAGGAAGGGGACACCAACCCCTCCCTCGCCCCATCCATCCCTATTATATCTCCCACCCCACCCCATTCACACTCCAACATCCAAAACTCCGCAAGATGTCTCCCCGTCATGCTCCTCTCAGCTCTAAAACACGGTGCAAGGGTATACACCCTCCCCAGTGCCGCTTGGAACGCTTCCAGATGGAGCTGCGACGATACAGTCAGATGAGCTGGTCGGCCGAAGAACTCTTCTTCTTCCTCTTCCTTTCCCGCCTCACGATTCGTGTTCTCCTTCCCAATCCTCCCAACCCTAAAACTCTCCCCCCCTCCCTCCGCATCAATCCCCGTAATAACCGGCGTATGCACATACACAAACTCCTGTTCCCCCGTCAAATACCCCTCCAGCGCTTCTTTGACCTTGGCGCGTAGACGCATCGTATGCTGCATCCCGGGTGTGCGCAGACGGAGGTGTAGGTGTTCGCGGAGGTATTCCGCGGAGTGAGCGCCAGAGGACGAGTGGGGGCCAGAGGACGAAGGGATACCAGAGGACGAGTGAGCACCAGGGGTGACAGAGGAGGAGACAGAGGAAGGGGAGGAAGAATGATGCAACTGCAAAGGATACGTATCCGGATCACACCTCCCCACCACCTCAACCCCCTCCACCCCCCCAACCCCCTCCACCCCCCCAACCCCCTCCACCACCTCAACCCCCTCAACCCCCTCCACCCCATCCACACCCTCCACAACCAACTCCACATCCTGCCCCGGCCCTTTACTCTCCACCAACCTCCCAGTCACATTCACCGCAGCTCCGAACGTTATTTGTTTGAGTTTCTCTACCATCGCCGTACTCGTTCCTCCCCGTTGAACAACCCCATGTCTAAAAACAGCCTGCAGCCCCTCGGACGTACTCCCATCCTCGATCAACGCGAACGTGCACCGTTTTTGGCGACGGATGGAGCGGACGTGCCCAGTTATCGAGGTTAGTGAGTTCAGCGGTGGGGCGGACGAAGTACTGGAGGTACTGGAGGTACTGGTAGTACTCGTAGCAGTAGCTTGCTCCAACAACTGCTTTATCGTCTTCGGCAACCTACGAACTACCGGTGCCCGAGGTACCATATTCACCATCTTTCTAGAATCATACACACCCAAGCCTTCGTACTCGTCGTCGGTGTCGGAGTCGATTTCGTCCTCGTCGTGGTAGGAGTCGAGGAGGAGGAGGAGGAGTCGAGTCGCTGTTGTCGTCGTCGGGTTTATGTATAGCAGATGTATAGTCCAGTCCTTGGAACTAGTAATAGCAGCAGGCGTGAGAAACACAAACAAAACCAAAACCAACCAAAACCCACTAATAGTAACCGAGAATTCAACACGAAAGAGTGAGGTCGAAAAGTCGAAAAAGGTCTAACCAGGACTCGAACCTGGGTCACGGGAATATATATACCATCTAAAATGTGAAATATCAGAATCCCGTGTGATAACCTCTACACTATTAGACCATTACCTCTTCAAAGTGAGTGGATGGTATTATGTGTTATCAGAGAGAGAGTGAGTGTGAATAAGATTATCAGATTCTCAGAGAGAAAATGAGTGTATAGTATTATCAGAGAAAATAATATGAGTGAACAATATTACCAGAACACCATGAACAGATCAAACCCATTCTTTACTCTAAAACCATAATCCCATTTTCCATGGCTTTTCCATGGCTTTCAAGTAATGCTTCAGGAATCAGGGGCTACTGCTCAGGCTGCTCAGGCTGCTCAGGCTGCTCAGGTGTGCATGCCAGGAGAATACTACTCAGGTATGCATGCCAGGAGAACAAGGCAGAACATCAGTCATCACCATTATAGCTATAGCTTTGTAGCCTAGTTGGTCTAATCTAGTGTAGTTGGTCTAATCTAGTGTAGTTGGTCTAATCTAGTGTAGTTGATCTAATCTAGTGTAGTTGGTCTAATCTACTTGGTCTAATCACTCAATCATATATTCACTCCATCATATATTCACTCCCTCGTATAACATGCATGCATGCATGCATAATAATAATAAAGTCAAGGACATAGCTGAAAAGTCAAGAACATAGCTAAATATTTCAATAATCAATCACCAACAAACACAAAGTATACATTCATCATTCATATCATTTACCCCAGAAAAAAGTATGGCAAGGGGGGAAGGGGGGGGGGCACTGTTTGGGGGAGGGGGACCGTTTCTATATGAATTGTATCAGATGATATCAGACAGTGTTACTGAACACATGATGCAATTGAAGGCCACTGTACATGCAATTGAGGGCCACTGCAAGTCTGCAAGTCTGCACAACTGTGCACAGCATTCACTTGGCCAATAGAACCATTACATTGAAGCCATTTGATTAATCATAACTTCCAATTCTTCATACATAGTATACATAGCATACAGATAGATAGATAGATAAATAAATAAGATAAATACGTGGGGGTCCATCGAGTACAGGATCCCACAGGGAAACAAGCCTAACATAGTATAAAGCAGTGGAATCCAATAAATTGGGGATGTGTGATAGCTAGCAGTCAAGAATGTCGCATAGACACAAAAAAAAACTCTGAGCAGAGAAACATGATAGTGGTAAGCATCAAGCATTGGAAGAGAACATGTTGTGGAGTTTCTCTCTGTAGATTACATCACATGCACAACAGGGGCACAATTGAGAACCTCAGTCAAAGTAAGCTGACAAAGGGGTAAGACAGAGGCTCAGAACATTAGGGGGGGGGGGGGGGGGGGGGGGGGGTAAAGTCACCACAGAGGAGCTTGGTGACAGTACGACAATGAGTGTGGTTGTTGATTTGAATGAGATAATATAATAGCAAAGTCCGATGAATTGCAGTTTCGCGGGACCCTCTTCCTTTAGTTCTAAGCAGTATCTCAGTAGAGAAAGTTTTGACCAGATGTCTTAGACATATGTGATTGTAGATTGGATTTTGTGCAATAGTTAATGGCTTTGATCAGACTGTTGATTCAGTTGCTATTGAGATCCCAAAGGTGAGGGAGGTGGTGGTGCCCTGGGAGTTGGGAGATTGCATAGTCCAAATCCAAAAGCCAGCACAGTGAGCCATTGCAGTGAAGATTGTCATTCTCCCCGAGGGCCAGGGAGGCATAGTAAGAAGAAGAAGGGAGAGTAATGAGGTATTTCAGGTATCATAGTGCAAGTGATGCACGGCAGGTGTGGATAGGCATGATGCCTGTTTCAGTGAATAATGGTGTGCTAACAGAGGTTACAGTGAGAAATGGAAATGAAAACGGACTTAAAACACTGCTAAACCAAACAGCAGTGATACTTTGGGAGTAGTCACACAATGTCATGTGCATGTCACATCCAACTGAATGGTTTTAAGACTCTGTGACTTCATCACCGACTCTGAAAGAGGAGGTCCTTGTTCACACCAAATGGCAATCAAAAGTCATGAGTTTTTGTGATGGTAGTGTCCCAGTGACACAAATGTGCAGTGCCTTTCGGGGGTTCCAGCACACTGGTTTGCAGCATTTTGCAGTCTGATGCAAATGTGCTGTACTTTCGGGGTTTCCGGTGCACTGCAGTGCACTGCTTAGAGAGGCTTAGAGCTGTTCCCATCCATCTCAAGGGGAACACACATTTTTAGATTCAACATGGCAATGGGAGAGAGGTAGATAGATGTACCCTGGACATACCTGCTTATGCTGCCAGGCTACTATGTGGGTTTGTTTTTTAAGCACACTTTCTAATAGAAAGGGAAATTAGGTTTTATATTCAACTAAAATATTGACTTTCAGAGTCGGGGACTGCCGTGCGGGGTGCGGCGCTAAAGGATACCATAAATAGGCAAAAAGGGGTGGTCTAAAAAGGAAGTATGGCACTTAAATTGCAAATTGAACAACATTCCTGGAGGTCAAGTATCTATACGTAGAGCAAATCACAAACAAAACCTCAGCATTGAACCGATGATGTAGTAGATGAGTAACTGTAATGTAGGTATAATAAAAGAGACTTACCCTCAGTGTCGAACCAATGAGGAACAGAACAGCTGAGGGAGAGGATCGTGCGAAAAACAAACTAAATAGTGCTAATCATGTGTAAGCGGAATGAATTGGCTAAGGAAGGAAATACTCCGTCCAACAAACATACATAAGGATGAGTCTTCATATATTCAACCTTGTAACAAAGAATTGAGCATGTCATTCTTTACTCAAAGGATTGGGCATATCCCTGTATATTCAGCCTCCTTGTATTGTTATCAAAACATACAAGGAAGGGCCATTGTGGTGGGACTCTCAATATAAATAAAATATTCATTGCAAATTCTGTAAATCATTGGTGTCTGACACAGATCCAATGTCAGCTCATCAAAACCATGTCAAATTGATATTGTAGAATTTTTGTCAAATAACGAAGTAGCGCCGGTGAACGGCAGGGCCCGCTACCAGTCAATGGGTGGTCTGTGAGCACTAAGTACAAGGTGGATTGAACGTTGACACATCTGCAAAACCTGGATATTCGGCTAAGCACTGAGAGCAGATCCCAGCAGATCCCAGTGCTGAAAGCACTGAAAGCAGTATGCTTTGAGTGCTTTCACTGCTGGGAAGTGCTCTCAACTGCTTTCGGACCCTTAGCCGAATATCCAGGTTTATGAAATGTATTTTAGAACAACTGTATGCAAGCTGATTTTTAATCTACGCATTTTACACCGTGGCATTAGCCAAAACCCTGCGGAAACTACTCTTTTTGCTACTAGACGCATCATAAAACACATCCGAGAAGCTCAGAATGCCAAAAAGACGTAAAGGCCGGATAGGTAACTTCAATGAAGGAGGGAAGAAGTGGGCTATAGGATACTACCGCATGTACTACAGCACATAAACTGGGATATAACTGGGTATTAGGTAAAGGAGAAGGGAGAGAATTTGAATGAGGTACATGGTCTGCTCTTAAAAGAGCTTCACATCTCAATAAAACATTATTAGAACAATAATCCTGAGAGTGCTTCAGCCTTTGATCCCAGCTTGGACCACCAGTTGCAGACACATCAGTTTCAGCACACCATGTTCAGTCTGTTGGATGCATACCACCGGGGTCTCTCAGGGAAACAGGCCTAAACAGGCTGCATGGGCAGGGAAAATGTACCATGGTCATTATATTCTTCCAGATTCACTCATGAAAGATATAGAAGTAGCTAATCTTCAGTAATCTACTAACTTAGGCGTACTTTTGTACTTAGTGCTTGCTTTAATTAGGGCATTTGAATAACCTTCACATGACTGGTCACAGTCTGGTCACAATGACGTAGGTGCGCACATCGTCCATGAGCCCTACACTGTGGGGATGAGCCGATTTCCTCGAGGCGAAAATGTGGGTTTTATCTCGAGGTTATGTACAAAAATATGGCAGCAGATATTTTGAAGGAATTGAGCTGAGGTTATGGTAAAATTATGAAAAGATAATTTAAAATAAGCACGGCCCCCCGCCAAATTCACGATAGCTTCACAATAATCGCCACACGAAAAGTTTTAAAATTCGTGCCCAGGATTTTTGATGAATTTTGGTAAAAATCCTTGCATTTTCTCTAGATTTTCACCGCGAAGACATTGGCTCATCCCCACAGTGCTATCTTAGCGGGAATAGAGTTATTTTTACATAACATATCATGTGGGCGTAATCTTGATTTCTCCTTAACATCATTACCTGTATGTCAATTTGACCTTCATTTTGTTTTGTGGTGTACAACCTGATATCTGTGCAACATCTCAGTTGGTAGTTATGTTCCATGTGAGATCAATTCTCGTAACTTTTTCTTCAGCCAGGTGCCCTAGTATCCTCCAACTGCGACGGGTGACAGAACTTCCTGATGACCTCCATACACCCTATGCAAACCTCTATCCGTCTTGCTCGTCCCAACGAATATCCTGCTGCAATTCGTGTGCTCACTCGAGCCTTCACACAAGATCCGGCATTTAACTGGTACGGCGGCGTGAAGCAGGCCGTGCCACACTATGAATCCAATTCTGCTGACGCAGTCAAAACCATGCGGAACTTACGATATTTCCAAGAAGCTGTATTAAAGATGACGGTTATTTCCGGTGGATATGTCGTTGTTGTTGTTGTTCCCAATGGTACCAAAGGCATTCAACAGCCAGGATTGGAGGAAAAGGAGATGATCATAGGCGTTACTCTCTGGCTCAAGCCTGGTCAAAGTGTGGATTTGGGAATTCTGGACATCATTCGTTCTGGTGGGTTGAAAGCTTTATGGGGGTGGGGATTCATGGGTCTCAAGGTGACCTCCACTCCGAACGGAATCTTCATATTATCATCCCTTATTGACTCAACCTTCATCAACATTCTTCATCAGAGAGTTTTTCTCGATTTCACACCAGCTGTTGAACGATCATTAAAAAAAGGATTTCATTCTCGTAACCTGGACAGGCTTGATTCGTGGCATCTACTCGAAATGGTCGTTGATCCCGAATTCGAGGGCATGGGTAGGTTGATAGTACCGTTATTTTCCTCCACTGTCCATTGCAACTAACTTTTATCGATTTATTATGTATATCTCACAAATATATCTCATAGGAATCTGCTCGCTCATGATGAAGGACGGGTTCACTCGAACAACTCCCAAACCTGTTCATCTAGAGGCAACAAAAGCTCGTACGCGAGATATCTATGCACACTTCGGGTTTGAAGTCAGTATGAACCTCGGACTGCTTTTACAATCTTTCCACTATCTGTATAATCACTTATCATTCATTCATTCTTGCAGGTCGACGAAGAACATCAATTCGGAGTAGGATCCGTCGATGAGAACGGCATTAGAGCTCGTGGAGAAAAGGCTACTGGGTATCCAGAGTGGGTCATGACAAAGGTAATCAATCTCGGATGATGAATGATCAGCGCCGCGCTAACTGTTTCACCAGTGGAATTATACAAGTTAAGGTTGATTGTGTATGCAATCTGAAGTCAATTTGCTTGAGGTGGAGTATACATGAACATTCATGAGATACCCTACAATCCTGATGCCCAATATTACAAGAGAAACACTTCTCCTTTAAACAAGGTGACTGCCACAATTGGGATTGAAATTAGGGATATGAGTGCTCATACTAAAAACTCATTCCTGTTGAAACTATCAACCAGTTGATGTGATGAATTCCTGCTCCCAAGTATTTTTTCAAGACCACCCTTGACCACTTGTTGCCATTGATATTTCTGCATGTCACTTGGAGCAGATTATACACTATAATTGAAGACATCATGATATACTGTCCAGATTCCACATTGCTAGCACCAGCAAAACCTACAGAAGAATCAATTAAATGCCAAAAGTGTTGGAGAGTGGACCACTGAAACATTACTTTTCATTAAACATCCACTCGATCTCACTTTCATCAACCTTTTCCGACGTTGAATCATTCGCGACAGCGTCGGCTGTATCCGTCATACGTTGAGGCCCATATCCATACCACTTAAACGCTGGAAGATGCAGTGCCCTTTCAAACTCAAATTCACCTTCCTCTCCCCCAAAAGGCACAAACCACCGCTCTGCAGATCGATACCCCACCTCCCTCAGCTCCGAAGGAAAATTCCATATCTCGACAACTTGGATATCATGTTGAATAGAATATTCCCAAATCCTGCGTACAATCTCGGAAATATAATCGGGGCTTGGTGCATGTAATCGTGTAACGAGAAGTGTTCGTGGCGCAGGGGGACGTAGCTCAAGTGTCCATGCAACGAATGCCTGGACCGTACCAAGGTCATTCGTAGAATCATTTGTCAGGTCGCTTCTCGGAACAGACAAAGCAACACCACAGTGCACGATATTCTCCTTTTCCCAGAAATACTGTAGCCGTTCGCGCTGGAAAGCTTCTACGCCGCCGGATGGAAGAAACGTGAATAAGATTTTCGTTTTCGAGGACGAGACAGACGAGACATCGAACCAGCGAGCGCGTAAATCCGCTCGCATGCGCTCCGCATCTTGTGTGCAAAGCTGGTTTATCTCTTCGTGGGTTAACCATCGCCAATTTCCCGCAGTACTGGTTATCGCAGGGGTAGTAGGAACATCGACTTTTGGATTCCACCTCGCTGTTCTCGTCCCTCTGATGATCCATCCATTCTTCTTCGTTCGGTCCGCAGTATCAGGATTACAACTCTCATAGAATAACCCTACGTCACTTGAAAGAGCAGAGAATATAGCATTGCCCATCCCAGGTGGAGGGACGGGCTGCGAACCCCAAATATCGGAAGGAAATCTGATATTTGGAGACATGTTGTTACCAGCCAGAATCCAATGTAACAGACTCATCATTAGACGAGCGTATCCTTTTCCACGATTGAAGGGAGGTGTGAACACAGAAGCAACCCCGTAACATTCGACTTGCTCGATCAACGGTTCTGAATCAGGAGAGTTGGGATTCTTTCTCGCAGTCAATCCTGTCCGTAGAAATCTAGGAGGTTTTATACGTTTTCCTTGGTCATGACAAGAGTAAACATATAAATTAGTCGCGTACGGACGTTTCACAGGAACAAAGAAAGTCAAGCGTCTCAGGATCGTTTCGCGGTGCAAGTACCCTAGCAACATCTCAGTGGAGGAAGCGTCCATGAACCTTGGCTTCGAGCTCAGCGCTCCAGTTCCACTTTACTTACCAAATCATTAACTTCCCATCTCTCCCGCATTCGGATTTCTGCAAATCCAGATCGCGTTGCACATATTGATCCAAGGTCATTCCATTGCCCCATGCTGAAGCTCCCGTCCTTCTGCTAGAAGCTTCAATTTGCTGGGGCGTCGCTGCAAACAGGGAAAGCGTGGATGGATCCATAATAATGAATATGGTTGGCCGTGAGAATTACTGAAGATTGTGGTGTAAAGGTCAGGCCTAGTAAGGTTAGGGTTAAGCCAAACTCTTCACGACACGAAACTCTATCGATATCGTGCCGTTTCACGCGAAACCATCTTCAAGAGGGAGTTTATCTGGACCTATTATTCAAAGCCGCACAATACCTGGTCCAATAACAGTCAAGTCTTTTCGAAATAAAAAATGAAGCTCGTACGGTAAGTTGTTCGCTTGGTTCTGCGCGTTATGTTTTCCTCTGGCTTGGCTTGGTGCTTTTGTTGGGTACTCCTATGCATCGTTGGCTGTGCTTGTGCTAGTGCTTGTTAGGACATCTAGCGGATCAGTCGTTCTTGGAATAGGAGCCTGGTTGGGGGAGGATTCAGGATGGACTGGGGTCCGCGTATAGGAATCTATGCTCCGAACAAGATACAACTGCGACTGACCATGAAAATGTTGTTTATTTCTTTGATAGGTTCCTGATGAAGCTGAATAATGAGACAGTGACGGTGGAATTGAAGAATGGGTCTGTTGTTCATGGTACTATCACCGGTACGTTCTTCCCAACAATTTTTATCCCCACTCTCTACCTCCTAATTACCCACATCTTACTCACCCACGATCTACTCATTATTTATTCCATCCATCAATCCATCCATCTATCCATTTTCCCCATTTTAATACTCATAACACTCACACAACTATCCTCGCAGGAGTTGACATGCAAATGAACACCCATCTCAAGACCGTCAAACTTACCACTCGTACCCGGGACCCCGTCTCCCTCGATACACTTTCCATCAGGGGTAACAACATCCGATACTTTGTCCTTCCTGATGCCTTACCTTTGGATACCCTTCTCGTTGATGATGCGCCGAAACCGAAGGGTCGCAGGGGCGCAGAGGCACCGGGAGCAAGAGCCCGAGGACGCGGTGCGCCGAGAGGCGGTGATAGGGGGAGGGGCGGTGGGAGAGGGAGAGGACGGGGAAGGGGACGAGGGTTTTGATCACCTACTCAATTTTGCTTGCGTTGCGCTATGGAGGCTGGTAACAGGGTCGAAGTGGACATCTCTCGCGTGAAAGCCATACTACGTAACGGCAAAGATGGGATCGATCCTCCTGCATACCGCTCTACTGTTGGCTCTGTATCCGTCTCAAATCGCAAACGGAAAAAGTCTCATCATTTTATTCTTCTGTATGGGTCTGATAATCTCCGTTGTGCTTTTCAAAATAGCACCCCATAGTACTATATCGTTTGTGTTTCTTGTCCCCTGTCCTACCGTTTTCACTGTACTCTTGTGCTACTTACTACCCACCATAACGTGATGATGATTGTCACTGCACCGAATTTTTCCGCGACCCCGATCTCAGCTTCATGCATCATTGAAGAGAGTAGCGAAGATCAAACAATGGTAACTTCTTTACCAGACCGAACACTCACTGGAGTCGACAGTTGCTTACGCTGCTTGCTTAGCCATCTTCGAGATAAGATTTCTGCTCAGCTCTCCGATATGGCCGCCAGTCTAATTTACATCCCCGCTTCAGGATGTAGCCGCGCTCTTTCAACTAATTGTCCAGTCCACCATTCTTCGAAGTTATAGAGCGCTCCCAGGCTTGCGCGTTGGAAATAAAGATAAAGTTGGATCTGATCCATTTTCTGAGTGTGAATCCATGAAAGAAAGGAAGGTTGGTGGACCCACAAAAGACTCATTGACAATAAAAGCCTGATAAGAATTTAGGCAGCTGATTCCCAAATCTTAAGACTTCAATTGCACTTCTGCTGCAGTTGTGTGCGCAATGTCACAATATAACGGAGTCAGGATAGTCCTCTAGGATGACTATGTGTGGAGTAGATTAGTATGTCATATACCTAGTGTTGATAGATCCGAACATTTCATGACCTCCCTAACTCTCAATTCCGGCTGGGGTCAATGAAAACAGTTAATGCTCCTTTCCCACTTGCTCCGAGCCTCTCATCCCAACACACACCTCTTTCAGGTCTAACAATCTCCCAACCCTCCTCATCCCTTCTCCATATTTTTTCCTTCTCTAATCTCTCCAAGCGTAGTTGAACTTCGGAGGGAGGTATTTTAGACGGATCCTAGAAGCGCACTTAGCGTAGCCTTGGAATTCGAGAAAAGTCATGAACCCACCGAATTATAAGCCTCCTTAGCTTTTTTCCATTCTTTCATTAACTCTTCCGAGATAATGCCTTCCTTCTCATTTTCACCAATGTTCGGTCTTTCGATCTCATCAAACCCACCTCTCCTCGCAAACTCTCTCGCGACCCATAACTTCCGGGGTAGCTCATTATAATACTTTTCTCGAGCTTGTTGGATTACTCCCAGTGGCGACTTGGGATTTATGTCGTTTACAGAAGCGGACTCTGATACAGGAATGGTTGTGCTTGATGACGAGGACGATTCGGAAGAGGTTGATGAAGGAGATGTATCCAAAAGCGATGGAAGGGGCGACCGTAACGAGGATCGGTAGAATGACTCGGTACGCAATGCGAAATCAAGATCGCCGCCTTGGGGTGGTGGTGGCGCAAGAAGGGTCAGACCCGACTTCAAATTTGAATTTGGTCCTTGCAATTCCCTGGTGGCTCCAGACACAGCTCTCAACGCCGCTTCTCCTCCGTCTCTGACATGCTTCCGTCTATAGAAAAAGTCGAGAACCATGTAAGGAATCTGAGTAAATCCGATGTGGTTGACGAAGGGAACGAGAAGTAGGGGAGGGAGGGGAGGAATGTCAGGTAGAGCAGCGTTGGACAATACCGGTAATGGTGCCGGTGTGTTCAGAGATGAAGAAACGTTTTGTGTATACAGGTCCTGTTCGTCGAACACGCTATCATCTAGCATACTCCGTACTTTCTCCTCCCTCGAGTCATCGCCCCAGTTCGGCCTCCCATCCACAGTTGGAGGTTCCGTCCAGCCACGGACGATCCCGGAGAAGTATTCTTTGAGGGTGGCTCGATGATACGAGTATATAAGAATTGTGCAGAAATGTGTACAAGATTAAACGAACATACCTCTTCCGATGATGACTGTCCCGCCAGCGAGTTCCAATGACTCCCGTTCGGTCTGCGTCGGGGCATGGTATTGTGGAGGCATAGCCATCCCTAATGTTCTTATTAGAGATGTCGACAGCTGTTTATTATTTGTACATACCAGGTGAAACCGATTCAGAGCTTGAGGTTGCATATTCCTGCTCAGCCCGCTTCCTCTTGATCTCATCAGCAATCTTCAGTGTTAGATCGCCATGTTTCTTGCCCGGGACCATATCATAATCAATAGCCGCTGCGACGAAGATTGGCTGCAACAAGACGATGAGTATAACATTGCACGTAAACCATGACCGGCAACTCACCTTCAAATACCTTCTAAAATACTTCATCGCCACATCATAGTCCTCATCCCCAGGCCACCTGGCTGCATATACTGTCAGTTTACGTGGCCAGGCCAAATGGGCATCTTTCCCAAGTGTTTCTACTCCACTACCATCGTGCCAGCTATATTCCTCTGCTAAATTCTTGACCCTGCCGATATATTCTTCCCTCAACGCTCGACATTGTCTCCTGTCATATATATACGCTCCAACCAATGACCCGGTGACCCCGAAAAATATAAGCCAATTTCTTCCAGGAAGTTTAGGCCGTTTGAGTAAGGAGGGAGGAATTCCGGTGTATTCAAGCGCTGCGACAAAACCGGATTTTGGCTTTTGTGAAGAGGGAGAGCTCATACGGACCAAGGCCTAGAAGGAGTAGAACCTGTCTTGTGCCTGTTGGGTCGTCGCGCAGATGGGCGCGTCAATAGCACTGAGAATTTAGGAAAGAAAAAAATTGCCAAGCTTTATGCCGGCCCGGAACTTCAAGCACGTGAGCGCTCCTCAACTTCTCTCTCAATTTCTTGCACTAGTACTCAAGATCTTAAACTCATCATGCTCTGTGGCTCCTCAAAGGGTGCATCTTTCGGTCGGAGAACGGTAAGTGTCATTATTGCTTTTGGAATTGTTTGTCTCTAACTAGTACATAGCTTCAACGTAAAGTCGTCGGTGAGAATTACCAGCGGTCGGCCGTGTTAGTTCAGTTCATTGACGGTGGTGTTCATTTATCCCATTATCGTTTAGTCTGCGGAGATGGCGCATGTGGTGCGTGCTCATTCATCACTACCAAGCTCACATTGACCTTACACAAGCTTTGTTCTTTCATCTTCAGGGAAAACATCTCTGCTGAACGTCTTCACCAGAGGATTCTTTACACAAGTCTAGTTCGTGTCTATGCTGCACTAGCCAGAAACCATGTGTGCTAAATCTACGCAGCGAACCTACAGTCTTTGAGAATTACGTCCATGATATATATGTCGATGACCAACTCGTAGAGCTAAGCTTATGGGATACTGCCGGTAAGTCCTCAGAACTCTTTCCTTTAACTTACGCTAACCATGCTGTTTGTTCCCATTCATGTCTCGCATGTTCGACATGCTTAAATATCGACATTGCTATCAATGCAGGACAGGAGGAATTTGACCGGTTACGATCGTTATCCTATGCGGAAACACACGTTGTTATGATATGTTTCTCGGTGCGTAAACTCTATAACAATCCACTTTACTATTGTTTGTGACATATCAATTGTAGGTGGACAATCCAATATCGTTAGAAAATATTGAAACCAAGGTACCCTTGCTATAAACTGCATCGATGAATTCTCACATTGGTAATTCTTTAGTGGTTGGATGAAATTCTAGAATTTTGCCCTGGCGTTAAGGTGAGTAAGCCTTGGCTGTACTTTGATCATCGTAGTCTGATTTGTTGATCCAATTCAGCTAGTACTTGTTGGTACGTGTAATACATTGTGATTCGCAGGCGGCTTGACCTATCCTCTCTGGTGCAGCTCTCAAGTGTGATCTCAGAGACGATTATTCGATCAAAGAACGACTGCAGCGATACGGAACACATCCAGTCCAATATGAGGAAGGATTGGCAGTAGCAAGACGAATACGAGCTTCTCGGTATCTGGGTGGGGAATCAAGAATGTTTTCCACTTCATGCATCTGATTCGCGACGCTTTCTTCTCTGTAGAGTGCAGCTCGAAGCATAATCGAGGAGTAACTGAAGTATTTCACGAAGCTGCCCGTGTTTCACTGAGCTCGAGAAATAGAGGCTCGGCTGGTTGTGTGATTATGTGACGATTCCATTGCACTCTTACTATAAATGGTAAACACATTCCTTCCTATTCCTGGACGATGATACCCAATGACACTGTACGCGTATTTCATCATCATATCTACTAGTACCTGTATGATTAGTTTTTCTTTCATTGCCTCGCTGTTCTTCCATGCTCTGCATTCTTTCGGGCCGCATGCATTACTCTATCCGCTCCAGATACTCTGTACGTCGCTATGAAGTAATTTGCTTTCACATTTCCTAGTATCCATGGGCAACAATGATATACAGTGATTGCTTGATAGTTACACATCCCACTGTACAAGAACTAGTTCCTCCCGCCATACGTCCTTCTCCTCTTTCCCAACTGCATCGATCCGACAGTCGTTCTCGCATGAAAAAATCATACATGTCCCCCATTCCATTCCCTTCTCAGAACCTCCTTTGAGAGTTTTTTGAACAGCGGCTCGTCTCTCTTCGTCAGAAAGCTTCTTCGAATTGCTTTCAACGCCGCGAAGGATGTTGATTAAATTGGGCATCAACTGACATTCGAAAACACGATTTCCTTTGCATGACGGGCACGGCGAGAGGACGCTTGAGGATGGAGAATAAGTCCGTCTTTGTGGAAAAACAACTTTAAAGTCGGGTTTGGTCACTGGTAGTGGATCCGAACTAGGGGTGGGGAATAATGATTCAAATATTTTGTCGGATGAGAAGGGGAGTGGGGTTCCATTTAATTCATAGCTGGCGATACGCATCGAGTCAGCCACAATAAAGAGAAAGAAATTTTGAGATTCACCGAATACATTGCTCTCCTTCGTAACCAACACGTTTTATAAACCGTTCAAATACTTGATCTACTTCCAAAGAGTTTTCGTAAGGCTCAAAAGCCCATGAAATATCTTTCCCGCCTTCTTCTACGGCAAGTTCGGAGACTTGAGCGCCAAACGGAACTTTGGCTTTTGGTTTTGGGGGAAGGTATTCCGATGCCGTGGAGAGATAAAGCGGGGGCAGATATGCCGATGCGGCTGCCCAGGGAGATTCCGACAACGTTGCGTTGGTCATTGCTGTGAGGAGAGTTTGCTCCGATGTGGCTGATTCATTATCCGATTCTTCGTCTTCTGACAATTCTTTTTGGACCGTTTCGTTGGATAAATTGGCACCAGACGCCAAATCTCCAAAAATCTGAGCTCCCAAAGCAAATGGACTAGTGGTTTCCGTCGACGCTTTTAGCTGTCATCCAATGGTCAATGGCACGTGGCCTCGGAAAGATACTCAATGGAAACTTACAGAGAACGGATTCGTTTTTGAAGCTACTTTAGCCAATTCTCCTAGACGCTTGGTTTCCTCTTGCTCTTGTTTGCGAGCAAGCTTTGCTTGTAGCTTAGCAGCATATTTTTCATTGAACCGCAAGCCTCGCCAAGCGCGAACACTGAAACACATAACAGCTTACTAGGTGCATTTCACCCAATTGGCACATACCTGCCATCTTTTCGCTGACAGCCGGGGTTCGCGCAACCCCAGACGTATAGAGCGCGATCCATGGGACTGTTCTCAAATGGACACCACAGCTGGACCAAAAGCTCCATGGGGAATGAACAGATTTTGCATTGGGACGAAGATATAGGAGGCTCGTTGGTAGGAAGAAAAGCCTTCGGCAATACATAGAATGATAGTCAAAAGATCGATTTCGATGATACATGCGTAAGACAGCTCGTACAGGATGTCCACCTATTCGAGATACAGCTGCATCAGCAAGTTCATTGACTGATGTGATAAGTCCATCTGAGATGCCCAATAGCACGGACGTTTCCACCTCCGAACCGAGTTCCTCATCCGAGTCCGACCAATCATCTTCGTCTGGAGGTGGCATTTTTGAAGTAGCTATATATCATAATGATCAGATGTTGAGCGAAAATTAAAGAGCGAAAAAATCAGAAAAGCATGAATGGTATAATTTGATAAGTCTCGTCTTGTTCTTCAGAAAACATATAACATGCTTTCATCCGTTTCAGACTCGTCATCTAAAAAAATCATCACATAGAGTAAACAAAGAAGAGAGACTCACGCTTGGGCGTTGGTTAGAGGAGAACCAGCGCAAAAAAAAAGAATTTATAGCGATGATCAGATGATTACTAAGCAAACCTCGTGTCATGGCTTATAGTATTAGCACTGGCAGAGCAGATCTCATTAACTTACTTCTTCTCTCTTATCAAGTTCATGGCCTCGGCCGATAATAATCGTTCAGTGTCACCACTAGTCCAAAGGACGAAGCGTAGGGGAACTGCACTATCATGTGCTGAATGTAGAAGGTGGACTTGAAAGACCAAGTTATTCTCTCTTCTGGTTGCTAATTTTCATCCTGTACCTTTTCTTTGTAGATTGAAACTCAAGTCTGTGACCTGCTTCTTTTTCCTTGAAAGCATAGATCGGAGCTTACTTCCCGCTCTACAGATGTAGTCGCGTATTTCCCTGCGGGTAAGTGACCAACTGTCGTTCGTTACAGCCGTATTAATTCCTTCGCTACAGAAATTGCGTGAAGAAAGGTGTGTTCTAATATAACTGGGAGAGGTTGCGTCGGATTCAAACGGTGGACTTTGACTAGGTTGCGGTGCAATATGTCCGGATGGTGCGTAATTTCGTTCCTCGATACAGGATACAATACTTACATTTGCACTAATAGGATCCCTTACTACTGGAAAGGGCAATCGGTACGCATAGGCCACCGTACATGCGCTTCCGGTCTAAACTTTTTCAAGATTTGTTCTTGCAAATACCGAAGATCTTCATGACAAAATCAGCCAGCTTGCCACTCGCGTTCGCCAACTAGAAGATGCACTTGCTCATTCTCATAGTATAAGCTCCTCTCAACCACATCCATTACTCAGCGATGATCTTTTACAAATCAAACGACCACTTGAGCGAGAACGCGCGGATGGTGCACAGCCTAAAGAGAAAAAACCTGACACGAATGATACAATCGATGCAATGGGGTCCTTGTTCGTTTATCACCTTCATTTCTCGTATTCTTCTTATGGTCCTTGTAATCCAGATCGATATCTGAAAGGGGCCGTTCCACTTTCTTTGGGCAAACAGCCAACTCATGGGTGAGTGAATAAATCGGCTCATGCATCGCAGCTGAATTAATTTTGTTTCTATAGTATCTTCTACGAGTAAGCTTGGCTCGTTTCATTGGACTCTGGTCACTGATAAAGATTCCAGAATGAGCAAGGCTCCGACGAAGAAGAGAAATCCCCGGGCTCAGATCTCTCCATCCCTTCCGATGTTCCGTGGCTCTCTTACGCATTTCCATTGACTCCAACCTCGCTGAACAAAGATGCAGTACGGAACAATATCATTACTCTTCTACCCGATCCTTCCTCGGCTCAACGTTTATGTGAACTTTACTACCGACATGCGGCTTGGATGTAGGTCTTGTGTCAATATTCATCTTATATCGCATTTATACTCTTACCGAAAGGTATACGCCTGTCTCCAAAAACGAATTTTTTGAAATGGTTTATCGGCCTATCTACAATACTGAAACTGGGTTTCCAATCATTGGATCACACTATCTAGCAATCATGTACATGGTCCTCGCAATAGGCACCTTGCTCGATATCGACCGACCATCCCATTCACAAGAAGCAACACAATATTACGAGCTCGGCCGAGCGGCTCTGGCTGTAGATTCTGTGTTCGAAGAGCAGTCAATACCAGCTATTCAGGCCTTGGTATGTGGTCCCCTACATTCAGAAAAGGAGCTGTATTGATTTTTGATACAGCTTCTCATGTGTCATTACATGTTTCTCGATGATATCGAAGGCCCGAGGTGGGCGACGATGGGCATAGTCGTTAAGCTAGCTCAAAGTGTAAGCACGCAATTGATCAAAGATGAGTGCCGATACTCATGCAGATGTGTGATTAGGTTGGACTTCGTCAGTTAAAATCTCGATGTCACAGAATTCCATCTGATGATATCCCTTCAGATCGCGATAGTGGTAAATGGAATCTGAACTCTGATGAAACGCTTCGCCGAAGGTGCTTGCTCTGGGAGATATTTACATATGATTCGTGGCAGGTGCGGTGCTCCAGTCAACTGCCCGGTGTGATCTGACGATCTTCTGCAGAGCTTGACGTATGGTCGACCTCCGTCTTTCGCTCTAGCTCACATCGATACCGAAAAACCGTTTGGGAAAAGTAAAAATGTTCATGGGGAAGTAGAAATGTCTTGTAGGTTCTGAATCTATCTCATTTGTTCGGGGCGATCCTTATTTTGGATCTTTGTAGTTGCGGCATGGAAACACTTGTTTTGCTCAGAATGTTTGAGTGTTGTGATGGAACAAGCTTTTGGGGCACGCCCTCCGTCGTACAAGATCATACAGGACATGGACAAGAAAGTTCGTTCATACTACGTGCCCCCGAGTCTTCAAATTCCTGGCTTTGGGAAAACTCCAATAGGCCGGGAGCTCGAACAGCAGCCGTCAATCCAGCTGATTATGCAGCGTTATATTGCTTTTGCTATTCGAGAAATTAGTCCGTCCCTTTTTAAACACGTGCCCGATACTCCAAACTTTCTGACCATCTTTTTAGCGTTATTTTACCTTCATCGAGGCTTCTTTGCTCGCGCCTTGGAAGACAGCCCTATTGATCCTATGGGAAGCAAATATGCGCCCTCCGTACTAGCAGCATATACAAGCGCTTGCTCCTTCGTAAGCCTGATCGACAGTATGTTCAGGCAATACCCCGTATTAACGGAACGCATGTGGTTCTTATTCACGCATGTGTTCTCTTGTTCAGTGAGTTTCGAGATTTGTGGTCTAGTCTGAGACTGTAATGTTATGTAGATTGTCTTGGGATCTATTGCCTGTAAGGTTCAGATCGCCATCGCACCCTCTGCTCTCTCCCACTTGGACACTGCTCACAAACTCTTCTTGTCCACGACCGAAAATCCCCGGAGAGAAAAAGTTCTGGTAAGATGTTCCGGTATCATGGGTTTTAGTTTTCAAAATTGACGAGCCTTCGTACAGCCAATTCTTCATAGATTGAAAGAACGAGCACATGCAGTGTTGACTGGATCTGCTACTCCAGGGTCACCGCTATCTTCAGGCTCGCCGCCCGTCAAATCCGAAGAAGATGAACTGGCTGCATTGGGAGGCATGACACGATTAGTTCCCAGGAAGCCGTCCTCCGCACCATCAACCCCATCATATGCCGGTTCAAGCCCTAAATCGGATCCAGCATCTCCTTCTCCTATACAGAGTACTATTCCGGAGCAAAGTCCCTACCATTCTCCTGACCAAACAACTGCATGGCAGTATCCTCTCCCGAGCCATGAATATACAGAGCATTCGCAGTATCCGCACTATTCGCCAGAAGCTGACACCTCTATGCGCTACAACGAGCCTCAGTTACAGCATGGAATTTCTCCTATGAATGGCATGACAGATCCGTACTTTGGTGGTTATTCCAGTTCCCAATACTATCGACCTGACTTTGACAATGCTTTTCAAAATGGCCTTCGGAATGCTGGAGATTTCAATCTTCCCGTCGAGACTGGTGATTCATGGCATAATCTTGTGGCTTCACAATATAAACCAATTTGATATGTGATATCACTTCATCTATGCTACGACTAGTATTTCACCCTCTTTCTCATTCATTTAATGTATGTATCGTATTGCACATGTACAGTTGTATCATTATCATTACTGGTAAGTAAGTAATCATCTTTACGCGTTGGCCGAGGTGTAATTTATGTATTTGGTCGTAACTTGCATGAAATGTTCGCGGCAAAATTTGCGGCAGTTTGCTTTCTGTCTTGTTCTTGGTTCTTCATCTTCTCGCCTTTCCTTCGTCTCTCATTTAGTTTAGCATGCCAGTACCGGATGCGAGAACTCGGAGCAAGATTAGCTTAAACCCGTCGAAGGTCCTGTCAACATCGTATGTGATAGCCCATGAGTCAAGCAGCAACTAGTCCTCCGCTAATTCGTTCTGTAACAGAATCCCGAGCCGTCTTTTACCTAACTTATTGCTTTCGAATACATTATTTGTTGCGTCTTTACTCGCCGGGAAAGAATGGATTCTCGACTATGAAGTTGGTGTGTTCTGGGTAACAATGCGAGTACTTGCTTGCGGGGGGGTCGGTGTTTTAGCTTGGGAAGGTTTGACTGGACAACTGTCTCGCAAGAAGACTATCGAGGTGCGCACTTGAACTGCGTTTATTGCACAAGCTAATGCATGTCTAGTGGCCAGTTCTCGGGATTGCTTCTCTACTCCTGTTCGTGCAGCAAGGGTGTATGTTTATTACACTATCGCGATTTTCTCCCATCCGGTAGGTGCCATTTACTGTCTTGAGTCTTTGAAGTTACTTAAATGATGTGCAGAGCTATTATTTTCACTCAATTCTCAACGATCTGGGTAGATGCACTCGTGAACTTTGCTGATGTGCGGATGTCTCTCTCTCCTGCCGATCCATCTCATCATAATACCTCCTGCAGAGTCAAAAAATGAACGCCATCTTTTGTGCGCTGGTTCTTGGAGTTGTTTCGGACGCGGCTTTCTCTTCAACCGGCATTTGGTCTGTGCTTCCAGGATATATAGCTATCGTCGGACACGGTGTTACTTCCACCGTGTTAGACCACACATATGCCGTTCTTAGTCCAGGACTGGGACCGACTTTCACCATCGCTGCTACTAACCTTGGCGCGTCTCTATTTGCTTTACCATTCTACATCTTCCGGACAGTAATTGTGAGTCAAGAACGTAAATCTTTCCTTGCCTTCACTTATCAAATCTATAGCTTGGATTCCCCACAACACCAGTGCTTCCGCTCTTTTCTCTAGCACTCATTCCCTTCATGGCGTACTCTCTATTATTCCTATCGCCAACTACCGTGCGTTCGCTAAAAAATGCTGCTCCGAATTCACGTCACATTGCGATGTCTTTCCCATTTTCGTTCGGTTGTTCTGTCATATTGGGTTCCCTCGCTTTCTCTCAAATACCATCGTGGACAGATGTAACCATAGGTTTCGCGTTATATTTTGGTCTGTGTTGCAGCAAATTTTCTTCGAAGCGGTAAACTTAGCTAATTTCTGATAGGCATGTATCCCCAGAACGACGACAACACACCCGTCACGCCGCGCGCGCCTACCTCAAGGTTGATACGATCTTATCTAAAAACCATTCTGTCCAATCCAGAATCCAGGAAGATCTTCTATTTCTTGCTCTTGAATCTATGCTACATGTTGGTGCAGATGCTGTATGGTATCTGGACGAACAGCTTGGGCTTGATCTCCGATGGTATGCGTGCTCATCCTCGAATCTTTGAGTGTTGGTTTCTCATTTTGCATAGCTATCCATATGGCGTTTGACTGCATGGCCATCGGAGTAGGATTGTTTGCTTCAGTCATGGCTACATGGGAGCCGAACGAAACCTTCACTTATGGGTGAGTTTGTCATTTGTGCTAGATTCCCTATTTGACGTGTATATTCTTTTCAGTTATGGCCGCATCGAAACGTTGTCTGGCTTTGCAAATGGGATTTTCCTCGTACTTATCTCAATATTCATCGTCTTCGAAGCGGTCCAACGCATGTGAATACTTTTAATATTTCCTTTTCTCTCTGACCAGCTGAAGATCCTCTTAGACTTGACCCTCCGGAGATGGACACCAGTCAGCTACTGCTCGTCAGCTCTTTGGGTTTGGCAGTGAATCTTTTCGGCATGTTTGCTATGGGTGGCCACCACCATCATGTAAGCAAGTAACCCACTCGTTTCCTTTTTCTTTCTGATGAGCGATAGGGTGGTCATTCGCACTCTCATGGGCACTCTCATGGTAATGAGGGGCATGAACACTCCCATGCAACCACTCCCGTGCCAGTCTCCGCCGTGCATTCACATTCGCACTCCCATTCTCATGTCTCTCCTCCTTCGTCAGCTACAGATCACCACTCACATTCCCATTCGCATGACTATGCGTCAACTTCTCATGCTCTAGCACACCCTCATTCACACTCGGTCGATGATCACTCCCACTGTTCCGATGAACATGGTCCCTCACATGGTATAGAACACCATTCAAATAATCATTCTGAAGGCAACCATTCTCATTCGCACAGTCCACCAACCTCGGTTGTACCAGACAAGCAAATCAAACGCAACTTTCTTGGTCCTGCTTTACATTTGAATGACGATCTTATTCCTGATTCTCCGCTAACGCCGAGCTATAGTTTTACGCATGATGAACACTACGAGACTCACCATGCTACCGCTCATGCGCCAAATCTTCATGATCATTCACATGCTCCGTCGCATGAGGGGCATAGTCATAATATGCGGGGGGTATTTTTACATGTTATGGCAGTGAGTTCGAGCGCATATTTATGAACCAACCAGTGCTCAAAACCTCTATAGGATACACTGGGATCTGTAGGAGTGATCATTTCAACGCTTCTTATCCAATTTTACGGCTGGACGGGATTCGATCCTATCGCATCTTTGTTTATCGCAATTCTCATCGCAGCGAGTGTGATCCCGCTTGTGCTTGATACAGGAAAAGTCCTTGCGCTGGATATTGATGAGCGAGCTACGGATATACATAAAGCCCTCGCAGAGGTTCGTGTCTTGTACAATTTTTTATGAAAGTCATGCACACTTATCTTCATGTGTAGCTATCTACCATTGAAGGCCTTTCATCGTATTCTTACCCCCGCTTCTGGCCTAAAGATGCGAATAGCTTGATTGGGTCGATACACATTCAGCTTGCACCATCTGCAGCAACGTTTGACCCTCATGGACCCCATTCTGCAGTGAGGACGACGTATGCGAGGTTAGATCGGGTAATAGAAAAGGTGGACAGTATGTTGAGGAACAGAGTAGAAGGACTAGAGGAGTTGACGATACAAATTGAGGAGGGACAGTGTTGAAATGAGGAGTTGGGTTGTGGAGCGCTCGTCAGATGTACAATAGAATTGTGCTATCTTTTTGAAAGGAAGTTCAGTAAGTATATAACCAGATATAGTACTGTATACATTCGAATATGTAAAGATTCAGCGTGCGGCTGCTACGAAAATATAATTGAAGTTTGGTTGAAATTGCATATAAGCCCTACATGAGGATATGCATTTAGCCCAATATCAGCATAACTTCCTGCATAGGGATGAGCATTAAAATATTAAGCACTTAAGACCACAGTGTGGCCCTTGCGCAGGATCGTACATTAATGTAGCCTATGGCATACTAATCTGCAAAACCTGTTTTTTCGGCTATTTCTCTGAGAGCAGCTGAGAGCGCTTCCCAGCAGCCAAAGCACCTAGAGCAAGCTGAAATTTTTGCTCTCGGTGCTTTGGGTGCTGGAGAGTGCTCTCCAGCTAGTACCCTTGCTCTAGCGGACAGACAGGTTTTGCACATGCACAAAACTTGCTACACATGTTCGGGAAATGATTCTACATCCCAGTAGGGCTTTTTGAAGCTCTGAACATCAATGTCGCGTCGGGGAGAAGGGGGGGATTGAATACCGTAGGAAATTTGTGAATCGTCTCCTCTAAATCGTTAACAAAATAAATATTGAGATCCGTAGATCTACCACTCCGGGAAAGCGTGTCATCCTTGTGCAGGGGCCATGCTAATCTTCTCTGTATCGTTCCAATTTTTTCGTATGTCACCCCGAAGGGGACATTGATCAAATACTTAACAATCAGGGACAAGAACATCACAATGATTGTATATGGTGCACGGTTGACTTGGCGCTTGATTGTTTTGCAAGCGCTAATCCAAGTCCCATACGCTGGTCTTGACCATAGAAACAGCATATCTGCTCCAACAGGCATACATAATATGAGTGTGACTATCTCACAGATCTCTTCACTCTTCCCCCTTCAAAAATCATTATATCCAAGCTCAAACCTGTAGCTGCCTCCTGAGAATCCTTGAATACTTGAGATTGATTCACAATTTTAAACCGTACAAACTTGAATATGTTCATTTTAGGATACCTCCCCTTTCTAGTATATTCAATAAATCATCATTAATTGTACTTATTCGAATCTATTCATATGTGGGTGGGGAATCCTTTCAATCACAGATGGCTGCCACGAAAGGTCCTCTGTCTCCTTACCTACTGGCCACATACCCCTACAACAACACGTATTTCGCATCGGCGAAGTGGATTCAATAGTTGGTACATCAACTAGTGGTCAATGATCTTGAAAGTACAGGTCATACGTGGAATTCCGCCGGTAAGAGGGAATCGATACCAGCTAGTAAGATACAAGTGTCTCTTTTATAATGCGACCTTGTACATACTACACATCTTCAGGCTTCCATTACCTCCATACCGCCTGGATTCCCCTGATTAACTCGTGTCTGAGCACGACGACAAAGGAGTCTGCAAATGAATGCTGTAGATGAACACCAAGATAAAAGAAATGATTGATTACTTACCGCTCGAACAAATCTAACGGACCATCTAAATTTGAAGTACGCATGGTACGAGCATCATCACTCTCGTGCTCCATGCTCTCGTTATCTTCCGTGTCTAACGTTGATAGTAATGACAGAGGCTTCAAAGGGACCCAATTACTCAGCGGACTCGATCCACTCTCGTACGTCGCCTCTGCAAGGTAAAGAAGGAGGCCATCCGAGAAAATTTGGTGTTCTTTCATGGGAGGGGCAGTGAAGACATGCGGAGGAGATGCAGCATTAGCGGATCCAAAAAAGTCGATATCCATCTCACCTCCACCCGGGTCAATTGTGAGGGAGGAAGAGGGCATTGGCAAGGTGACGCTTACACTCCGTGTACTGCGTGCAGCAGGGACTACGACGCCAAGGAGTGTTGAGAGGGAAAGCGGAGCGGGATGGTACGGGACGGGGAGAAGAGTTGTGGGATATGGATATATGTAATTTGACGACGAAGTGGGCTGTGATGAAGCTACATTTAAGAGGGAGGAATTTGAGGAAACTTGAGGAGGTAGCGGAAGAGCAGAGAGTTCATCGAGGCGGGTGTCGCGCCACCAGAATCTGAGCAAGTAGAATTAAGTCAGCTCTGGGATCGTATGTAGCCTGGTATTGAGAATAGCTACCTCATTCCAGCTTCACACTCGCCGACCTCCTGGCCCTTCCACCTCAATACATCTAACACGTGCAAAACACCATTTTGCGTCCAATTCACATCAAGGATACAATCGAGGATCGTAGATGGGGGTAATGGAGAGGGAAAGAACCACGAGTCAGACTTATCAGAATTGGGGTCTATCGATGCGGACGAATCAGGGAAAAGAGAGATATGTTTCCCGTGTAAACGTGAACGAAGAGAGGTATTGTTTTCCTGATTACGAGAGTTCCGAGCATTCTTATTTCTTGGAACAGGATTTCGCCCAGGCCCATCACGAGTTATAGCAAGACACCGTTTACCGATTGGGACAGGCGAAAGAGCAACCCAAGATGTATGTAGATTGGGGGGAAGACCGTCAAAACCGTTGTTATCCAAGTACATGGTGCTTGCAGCTACATCGCTGTCAGACATCTCTAGTAGCTCAGCATACATGATCTTGTCTGCCCACTGTGCGTTGGAGGAGGAACGTTTCCGGCCCTTTTTCTTTTTCGGTTTGGCTTTAGATTTGGGCTTTGATTTCTGATTGGATTGTGTTTCTATTGTTGTAGTTGGCACTGCCGATGATAGTTGCGACGGCTCGCTCATCTCCGACGTAAACGACGCGATTCCACTATGAACAACTTTGAATCCATCTTGATTAATTTCTTCACTTCCGTTTCCTTCCTCTTCATCTTCTTCGTCATCATCGCCCAGTTTCAGCTCAGCAAACCGAGATAAATCAAATTTGAGAGCCCGTTTCTGATTAGGATGGCAGTCTGGATGAGCGAAGGCGCTGTGGATTCATTTTATTGAATCCGTACGCACGCGTTTTTGGTCTTCGAGAGCCTGTGAAGTAATAAGTAATATGTTATATGTCTGAGATTGCGAAGTTTACCTTTTCTCGCCTGGCAGCTTGAGAATGTTGAACGGAAGTAAGGGTGGAAGATGACGGGGGAAGTTTATACGCTGATCGTCGGGAGGAAGACATGCGGGAACACGTGGTACAAAGTGGGGGCATTCTGCCGAACGATCATGATCAGGCGAATTATTATGATTTCGGCCGCGGGTGTGAGTTCTTTCTTTCCAAGTACCATTGATAAGTTGACCCGCTTCTTGCGTACATACTCGAATTACACGCCTTCAATTTCGACTCAAGCTCCAAATCTTGACATATCTTATACCCAATTCCTTCTGCAGGACTTTCTAGTCCTTCCCGTCTTCCACAGGACTCCACCGGTAAGCCTCTCCGCAGTATCTCGTTTTGTACTTATGACCTTCAAATAATTCAAAAATGCAAAGTCCCGGCCACCACTTACAACATGCCTAGCGATTCGCTTACACTGGATGCTGGAATCATCCAGTAACATCCAGAGAGAATACTACAGCCTTTTCTAGATCTGGCTTCATGAGAATGTCGGCATCCGGGCTTACATAGGACGTTCTGTTACCCTTGGGCTTTAACCTAACCCCCGCAGCAATACCGGATTGCCTTAACGACCTGCTCAAATCCAAGTTCGGCAATTTGAAGCGAAAAAGCTGTGGAAAAAGATACAAAACCTCGCGATGTACATCATATCAAACCGTAGGGCCCATCTCCCGACAGGATTTCCCATCCAGGTGAGAGACAAAACCCTGAAATAAACCCAGGTCACCGCCTCATCGTGTCATTCCTTTGATCTTTCAATACTTTTCCTAAGTGAACAAATACTTACCGCGTACTTGTAGGGGCCGATCCACTCGCTGACACCTTCTCTTGTTCCCTTCCTTCCTTCCCACCGAACTAACAGAACCGCTCAAGCTCCATTCGATGCCTCCTAGTACTTCAAGAACATTCTCATTGGCATTCGAGCTCGAGATTGGCTTCAACGGACCCGACTCTAACAAAGCTGATTTTCGCAATGGAATTTCACGTCGCGATCTATCAACTCCGCCATCGAAGAATATTCAGAGAGCTGATTTAAATGCCAGCTTTTCTAATAACACCGGCAGCAACAGCACTAACTCTGGTAATCAGCCTCCCCGGTCTAACGGGAATGGCAATGGTCACAACGGTGATGTAGCCGGGACCAGCAAGGCAACGATAGTCGGGAGCATAGCTGGTGGTGTAATCGGTATCGCTCTTATGGTGGGCCTTCTGTGGTGGCTTTGGAGGAGTAAGAAGACTCGAAGGACCGCAGGTACTCGAAAGAACTGGCATAGTTCGAATACGCGGAATCCTAAAAGTTGGACCCGGATAGGATCGAAGGGATGGAAAGGGTTACAACGGCAAGGAAATCTCAGGCGTATATCGTATGCCCAGGATACGAGGAAAAGACCTCCGATCGACGGAGAGGATGATTATTCCGATTCTTCGCAGATGCTCCAGAGTACGCAATTTACGTTCCTGTCTGACAACCTCCACCTGAATTCTTCTCTCTAATAGCTTTGCCTACGCCTGCAACGCATCTCTCTCTTCCATCAAATGCGCACATACCGGGGCCCCAAATACACTACGGCCGTCGTCGAGAACACCAAGTCGCCGCAAATGTCGCGGGTTCTGCCAGTGAGGATCCGATACTTCCCCCGCGTTACTGGCAAATACACAACTCTCCATCTGCCGCATCACTTCATCGAGAGTTGTCTTCCAACAAGAGTGTTGGGCTGACACTGCCAGCTCTGGCACCTCCTCCAAGCAGCGCAGATCATGGACATAGTGTCCTCGATCTCCCTCCTGCTTCTTCCCCGCATTCTCCAGATCAACCGTCTTTTTCCCTTACACCATCTCATCCCTTCCCTCCCTCATTGACAACAACCCCGGCTTTCAATCCCTCATTTACAGAACAAACATCTCCTTTGTCGCCGGCATCTCTATCTATATCTGATTCTCACCCTTATAACGTCCCCCTGCACAACGACCAATTAACTCTGGATGTTGCGCGAGCAGATGATCCCGCAAAGCATCCCTTAGAGTCGGAGACAGGATCAGCTTCTGCTGGATACACACACTCAACCAGTCCAACCAGTAGTGTTAGTCATGAATCAGAATTAACGATCAGGCAACTTCGTCACCAAGTCGAAGTACTAGCGGAGGAGAATGCTCGACTGTCGCGGCAAAGTTATGTGCTGTTGACTCGTGGGATGGCTGGCGAGGTGGTCCAATCACCTCCTGCTTATGCTGGAGGCTTAGCAGATGAAAATTGAACTATGACTCTTAGGCCTTAGGGTCGGGGTTTGTCAATGAGGAAAAGGTTCTTCTAAGACAATGTTGACCTTTGGTGTATTCTCTTTTCTCTGAATATACCTTTGTCAGACCTCTGTATATGTACCATAGTATTTGTATCAAAAGTCTAAGAATGCTCGTATTTAGACGAACAAATTCTTGATTATGTACATATGTACTACGAAGTTCATGAGACTTTCACTGACCGTTTACGCGTACGGGTCAGTGAGGCCTCCTTCTCGTCTGCCGACAATCCTGGTGGTTCAACAACATCTAGTAGCTCGAAGAGTGTTCCAGGAGCATTCTATATATTGTGCAAGGCTGACAAGCAATTACCCGTTGCAACTATTGGGGCACTTTCAGGGCACGACATCGAGGCTCAAAGCTTAATGCTTAATATCCTCACTGCGCAGGCTGCATGATCTACCCTGTATACGGACAACGTCAACAATGAGACAATCGCAAGACTCAGGATGCGGAGGATACGGAGGATATGCGTGCTCATGTGTGTGTGGGTGTGGTGCATTTCGGACAGGTTGGCGGGGCAAGGATTGGACATCCTGGATGTTAGAGCTTTGAAGCTTCCAAGACGAGGAGGTTAGTATTGGAACAGGAGTGCGAGATGAACATCGTATGCTCGGGAAAAGAGCACTTCAGTCTAAATTAATGTAATTTGCTTTGGGGATTGAACATTGAAGCTTGACGATTAACATTGGTTTTCATGAAAGAAGTGGATCCATCACATATATTTAAATCATTATGATCATTAAACGATGAGAGCGCGGTGGCAGATCTATAAAGCTATTAGCTACAGGTATCGTTGAGTGTGTGTTCATCCATCCTCGACCCCAACATCATTCCCCCAAATCGTCATCCATTATTCATAAGGAGCATTAAAGCGAAATCATTGATAGAGAATCAAGCTTGCATCAAACATTAACCTCGAGACCTTTCTTCCCCGACTCTCTTAAATCAACGGCAACCAAATCCAGCGGATCTTGGGGCATCGATCGCGAACTTCCCTCTCTCACCATGATATTCATACTATCATCCTCATCGTCCGCAGGGCTTAGAGGTTCTGCAATAGAAGACGTATCTGACCTTGAGCTCGACTTGGATTCGTAGCTGTACATCGATTCTCTCGCTTGAAGGCTTGGAGCTGTAACTGAAGCTGAAGGAGCAACAGCAGTGACAGAGGAAATACTGGCCTGTCTGCTGAAGAAACCACCAATTTTTTTGGTGATCTGGGTTGGAGTTTGCATAGCAGCCGATGGAAGGGTAGGTGAGTCAACTGAAGCTGAGGCCGGGCTATGCAAATTGTTCAAGGTCGGCGTAGCCTTCGTATTCCATAATTTGAAGCCCCAGCCGGACTTAATCGATGATGCATCAGCTTCATTGTCTGCACTGGATGCGGGAGGATGAGGCAACTTTATCGATGCATTGTCAGACCCATTCAGCCGAGGCCCACTCCCAACGTTATTCTCTTCGATGAAAGTGCGTAACGCGGAAACGCACGTCTCGGAAGCCTCACGCGCTTCCACTGCTTCCGTCAATTCATGTCTGGTTTCTTCCAAGTCTGATTTGAGCGTAGAAATCTCCTTCCGAAGAGCCTGAATCTCCGCACTGTTATGCGAGGAAAACACGTCCATGGAAGGTGATATGCCACTCGAATGACCGGCAAAGAACCCGGACATCCTTCGATTCGACATTGGTGAAGGAGTTGAGTTGGAATTTTCGCCGGGAAAAGTGAGTACCTGAGTATTGTGCTCCGGAGAAAGGGCAAGTCCAAAATTGAGGTTAGTGAGAGCTTGGAGACCCGAGTCTGATACAGAAGATATTCGTCTGTGTGCATTGGCAGGTCTGACGTTGAACGAGCCGGTGAGCGGAGTGAACGAGGTGCGTTTTGAGGGAGGACTCAAACTCAGGCTATTCAGATTGGCACGAGATAAATCCAGAGGAGTGATTTGTACGCTCTGCCGACGATTCTCCGTCTGTAAGCGCATGAGGCCACGTCTATATAAGTGGGTCAGGGTCTGGACTAGGCGAGTAAGAGATATCCATTTACCTGCTTTCCTCGACCTTGGTCCTTAACATAGAGATGGCTTCCTCGTCGTCCTTGTTCTTCTGCCGAACCTCCATGAGCTCCTCTTCCATATGCGTAGCCTTATCTGTCATATGTTGCAAAGCATCTTCCAACTCTGCCTCGCGTGAGTGAGCAGAAGAGAGAAGGGAGACTAGGTCATCCTTTTCTTTGCTTAAATCGGAGAGAGAACGTCGGAGCTGAGATATAATATGTGCCAAAACATCAGGGTCGAGCGAGTCCCGCAAATGGGCAATAACAGGAGCGCTGTTCGCGTGCACAGTCGCATTATGTGCTGGCGTAGGTGGCAGAGACTCCATATCAAGTTGGCGTTCGAGTTCGAGGCTGAGGTCGATAGAGAACGGTCTCTTGTGGGAGGCAGAGACAGGTCGTATTGGTGCAAAAGATGTGCTGCTATCCGCACTAGGTGGAACCTCGAACTGTAACGACGGTTGTGGGCTGGTTAAAGTGTCCATGGTGGTTTAAGTTAATAACATGAAATTTTACCCACGTGCTCTACTAAATTCAACTGTTCACTAAAAATTGCAAGAGGCCACTGGCAACCCACGGGCGCAACCGTTTTGAATTAATCGTATATGATACATATGAAAAGCCTGGGAGGCTGTAGCAGCCTGTACCCTGTTAAAACTACATACATGAGTACAGCGACAAAGTACTGACTTCACTCGAAAAGGAGATATTCAGTAGTACTATAGAGTACTATTCACTAGTATTCAGTACTGGTAACTGTATACGATTGCTAAATACTGGGTTCCCTCTTACCATGTGTCTAGATCTTTGTATCCATTTTTGACGGTTTCTGGTGACGAGGCGAGAAAAAGTCAACGATCATTCCCAAACCGCAGCTTGAATTTGATCGCGTCTTTACAGTAAGCAACTGTTCGTGTCCGGTCCACCTGTATTGCCTGCCATTTCCCTGCAAGTGGCTGTCAACGATTTACCGTGGTAGGACGGTGTAGAGCCAGGCTGCCAGTGGTCAAAGTCTTGTCAAGCTTAGGGATAGGGACAGCTAGAAGAATGTTGAATGGAAAGCCGAGGACTCGAACATCAGATTCTGACGCAAATCTCTTTCCTCGCCGTTAAGCGTATGTAAAAGCAGGCATTCCAGAAAGTCGTCTTTAGAACAGTATCTATACCGTCGATTCTCCGTCATATGATTTTCGTCAATCTAATATCACTATCATGAAATCCACAGCCAGCCTCCAGCCGTAATCAGCCAGAGAAATCCGCAGCTCACCGTTCATACTTCGATGCACCGTCGTTCCTGTGTCTGCCAAACACATCCCATACCTTTCAGTGTCTGGAGACAATGTGATCTCTCCTGTGTTTCTCGCGCAACGCTGGGGTTGGCATTCCTGACCAATCCAGTATAGTTCGACCGCCGATATCTAAGCAGACAAGTCATCAGGTTGAAATCAGGCCTTGCTGGCATGGAACATCGATGCAGGGTGGCTTATTGTGATTGAGGCATGAGGTACTAAGTGCGAGGGAAAGAAACACGAAAGCCATCGCTATCTACCATGAGCTCGCGAAGCTTCACGAAGATTGACTACAAGAATCTGAACTTGGATAACCTAAATTGAGCTAGATTGTCAGAGTTTTAGAGAATGTTAAGGCCTCAAGTTTCAAGACATGAGTACCTTAGAGTACCTTTGACACCTCACACACGCATCTTGACAGTGTAAACGTGTAATGCATTTCCTCGGGGGTGGCTCGGCGAGACCCTGCATGACGAGCGGCTAGCCCGAAGGTACTAACGCGCCAAAAAAAAGTACCTTCAACGCATCAGGTTCTTCGACCCTCACACCCTATAAATCCATGCTGACCTTCATACAGCGTTGATCCCGCCTTACGCTTTCTCGCCGCATCTCCACATAACGATCGGTCCTCGAAGTCAAACGAAACAAGAATCATATGCCAGCATATGCCATTCATCATTGTGTGTGCACGATTTCAGCTCAGATGCCAATTATTGATCAAAAGCGATAGAATAGGATAGAATCATCGTCGAAAATTGTTGTAAAGATCGAAAAGGAGAAAGAGAAAATGTAGAGTTAGTCGCTGTTAGCTCAAAGTTGGTTGTTTGAAATGATCAGGCCGGAATACCTGTTTTATGATCAACGCTTATTTGACACCCAATACTGCGACTCTGGAAATCTTTCTACAGCTTTCTACTCTCCCCTGGGACTGTAAAGCTTCTTTGACTTGATCCACTGATGCTCGATGCTCAGCGCTGCAGCGCTCAGAAGCACAGGCGGGCCATTAAGTATGTATCTTTGACGGAAATGCTCCAGTAGCGAGTCTGAGTTAACTTGTGCTTGCTACTCTAGGGGAATCTGGGTTCAAGCGCTTAGCGCTTACCGGTACCGGTCACATCATCCAGAAAGTTGAAGTTGATATTTGGTTGAAATTGGTTCGGAATGCTCATTACCCATATGCGGCAAAAGAGTTTCCTAAAGTTGACATTTCAAATTCGACCCTGAAACATCGGAACGCTTGTGACGGCCTTGGCGATCGGGACACGATATAAGACGCTTTGACCTCCTCCCACCCTTTGAGCTTTTTCAACTTGCAGTATCCCAGTCGTTCGTTGGGAGGCTATCAAACAGAGTTTTAGTCTTCTATCAATACGGTATCTCTTCGGTATCGGTCTCCGGATGCGACGCTAGTTCAGGCCCGAAAGCCAAGGATTCGGACGTACGACCTCCTAAATTTGTTTTCTTCTGAAAGTTATGTACTTTATTCAGGCTCTTAATATCATAGACCTTTCGATCCGAAAATACCGACTCAACAATGCTAGTCAGTGCTGTATACTCCGTTGAAAACCGCTTTCAGCTTTAGAAGGCAGCTCAGTTTGTCGAACTTTGTTCTATCCATCAGATGCAGCGGACAGAAAGTTTATGTACGTTTTTGGCACGTGGACCAAGTCGTACTGGCAAGCAAATTGGGGAAGGAAGTACCACAATTGATGCGGAGCCAGTTGTAAGGTTTGCGACCATCTCGCGGCAATCACCGACCTTTTCCAGGTTCTCGATGTGTGTAATGGATGTGCCCTTTTCATCTTGCCGCCATGTCCTCTCATATTCCGAAACGTCCAGACGAGAGCATACAACGAAAGCGACGAAAAGGTGCCACAAGACTATCTTGTGCAGAATGTAGAAGGCATCTATCACCATTTTGTCATTTTACCAGTTCGGCAACCTCAATTTTGACTTTTCCAGGCTCAAGTTGCGATGTGATCGCTGCATCCCATGTAGCTCATGTGTGAAGCGTGGGTGAGTCTTTTACACCTCTCTCCCATCCCAAGCGTTTATTGAGAGTCATGTATTTTGCAGTACGGCTGCCATTTGTCCCGACGTGCGTCTATACAATCTTTGCATTTGATTCCAATCAACGAGCAGCCGCGATCAAATCAATAGGGCTCTTTGACTACTGGGCAAGGGAACCGGTATGCCTTACGAACTGAAATGAGAAAACAATCCATTTCAACTGTCAATTGTCGCAGATTTGTCCTCGCATCCACCCAAGAGCTACATGAGAAAATACACGAATTATCGAATCGTGTTCGGGAACTAGAAGATGGTTTACGTTCAGACCATATTCAATTGACCAACGAGCCGCATCCTCTGCTATCTGAAGAGCTATTAAAGATCAAAGCCCCTCTGCAACGAGAACCTCCCGCAGCGAGAAGCCTGAATGGTGCTATCAAGGACGAGGAGTCAAATCCAGATGTCGTGGATGCCTTTGGATCCTTGTCCATAAGCCTCTCTGGAAAAGCTAAATTCTTCGGTCAAACAGCAAACTCCTGGGTGAGTACGAAATGCCTTAGCATGATATTTCTTATATTCATCTCTATCATTCTCTTCTCTCCAGCTATTCCTTCAAGTGTGTATATTCAGTGACATCTTGATGTTGGGCTTAAACAATGCTTCTTTACTAAAACAGAACGAGACTTCTGAAGACGATACACCTGATCCTTCTCAGACTATATTACAATTACAAGCGTATCTTCCTCCCCAGATATTGGCTCGTGCGTCCACCTTGACGATGACACCTACACCCCCAGAAATACTCCAGCCAATCAACCTCCAGACACTCTACTACTATCTACCCTCCTCCGAGATAGCCAACCGACTACGTAATATTTACTACAAGCATGCAGCTTGGATGTACGTATGCTCAACCGCTACTACCTTATCCTCCTAACAAAGGCTCTAGGTATAACCCCGTCTCTGAGGATATGTTCAATTACGAAGTTTGGAGTCAGTTTTACGAGCCTAATGCTGGCCTTTCGGCGGACTACCCTCTTGTGTCCCATAGACTTTCTGTGATGTTCATGATCTTGGCTATCGGTTCTCTTGTCGATACCTCTCTTTCACCGTATAACGTTGACGCAGAGAAATACCACCAGCTAGCCAAAGCCGCCCTTTTCCAGGATTCATTCCTGGATGCTCCCACCATCAACGCGGTACAGGCCTTGGTTGGTCATTTCTTCGCTCTGATTTATCCATCATTCTGACCTTTGACACTAGTTCTTGATGACTTACTATTTGTTCTTGTCTGACCGTCATGGCACCAGTACTGGAACAAGGTGGGCAATCATGGGCTTAGCTGTCAAGCTGTCACAGACTGTACGTGCTGTTGAACACCTTCGGCTCGAGAATCAGCTGACGAACCTTCTAGATTGGCTTGCGTGAGCTCTTTAATGAAAAACGTCTTCGTCTATTAGACCGCCTGACAGTTTCATTCCTATTATAGATAGGGATAGTGGGCGTTGGAAAGGTGTCGAAATGGACGAATCGCAGCGCCGCCGACAACTATTCTGGGAACTCTTCACCTACGATTCCTGGCAATGTTTCACCTTTGCGCGTCCGCCTTCTTTTGCGCTCCCCCATATTGATTGCAAGATGCCTTACGCCAATATCGACTCAGCGGAAGATCAGATTTGTAAGTGTACCCGCGTTCTCATCATCCCGTGCTTCCTCATACCAAATTTTTCGTTTGCGTTACTTCTATCTATCTCCTACTAGTCCATGCTTGGAAGCACAGATTCGTCAGCGAGTGCATGAATCTCCTGCACGATCAGGCGTTCGGCGCGAAGACTCCCACATATGCGACCGTTTTACAGCTCGACCGGAAGTTGAGAGCATTTCCGGTTCCATCCATTCTTCAAGTTGCAGGATTCGGGAGCTCCGATCCTATACCCACAGGGCTTCCGGAGTCGTCAATGCTTACACTTCAACGTCACATTGTGCTTGCGATTCGAGAAATGAGTATGTAATTCCTTCCCAATGCTATGAAACTCTAGTGCTTATGTCACTCCGCTACCTAGATCTTCTATGTGCGTCTCACATTGCAGTTAGAGACCTATTGTATTCACACAGTTCGTAGATCTCCACCGGAGCTTCTTTGCCCGAGCTATTAGCGACCACCCCAAAGACCCTCTTGGAAGTCCTTACGGTACATCCGTAATTGCAGCTTATCGAAGTGCAGGATCCCTCGTTGCCCTGATGCGAAACTTGCACAATCAACTTCAGGATCTGAGCCAAAGGTTGTGGTTCTTATGGACACATATGTTCTCTTGCGCAGTGAGTTTACTCGGGATTTGCTGCTGCGTTGAGTTGACTGTACTAACATTTCCTCGTGATAAGATTATTCTTGGCTCTATTGTCACTCGCTGTCCATCTATGAGCTTAGCACCTTCAGCACTCGTACAACTCGATTCAGCTTGTGAATTGTTCTCAAAGGCTGCAAGCGGGTTTAGAGCAACCAAAGTCCTCGTGAATATCATTGAATTCTTTACCTTAAATCCCGAAATACTAACACATACCCCTGTAGAAAATTATGCTTGATCTTCAAACTAGAGCTCACGAGTGTTTGAATGAATTCCGCAGAGGAACCGGGAGACTGGGGTCTGCCTTGGATCCTCCGAACGATAATGACGAGTTAGCTATATTAGGAGGGAAAACCAGATTGGTTAAAAAGGAACCAGGCTCCCCACAGCTGTTTGAACGATCCCCCAACTCCCACAATCCAGTCGTTCCGCTCCCGTTATCCCCTAGTGCAGGAGCACAGGTCGATTCAAACTTAGTCGAGTATCTGAGCTCTTTCCAGCCCCAACAACGATCGTTATCAGCATCGAGCACGTACTCTGATCCTGAGATATCGCCTGTGACGATGTATGGCCTCACTTCCCTGCCTACTAATGGTTACCATTCAGAGTCTTCCAATTATCAACCAATGACTTCTTCATCTCATTCCATGATGCCTACGCCCGATTCTTCATTCCATCATCATCGTCAACATAGCTCCCAAGGCTCTGTGGCGAACGATTCCGCAGGTCTGCCTTCGTTCCCGCCATACTTTCCCGTTTACGATTACGGCTCTTCGAATTCGAACTCTTATGCTCCAATGTTGGATTCTCCTATTCCGGCACATGCACAGAGGAGGTCTAGTTCAGGATCGCCAGAACAGAATTTAATGCACACCGTCTGGCAAGACTTTGTAACTTCGAATGGGTATGTGCCGAACTAACTTAGCCCTCGAATGACCGCCGCTACCCATTGAATGAGTCATGGTATATCTTGGCCCCTTTGAATTCTTCTATATTTCGACCTCTTTTTTTATTTGTGACTATGATGTATGTATGATCTATCATATGTATCAATGCATTCGATATCGTGTAGTATGTGTACTAGGGTAATTGGATGATGTGTATCCCGCCAAAGCCACGAAGAGAAAACCATATTTGTTGCATCAGTGTTGTCGAATCAAGTGGGATTAACTCTGGCGCCTGAGGCCTTACTCAGACGTATCTAAAGAAAATGATGCATATAAAGTGAATAATTATACCTGTATTTACATAAATATGAGTTGAAGCCGATGGAAAACTTCGAAGACAGCACTAACACTTTCAAGTGCAATTGGATTCCTATTCGATTTCGCTGTCCGAAGACAACGAGGACAGGTCTGGATCGCTTTCGGAAAAGCCCAGCTCGGGATAAGTTCGTCTCAAGCGCCTCATTTTCTTCCTCGAATGTCTGACTTCTTGACGGATCTTGACAGGATCCCAGACGATATCGTCGTATGACAGCTTACCGGTGACTTCGTAGAGTCGCTCAGCGAATTGACGAGCAAAGGGGAGTCGCAAGTCTTCAAACGACAGAGCTTCTAATGGTTGACCCTTTGGCTTGAGCTGCGTGTTCAAGTCTCGAAATTTGACTAAATGGTCAAGTAGTCCATTATAGAGCCTTTCCTGGTCTGGCGTGTCAACGGTACCATGAAGTCGGAATGGGATGTTGTGGGATGCCAGGAGAACAAGATTGGATAGTGGAAGACTTCCAACCCCTTGCTGTCGATGGAGTCGTTTAAGTCGCCGACCACTGGGGAATGTATCAGGGGCTCGTTTCATAGCGTCAATGGCGCCACCAAGGAGAGCAAGCATTGCATTATTGACTCCAATGCGGATGGTAATTCCAACAGGTAGGAGCCTGACAAGTGTCCTCCATGTCTCCTGAGAAAACTGTTGTTGACTAGACTCTGTATCTGGCTCAATGTTATCGCAAGTGACTTGTATTGCATTTAAAACGACCAGCTTCTGTAAAGGTAGAGCGTTGATAATTTTCACGATCATCTGACGATTTTGGCGTTGGGATGCAGGATAAAGGAGGATATGATGTAACGGTTTCTCACTGTCACTGACGAAGAGAGGATTAGGACATGTGTCATTTTGAGACAAAGAGAATGCGAGATAATTCCCGCAAACTATATTTGCGGAACGCAGAACCGGCGCATCTTTGTGTCGTAGATGGCGTCTGACGTGTATCATTAGGGATTTGACGCCCTGGATGTAGTCATCATGTTGGGTCGGACGTGCGATGAAACTCGTCTGTGTAGTGGGGGGGAAGACAAGGAATCGTAGAATAGACGAAATAATTTGGATATCCATGTTCAAATCAAGAAGCCTCAATACCGGGAGCGAGATGACGGGCAGATGCTGTACATCACTAGGTATTCGAATGTAGTGACGAATTTTGAGTGAGTGTAATGCAGGTGAGAGTTTGATGGTATTATAGAAGTCTTCCAGCGAAGGCAGAGCAGGTTGCATTTCACGATTTTCGATCTCCCTGGTAAGCTCGAGATGGGTCAGATTGGCCAGAAGTTGCAATTCTTTCCCACTCTCGAAAGAAACATTGTCCAAGCAAAGAAGACGAAGACGTGGTGCCCCCCCTTGAACAAGGAAGGAAGGGAGATATATAGGAGTAGCAGGTTGATCATTTGAGTTCCGAAGGGATACATGAAGGCTTTCTAACATCGGCAAATCCCTAACATCGCCGAAAAAATGAATAAAATCACTTTTCGGTCCATCTACATTGAGTAATCGCACGCGATGAGAATTGCGAGTAAACAGTGGAGTGGATTGTTTGTTTCTGAATTTCAAAGAAAGTGGGTATCCTTTCGAACGCTTCTCCCACACCTTCATGCGGGAATATCCATGTCTAAATGATTTTCCCTCCGAAATCCAGGACCAAAATCTACCATTGTCCATGACGATCCGATGCCATCGGCGACAAACAAAAATGAGGCGACACCACATTGGGGACCAGGCGTCTTCAGCAATCATAACCATGTAGAATATATCGGAGAGTAGTTCGTCGGGGAGAAAAGATATTGAAGCAAGCGCATTCCGGTACGATTTCAGGTTGGCAAGAATGTCAATTCCAGAGTCGATAGCCTGTCTCATATCCTCTCGTTCACTGTACGCCTTTTTAATCACAAACTCAATTCTTCGGCTTTGCTCTCACCTAGTACTAGACAATTGAAGACGGGGCATGGACTCCATGAGCATTAAAGCGCGCAACATCTTCGCAAGTTGGTCAAATTGGTCTGGGCCGTCTGGCAAATCGGCAGAAGGCATTGGTCTTTTTATAAGAGCGATTAAGGTGGCGATGAACAACAACAGGCTATTTCGGTCCGAATAGCCGGCCTCCTAATTCCCTTCTTTCATGTCATCGCCGACCCTACCAAACTTTTCTGCAGTTCCAACTGAGGGACCAGTCGGCAGAGATAAAATATTGCCAGTGAGACAAACGGTCGATTGTTTTGGCTACCAAGCAAGAACTTGTTTAGGTGACTGCAGGATATTCGGATGACACCCATCCTTATTCAAGACGAGTACCATAATGGCCTCAGGGTGATTTTGGAATAGAGAACACATCGTTTGAGAGCAGGGCAAGTGTCTTATATTGGCTTCGTAAACTTTGGTTGCCAATTAGTATGCTATATGCATAGCGTGTAAGTGTAAATCTTGATGAACCGCGATAGTCATTTCGAAGAAAATCTGGCCAAAGATCTTCCTTATCCAAGTCCCTTTCAGGATGACCAGGAGCCGCCGAAGTCTAAGATGTGGCATTCCGTCGTCGGAATGCCTGGAATCGGTATGCATCGCGTTGAATCTTTTCATCCGAATCGAGTCTTGAATATTGTCTATGGTAGGCAAATCACACTTTCCCTCATATATCTGGAATCTACGACGAGCGCAGAAGCTTTCCACCCTCTACATCGGGAGCAAGACCGACATGCGCTTGTCTGTCAATGGTACAAAGTATTCCGGTACTACCGCGATGTGGTGCGTACCACTCCACGACCGTCACCATTCTGGCGGATGGTGTCTAGTCAATTCCAATAACGAACAGGAAGCTTTCCCACTAAATTTGCTGGAATCATCGTTGTTTGTAATCCAGGCAGAATCGCCCAGAGAAAAACATTTCCGACCGAAAAGTAATTTTTATGCTCCAATCTTGGATATTCGTAGTTCCGGCACATGCACAGAGGAGGTTCAGCTCAGGCTCGCCAAAATAAAATTTATGTAATGCACACCGTCTGGCAAGACTTTATACCTTCGAATGTGTATATGCCAAACTAACCCTCTTTGAAACCTTCTATATTGCAATCTTTTTTTAATTTGTACTATGATGTGTCTATGATTCATTGTATGTATCAATGCATTCGATATCGAAGAGAAAACCATATTTATTGTGTAGGTGTTTTCCACTTTCAAGTTCAATTGGATTCCAACTCGGATTCGCTGTCTGAAGACAACGGGGACAGGTTTAGATTGTCTTCGGGAAAGTCCAGCTCAGGATGAATTCTTCTCAAGCGCCTCAATTGCTTCCTCAAACGTCTGACTTGTTGTCGCATCTCGACGGGATCCCAGAGGATATCGTCGTATGACAGCTTACCGGTGACTTCGCAGAGTCGCTCAGCGAATTGACGAGCAAAGGGGAGTCGCAAGTCTTCAAACGACAGTGCTTCTAATGGTTGACCCTTTGGCTTGAGCTGCGTGTTCAGGTCTCGATATTTGACTAAATGGTCAAGTAGTCCATTATAGAGCCTTTCCTGGTCTGGCGTGTCAACGGTACCATGAAGTCGGAATGGGATGTTGTGGGATGCCAGGAGAACAAGATTGGATAGTGGAAGACTTCCAACCCCTTGCTGTCGATGGAGTCGTTTAAGTCGCCGACCACTGGGGAATGTATCAGGGGCTCGTTTCATAGCGTCAATGGCGCCACCAAGGAGAGCAAGCATTGCATTATTGACTCCAATGCGGATGGTAATTCCAACAGGTAGGAGCCTGACAAGTGTCCTCCATGTCTCCCAAGAAAACTGTTGTTTGTATGGTTCTATATCTGGCTCAATATTATTGCAAGTGACTTGCGTTGCATCGAAAACGGCCAGCTTCTCTAAAGGAAGAGCGTTGATAATTTTCACGATCATCTGACGATTTTCGCGCTGCGATGAGGGATAAAGGAGTATGTGAATCAATGGTTTCTCACTGCCCAAGAAATATTTAGGACATGTATCATTTTGAGAGAAAGAGAATGAGAGAAAAATCCCGCAATCTATATTTGCAGAACGCAGGACCAGCGCATCTTTGTGTCGTGAATGGCGTCTAACGTGTATCATGAGGGATTTAACGCCCTGAATGTAGGAAGAATGATCATCATGTTGGGTCGGCGAATGTGCGATGAAACTCGTCTTTGTGGTGTGGGGGAAGACAAGGAATTGTAGAATAGACGAAATGATTTGGATATCCATGTTCAAATCGAGAAGCCTGAGCACCGGAAGCGAAATGGGGGGCAGATGCTGTACATCACTAGATATTCGAACGTAGTGACGAATTTTGAGTGATTGCAATACAGGCGAGAGTTTGATGGTGTTATAGATGTCTCTGAGCGAAGGCAGAACAGGTTGTATATTTCCGATCCTCCTGGCGAGCTCAAGGTGGGTCAGGTTGGCCAAAACTTGCAATTGTTTCCCACTCTCGAAAAAAACATCTTCTAAGCAAAGAACACGAAGACGAGGTACTCCCCCCTGAACAAGGAATGAAGGGAGATATATAGGAGTGGCAGGCAGCTCATCCAAGGGCCGAAGGGATAATTGCAGGCTTTCCAACATCGGCAAATCCCTAATATCGCCGAAAAAATGGATAAAGTCACTTTTTGGTCCTTCTACATTGAGTAACCGCACGCGATGAGAATTTCGAATAAACAGTGGAGTGGATTGTTTGTTGCTGAATTTCAAAGAAAGTGGAAATCCTTTCGAACGTTTCTCCCAGACCTTCATGCGGTGAAATTCATATCCAAATGGATTTCCCTCCGAAATCCAGGACCATAATCTACCATGATCCATGACAACCCGATGCCATCGACGACAAACAAACATAAGGCGACACCACCCCTGGGACCAGGGACCTTCAGCAATCATGACCGTGTAGAATATATCGGACAGTAGTTCGTCGGGAAGAAAAGAAATTAAAGCAAGCGCATTCCGGTACGATTTCAGATTGGCAAGAATGTCAATTCCAGAGTCGATAGCCATTCTCATATCCTCTCGTTCACTGTACACCTTTTTAATCACAAATTCAATTCTTCGGCTTATACTCTCACCTAGTACTAGACAATTGAAGACGGGGCATGGACTCCATGAGCGTTAAATCCCGCAACATCTTCGCAAGTTGGTCAAGTTGGTCTGGCAAATCGGCGGAAGGCATGATGGTCGTTTTATACGAGCGATCAGGTGGCAATGAGCAACAGGCTCTTTTGGTCCGAATAGCCGGCCTCCACCTTTTTTTGGTTTCTGAGCGGTAAATTTACACTTGGTCGCGTCGTATTCTTTACTGCTCACTGTGTCGGACGATGATATTTCGCCCTCTTTCACTTATCTGACATCAACTTCCTTAGACTTCCTTCAACTCATGTTCATGTAATTTTCGCATGCTATTTTGCGGCGCCTGAAGAGGTTTTCGGCATTCTATTTAATGTGTACACAGTGCCATCTCTATTGTCTATGTATAGCTGCATCTGCATAACATGTCACTGGTCGTTTCCCGAATCGCGCAGCTCGTGTCGCAGGTTGTAATCAACGTTTCACCACAAAATCCTCTCAAAGTGCACTATGATGCACCTAATGTCGACTTCGTATGTCCCGACGAAGATTTAGCAGCCACCCTTCGCTGTGTTTCCCAGAAACTCGAAATAGACTCTGGCATCGTCTCACTGGTAGTGTCGAACTGTGCCGACATTTTACCAAGAATATTACTTCCACTCGCCGGAGAACTCAGTCATTTTCCCTTGGTTATCCACATTGAGGTTGAGCAAGACCTCTCATCAGTCTTTCTCCTCCACAGTTCTTTTCCTTTCCTCCTTCTTTCCGTTAACCCACTTGAAGCACACGACAATTCTATCCTTGCTTCGTATTTGGCCCGTTCATCTAGGCAAGCAGTTATCCACGTTTACTTTCGTGATCGAAACGCGGCCGACATTGATATACATGTCATGCTGGGAGAGAAGTTCATCCTTGACTACGTCTTGAAAGACACCGGAAGAAATGAAGTCGTGATTGCTGAGGATGATGCAGAGGCACTATGGAGAACATATAAAGACGCCAGTAGTCGTCTGTCTCACCTCATTTCAACACGAACATTACAGCCGTTCGGGTCTCAATATTCAGGACAAAAATCCGATGTTCATACAGTTATCTTCATCATAGGCAATCATTGCATATCTGATATATCTCTTGCTGGTATTCAAATCATATATCCCAAAATCACGGTACCTCTTCCTTCTTCATCTATCCTTGAGGTCGTGCCATCGCGTGCGGCTCGTGTATTCATTCTGGAACAGTTTCGGAATTGGCCTACAAAATGGACCCCGTTTCATCTAGAGGTTGTCCGTGCCCTACAGCAGCGAAACCCGACTCCAATAATCCGTGGTGGCATTCTTGGTCATTACAAGACTAACATTACTGACTCCGACGTTGAAACGCTGCTAAACTCCACCGAAGACCGCGTCCAGTTCGGGTCGTTCGTTGATTCCAATCCGCCCGCATCTCCATTGATACCAAAATACGAGTTGAGTTATCTTAAAGTGCTCGAAAATCTCTTTGACGTTCGCTTTCAACATTCAAATTCCCCCAATTTAACTACACTACACGGGCATCTTGCTACGAACCCCGAATTTGCGCTAGGTCGGGTTCGCGGGCAGCTTGAAGAGCGAGCACGGCTGGTGAAAATTACTGAAGATGCGATGACCAACTCGTCCACGAATAACGAACTCCATTCTCTGCTGAGTGAATGGCTTATTCACAAGGATGACGTTTTTCAGAGCCGGACTTTTGGAGAAGAGATCATCCAAAGGTTGGAACACGAAATCCGCAGTCCAATACTGCACCAGATGATCGCTTTGAAGCATCATTTCACCTTACCTTCTCATTGGATAGTGGTGTCGTCGTCGTGGTCCTATGATATAGGCTCCTCAGGCTTGCATCATGTTCTCTCTTCCGGTCTACGTGTCAACATTCTCATTATTCACACCACTTCCTATATGCTCAGGCAGTCGAACAATCACCGACAGCATGACATTGGTCTGTATGCTATGAACTACGGTTCAGCATATGTCGCCAGTGTCGCAATATATAGTTCCTATGCTCATACGATACAGGTCCTAGTGGAGGCCGATCTCTTCGATGGACCGAGTGTTGTGTTAGCTTATCTTCCCAACCAATCTGACCAGACATCGGCTGTGGATGTACTCAAAGAAACCAAACTTGCTGTAGATTCTGGGTACTGGCCATTATATAGATGGAATCCTAGTAAAGACATCGAGGGGGAAGAACCCTTTTCTTTGGATTCCGACTCTATTAAGAATGACCTCGCCCAATTTCTTGACCGACAAAATCACCTATCACAACTTGTTCGCTCGAAACCTGCCTTGAATACCGAGATAACTGGTAATCTTGGCTACAGCCTGAAGGAAGCACGGCGGTTAAAGGCGCAGAAGACTTACAGTAAGTTGTTGCACACCGTAGAAGCGCCTTCCATACGAATCCTCTATGCTTCTGATGGAGGTACAGCTGAGAAAATGGCAAAACGTTTAGTCATTCGTGGGAAGATACGGGGCCTGGACGTAAGCATTGCGGCTCTCGATTTAATATCGCTAGATGCCTTGAAAGATGAAGACGAACATGTTAACGTCTTCATCACGTCCACCGCTGGACAAGGTGAGCCCCCTCAAAATGGAAGGAAATTCTTCAAATCCCTCAACACTGCGGCGAGTATTGTGGAAAACAAGGCGACACTTTTTTCCAAACTGCGATATCTCGTGTTTGGTCTAGGCGATTCCCACTATTGGCCTCGGGATGAAGATGCTCGTTACTACAACAGACCGGGCAAAGAACTTGATCATAAATTAGCCTTGCTAGGCGCGCAGCGGGTTCTAGATCTACATCTAGGAGATGCCCAAGACGCAGATGGTCCCGAAACTCAATATAAGGTATGGGAAGCGCAGATCTGGAAAGTTTTCGGTGTCGATACTGTTGAGGTATCCGAAAAAGAGCCAGATCCCATAACCCTCGAACATGTCAAAGTCGCATCAAATTTTCTTCGTGGCACCATTGCTGAGGGGATTTCCGACGTCTGCACCGGTGGTCTTGCTCCCAGTGACCCTCCGCTCACCAAATATCATGGGATTTGGCAGCAAGACGATCGGGATGTACGGGAGGAACACCAGGCGCAGGGTCTTGATTTAGCGTATAACTTCATGGTCAGGACGAGGATGCCCGGTGGTTCGTGTACGCCTGTACAATGGCTGAAACTCGACCGCCTATCCGACGAATATGGAAATGGGACAATGAAAATTACGACTAGACAGACGTTACAATTCCATGGCATTCTGAAGAGGTTCTTGAAGAAATCAATACAAGACATCAATAGAGCTCTCTTGGATACCCTGGAAGTGGGCGGAGATGTGAACAGGTAAGCATTAGTTCATGATACCGCTGCTCATTCACTGTACTGTATCCTTTAGCAACATTGTGTGCTCATCGATTCCCACTATGTCTGAGATACACGCTCAGGTTCACAGTTGTTGTATGGAAATCAGTGAACGCTTGATGCCTCGTACTACGGCCTATCATGAAATCTGGCTTGACAAGAAAATGGTCGCTGGGCATGCAATAAAGGATTATGAACCAATATACAGTGAGTGGTACCTTCCAAGAAAGGTCAGTTGTGACACTTGAGTGTGTATTTTGATTGATACCTAATTGTTTCCTACTTGCCGTCCAGTTCAAGATTGCCATTGCTGTCCCTCCCACCAATGATGTTGATGTTTTCACAAATGATTTGGGGTACATCACTATTGTTGATGACCGTAGTAGAAATGTCATTGGATATAATGTATTGGTGGGCGGAGGCATGGGCACAACTTTGGGCAATCAGAAAACATACCCTCGGGTTGCAAGCATCATTGGATTCTGCACACCAGAGCAAGCTGTTGATGTAGCCGAAAAAGTTACTTTGGTGCAGCGCGATTACGGGGATCGGATTGAGTACGTTCTGAGCCTCCATGTATGGTCATTCAAACTCACTGCCCTTTTGCAGCCGTAAGGTGCTCAAATAAGAATTGTTCCAATATCCTGCTTCTCAAACGGTTTTATTTCTATTTATTAGGCTGCCAGACTAAAATATACAGTGGACCGGATGGGCCTGGATGAATTCAAAGCAGAAGTTGAAAGGCGTCTAGGCTTTTCTTTCCAAGCAGCTCGCCCATATTATTTCACTCAAAACCTCGACCAATATGGTTGGTCCACAGGCGAGAATGGCAAACACTACTTCACTGTTTTCATTGAGAATGGGCGGATTCAGGACACTCAGAACAAGGGTGTTAAGACATGTCTCCGAGAAATTGCCAAGATACACAAGGGAACATTTAGATTCACCACGAATCAACATCTTGTCATCTCTGAAATTGGGGTGGACAACTTGTCCAGCATCAAGAACATCTTGTCTAGATATAATATGGATAATCAAGGCCTCAGTGGGTTGCGATTGTCCTCGTCAGCTTGTGTTGCCTTTCCAACCTGTGGTAAGCTTTTCGTATTCGACAACATTACTGTATTTGTTTAACTGAAATCACCACTAGGTCTCGCTATGGCTGAGTCCGAAAGAGTGAGTAACTATCTATTTATGACAAGTACATTCCTGAGTACAACCACAGTATTTGCCATTACTCATTGACAAGGTCGAAATGATATGCGAAGAAAATGGACTTCGCAATGATTCCATTGTCATACGAATGACTGGTTGTTCTGCAGGATGTACTCGACCTAACGTTGCAGGTGTGGTGAACGTTCTATGAAATTGACTTCTAAACCCCTTGATGTATTTCCATTCACAGAGATTGGCTTTCTAGGAAAGGCGCCCGGAGCTTACATGATGCTTCTCGGGGGTGGTGCATTCGGGCAACGACTGGCAAAGGTTTATCGTGGTAAGTACAACATTTATATTGTCTACTATTTATGCGATTCTGAAGAATAATTCAAATGCAGAAAACGTTACCGAGCCAGATATCCTGGCCATCCTCAGACCAATGATCAAGCACTACGCTCTCGATCGTCTCGAAGGCGAAAGATTTGGCGACTTTGTGATAAGAGCAGGTTATGTTCCAGCCGTGACTTCTAGCCAGGAATATTGGAAATGACTCTGAAGTAGAGATTAACACGAGATTTCAGCACCGTAGGTATGTTTTTGTAAATTGTATTTTGGGCAATGATGGAGGCAATATTTGTACCATATTTTGATTGCAGAAGGATTGTTACTTTTGAGATCGAGGACGTGACATGAGCACATGAGCTCATTGTTCAACATTCAGCTCAGCCTCTGGACATGCTGGGGACTAGATAGGAGTTGTTGTCCACGGGTTCGATCCTGTTATCAAGTCTGAACATGACCCTCACCGTACATACCGCAGCTTTGCATTTTGTTTCAGGTTCATTCTGTCCGGTCTTATAAGGTCATATTTTCAACCAACGCCCTTATAACAATGCTTATTCTCCATCTACATAATCTACGTGTCGTTATCGATTGCCGCACCCGATACCGCTGACACCCGGCTGGCACCTGCTGACATCTTCCCTCATCTTCCCCGCATCCTTCCAACGTCGACTCGATATTCAGGACTTATACATAAGAACTTCAATGCCGAAGACACCGGAAGGTTATACGTACACTATATAAGTATCTTCAAATTTTTTGTGGCCAAGTAACAAGAAGCAACATGTTTGGTTTGGGTCTGCGGCTTGTGAAGCCCGTATATCTGGTATATTACAGGCCGAAGCCAATGGGCTCAATTCCCTGTAACGTTAGATTTATTCATTCTCGTTTCAACTGTAGTCACGCCAAGAAACAGTATTTACATACATAATTCCTCGTTCACTGACATCTTTTTCCCCCTTCCATTGGTCCTACACCCGACCTATACACACTCTCTATTTGCTTTTTTGTCGTTCATTTTCTCTTTCCCTCACTCATTATTCCGGTGACTGCGATATGACGCTGAACCTCCCTCAAGTTTTTCTTTCTTCTTTGTTATTTTCCCATTTCCTAGTCAATGCTCAGGACCGCACAACTGAACAGGGAGAAGCTGCTATCACTGGTATATTTATGTCGGTATCCCTGCAGTCGCGCTATCCTAATTTCCAATCCCACTTTGCTTAAACCCAGATCCCGACCAGGAATGTGCACCTTATACTTACCCCCCTGTCGCGGACCAGATGGGCTCTTTCCCTCCCCTTTGGGGACCTGCTTCTATTCTTCCCGACGATTCAGCTGCGCTTGCCATGTGGAACTCAATTTCGTCTAACATTCCCACTAGCATCGACACGAAGGTAGTCGCCCTTTTTTTGGTTTAACATACCCAAATTGACCCATTGCGTAGACACAACCTCCTCCGTCAGACTATTCTTCTGACGATCCGGACTGTTGGTGGACCTATGATCAATGTACAACACCCAAACTATCTGGCCTGCCCCCTGATGTTGCCGATGCCCCAGAAGTATGTGCCCATGTTACAACCTATCATTCTATTGCAGATTGAACCCCTTTTCCTAGCCTGCTACTTTAGGTTATGGATTCGACGATGGTCCAAGCTGTGCACACAATGTGTTCTATGATTATCTTCAGAGCCAGAACCAAAAAGCGAGTAAGTGCGTTCAATGTCTTCTCTTGAAATTTCACTAAAGTCTTTGAAGCATTCTATTTCATCGGTTCTAATGTTGCGAGTTCCCCTTTGGAAGCTCAGCGTGCTCTTACTGAGGGTGAGCTGAGCTGTATATATTTTATTTCCAGACTCATTCAGGTGCCGGGTTTGTATTGTAGGCCATGAAATATGCGTTCGTGAGTTTCTCAAACTTTCAATATTCCTATATCTATCTAACAGAAAAATATCAGATACTTGGTCTCATCCTTACAGTGTGTACTCGAGTTCCACTCAACTCACAGTCGTTGATTTAGACCAAAACAGTGACAACGGTTGGCAGCGAAGACGCTTTTGCAGAATTATGGTACAGTAAGTCTTCATAGTAAATCACCCTGGAAATGTGACTCCTCATAAATTTTATCAGCTGTGCGCATATACATATGATGTAAACATTGGGGATGGCGATTTACCTGTGACTTCGACAGATCCAAATGATAAAGCTCGCAGTAGGAGTAACACCTACTTGCTGGAGAGTACGTTCACAACCTCATCAGAGTGCCAGGAGAGATAGCCTAACAGGACTTATTTGTAGCCCCCTTACGGTGATATCGACGATAGGATCCGTGCGATTGCAAATGCACTGGGATTGCAAACGATCATGTGGAAATACGACACTGCAGATGCTAGTGTAGACGGCACGACCATCACCGACGAAACTGTAGAGACCAACTACAACGATTTCCTTCAGACGGCCAACAGTGGAGCATTCAATTCTGTAAATTCAATTTACTTGGGTTGAAGGTTGCGTCGTTTGCTGAACGTCTTGGTTTAGACTGGTGCCATCCTCTTGACCCATGAACTGAACAACTTCACTATGTCAGAAGCAGTGAAATATTATCCCCAGCTTAAAAGCGCTTTCCAGGTATATGATCAGCCCAAAGAAATTTTTGAATAAGATCTGAAGGAAAATCTCCAGTATATCGTCCCTGTTGGAGTTTCTCTGAACAAGACACAACCCTATCTCGAAACCAACTACTCACTTCCGACGTTCGAGCAATGTGAGCATTGCATTGTATTAATAAATATATTCTGACCCATTCCATAGACATCTCCGGAACTGTAACAACCACAGGATCGCGAATATCGCCCATTAACGGTACCTCCACCGTATCTTCTTCTTCTTCCACATCAGCGTCCTCCCGTCCTTCGAGTTCCGCTTCTTCCACGAACTCGAGCTCAAATGGAGAATCAGCTGCCTCCACAAACGCAGCTCATCAGGCAATGGAACTTGGTAGTGGTCGTACCTTGTTAGCATTCTTTATCATGGCATTCTCATGCCACATCTTCGGTTTTTGAATACTTTTTAAAATTATTTCTTCCTTAAATCCTTAAGTTAGCACGTCGTCTGATGTATTTAAGGCCAAACACCATTTAGGCTATGGATGCAGGCCTGTATATATATATATGCATAGTCTATATATCCTGTATGCGTATCATCCGGGTCGAATTATACTCGGAGATCTAACACTCTACTTTAATTCAGAACAGTTCAGAACGCAAATTTTTTCAACATGTACTAGCTACATCGGAGCTATGTACACGAGGTCACCGCCACATCCGGATATGGGTAATATGACGTAGCGTGTCTATACTGTGGGCCACTGCTTCAGGCCTTCAAAGTTTCAGGATTATTGTCGCTATCGTTGAACTGCTGTTTCCTACAAAGAGATTAAATGACATTCACTTGAAGGGGCATCATGTAAAGTGCTGCTAATTGTCTAATCTGCTGGCCCCAAAGCTGAGGTTTGTGTCAGGCGTGAAATTTTGAAACTTGGATCTTCTCATCAACCATGCTCTGAATGTTTTCTGTGTAAAAGACCCAAAATACATACAGTAATTGAGAAAATATAGTGTAGATATATATGTGGAGCTATCTTGCTCGCCGAACTAAATCCGATATAATCTACACAGGCTGATCCTTCCTTTCCATCCACCATGAAGCCCAAGGTAACCACTTTTCAGAAGTGGCTTTCGTCAACTAACACACATTTTTAGACCACACATATCCTATTTGATTGCGATAACACCCTTGTCCTATCTGAAGCTTTGGCCTTCGAGGCTTGTGCAGAGCTTGCGAATGAGATATTATCGTCTCAGGATGTGACTGATCGATATACTGGAGATGAATTAATGGTGGACTTTGTTGGCAAGAACTTTAGGTACGTCCACACCAAGCCCTATATTTTACGTGCAATCGTTCAATCTCACTCCGACAGGGGCATGCTGCTGGACCTTCAAGATAAGTATAAGTTCACGATCCCAAGCGAACAGCTAGAAAAGTATGTGGCTATGGAAGAGGACAAGGTAATTATTACATGAGCTCCTTGCCAGTCAAATCCTCATGATCTGATTATATGTAGGTCATTGAAAAGCTGAAGGAGAAACTGGTACCCTGTGCTGGGGCGAACGAGATCTTGAAGAAACTGGCCCAGAGCGGGAAGTATCAGATGGGTGTAGTGAGTTCCTCTGCTCACCGGCGAGTCGTGGCGAGTCTCGAGAAAGCCAATCAAGCGGTGTATTTCCCTCCCGACAGAGTATTTTCCGCAGCCACTTCCTTACCCAAACCGACATCCAAACCTGATCCTGCGATATATCTATTTGCTTGTGAGAAGCTTGGTGCTCCGCCTGCCACTTGCGTTGCCGTAGAAGATAGCAAAAGTGGTGCTACTAGTGCTGTCCGCGCGGGGATTCCGGTGATTGCGTACGTTGGAAGCTACGAAACTCCAGAGAAGAGAAATGAGATGGCAAAGTCACTAAAGGACATTGGCGCCGCTGCAGTCATGTATGATTGGGCTGAATTTGAGAACTGCCTGGAGCAGGCTGGGTGCAATGTATCTGATGCTCCATAAACTTCTGCCTTGACATTTGATGAATCGCATTTCTAGTCCAGGGCATGTTTGAGAACACAGAATTGTTAATTTTATACATAACAAATTGAGTAACTACAAGAAATGGGCAGGAATGGAAGATACTGAAAATTTGAGCTGAGGAATTGAGCCAAAAAACTCAAGAGAAGAATAAGGTAGGATAAGAGATAACCTGCAAAAGAAAACAAAAAACCAAGTGAAAGCAAGAATCAAATGTGAATAAAGTGAATTATACAGTAGTGCAACATATCAACCACAACCATCGTACAAGAATATTTCCATAGATCCTTTCTTTCTTTCTTTTGGGTATTGTTTCATGATTCTATTATTTTGACACTTTGTTTTTCTTCCTGTGGCGTAGTTTTTGAATGTCTTTTCTTCTGACTTCACTCCTCTGCATGCGTCAGAGGATCGACGCATATAATACCATCTCTTTCGCTCCATGGGTATCCCCAACGGTGGATCCATTCACGCACACCAGTGGCCAGCCTGACACGACCTGCGCCACGGGCCACATCTTGCGTGCCGGTGTGCTTTTGCTCGCCTACAATTATATACGCGAGTCCATAGAAGAACTCGGCTTCGAGCTATGGAACGACAGCCAATCAGGCTCCGAATAAAATCAAGATAGTTCGCATTCAAACGACTCACCGCAAGAAGGAATTCCTCTAAAACATCCGTTGCCTCATTCGCGTGCAGCCCATGCAAATCAAGGGCGACTTCTGTTCTCTCCTCAGCAGTCAGTTTCCCGTCCCCAACTCCAGAACCTGCGACTCCGAGGATGACACCAAGACCAGCACCAGCCAACTTGCCTCTGGAGGTTCTGTCAGCATTGTCGTCGGACCATCCCAGATCTCTTGCTCTGACCGCCCTCTCAGCTTCTAATGCACGCTCGCGAACAAGCTCGCCAGCAGCACGTCTCATCTCTGCGGACATCTTCCCATTTAGGTCGTGACCTTCCCGACTGAATCGTTTCGCAGCAGCGCCATCTCCTCGTCTCCATGCATCCGCAGCTCTGGACAAGCAAGCGTTCCGAGCCTGTCCAAGCTGGAGAGCACGAGAACGGTATGTCATGTACAAGTTGTTTAAGGATTCGCCTGTCATCAACGTAGGCAAAAGAGAAGGGGGACGAAGGCGTAGGCGGGGAGATGAACGAGGAGCAATAATTGCGGAACGATGATGGAGATCTGCTGCGGCAGAAGTGCCCAACGCCTCCCTTCGAGCTGCATTATCCCCATTGCTGTGACTTCCTGGCACCATAGAGGTCAATCCAAGGCTTGTGGAAGCTAGGGGAGGTTTTTTCACTGCAGCAGCAAATCTTGTCCTCCCGGAGTCAGCGCCAGGTGCGTAGACGCTCCGTTTATTCTTATTGTCATTGCCATTAGTCTGTCCTAGCACTGGGAAGTCATCTAATGGAGGGTTATGCGCGCTATTGTGGTTCTGGTTATGATGATTGTTGGAATTGATGTTGACTCGAGCTAAAATGGCACCTAAACTTTGAACATCGACATCTTTCGGAAGATGATGCAAAAACTCGCAACTTTCTCCTTTAGCACAAGTGCCTCTGAGCCAGAAACGACATAACGCTCGTTCTAGGTCATGACTAAAGCGACAATCTGCTCTAAGACATTCTCCCGCGACGAAGTATCGACACACGCGATTACCACCTGCATTGGGACGACCATTGACGTAGCGACCATTGAGATTTGGACGATTTTGGGGACCAGACGGAGGATAACCTCCTCGATCTCCAGGACCACGAGGGACAACGGTCACCCTCCCACCAACAGGCTGCATACGTTGTTGGGGTGTAAGTCCGTTTGGCTGCTGCTGCTGCAGAGGGAGAGCACGATCAACGAGCCAGGCCATAGCGCGGTCGAAATCATATGCATTCGCGGCCAGCGCCTCTTCGAGTTCAGATGGGGCAAGGGTTGATCCAAACACCGAAGTGAGAACATCAAAGGGTGTCATCCCATTTGTCAAAAGTGCGGCAGCAGCATCTGGATCGGTATCAGGTTCGATGGTCATATCATTTAACATGCCCGACATTCCTAAGGTATCCTCAGATCCTTCGGGAGGGAGGAAAGGAGGGGTGAACTCAAATGCATATGGATTCAGTGGTGGGTGTACGTTGTAGTCGGGTTCCCACTGATTAATATCAAAATCTGACACTTGGAAGGATGGTGGATGATCACCGTTGGGACCAAACGGATCGAAGGGATCATCCTCATCCTCATCCCCAGTGTCCTGACGTAACGGGGAGCGAACGGGAGTGGTAGATCTGGAAAGGCCTGGCTGGTCGGGAAGAAGTGGCGCAGCGATAGCAAGATTGGAGGTGGCACGGAAAGGACTATGAGCCCAAAGATCCGGAGACTCTGACCTCACTGGCCCCGGATTCGAAGACGCTGCGGAGAGAGGGCGGGGAATGGGTTTGAATTCTGATGCTTTCGCGTTCAACAAGCGTGGAGACGATAGAGGTGATGCAGGAAGACTTGCAGTAAACTGGGCATGAAAATGAGTGGCGTGCGCATATGGAAGGATGGGAGAGGAAGAGGGAGACGCAGAATAGTCACTGCGGGCAGACATATATGAAGTTGCCTGTACACCACTGGCCAACGGTGATGTTAGCAACGGTCTGCGAAAAATCTGAGCCAGAGGAGAACTTGGAGCAGAATTTGGCGTTTCTGAACGACCTGAGGGGAGCCGAGCCGAAGGTGTAGAGGCTCTTGACGACGGCCTCGATATTGGGCGGCGGGTGGGAGTTAGAAATAAGAATGGGACGCCGGCAACATCGTCTCGATGTTTGTGCATCAGGTCTAGTACATTATTTTCAACCTACAGTCATATCAGTATCATTGTATGGTATAACAAAATAGAAACACACCGTCTGATCATCGACTCCATAGGTGTCTTTCAACAGCTCTCTAAGCTCGTCCTCACGTTCTTCAACGAGTAAGCTGACAACTCTATTGACAAAGGCAGAAGGCACTCTGGTCAGCTCCTCGCCTCCTTCAACATCGCTATCGTAGCTGTCCGAGGCTTTGTATTGCCGGGAAAAGGCAGAAAGCTGAGCGCGAGTGTGAGGGAACTTGTGGGTCGATGTCTGGGGTATAAACGCCGCATCTGTATTCGAGAGCGGCTCTGAATCTGGTAACAGTGCGAGAGACATTCTCCACACGGTAACAAGTAAATAAAGATTCTAGGGAAGGACGAATAGTTTAGAGGGACAAAATATACACAAGACACGTGCACAATTACTATATGGCAACATCGACGAAGCTTCTCGCTCTTACTGTAATCAGTGGTGCTATGGCACTAATTTACAGAATGAATGGCATCTGGATGGCATATGTAGGATGTCATTGATCGGAAAGGAATCCAGTAAAGAGTAAGAGAGGAAGAACAATTATGGAAGACGTGTCCGAATGTACATCTACTTTCTTATAGAGAAATTGAAAGTACTGAGTAGGTAAGTGATAGAAACAAATAATCGCATCCACAGAATTCACGAGAGGAAATACACGAGGATCAGAACATCCCACTGCCGAACCCAGTCATTGCCGGTACCATTCCATTCATGGGAGGGGCCTGCCCCACATATCTATGTAACATCTTCAGCGACAGTAGGAGTTACAGAACAACCTAGACATACCCATTTGTCAAAAGCAGTGTGTTCAGACCTGGGTTGATGATAGGTGCCTCAGACTCCGCCTTTTCCTTCGCTGACTCCTTCTTTGAATAGTCTTTCACCTCCTTCTCCAGCTGGCGTATCTATAGGCGTATCGAGGATCTCATTCAGTCTTGAACATCGACAGATAGCGTGAAACTCGCCTTTTCAACAAGGGTTCTTGAGTTTTGGATCTTGTAAGGCATATAAAAGTCGTTCAATCCGTGCTGCCAGGATAGTTCCTCCACGACATCTTGGCTGAGTAGATCGAAACAAACATAGAGCATTGCTGCGAAGCACTCTTTGTTACCAATGTCCACAAAGTATCCTAGTAGTTCTTCGGCAACCTCATGTGTGGCAGAAGTTGCAGCAGTAATCATAGCGTCTTTGTACAATTTGTCTTGCTTAGAAAGTGATATTGATTCTTCCCAGCGTTTGTTTTTCTTCATTCAAAAAAGGCATCAATGGTTTCAATAAAATGAGAGGATGAAGGCTGATGTACCTTGTACAAATGTGCAGCCAGTCGGCGGAACTCTAATAGTTCGTGTTTCTCTAATCGTCGAGCGAGAGCGACATTGTTAAAGTTGTCAAAGCTGTCAATACTGTCCCGCAAGGTCTTGTAGTCCTCTTCTTCAATCAACAAGTCATTGTACGCGTCATTTACTGCTTCGATGTTGAGCTGTATATGAAGTATGAGTCTATATATTCAAGGAATCCGTTTTGGCACCTACGTGTTGAACAGCAATGAGATATGATCTTATGAGGGGAATGTGATCCATCTTGCGGAACATGGAGACGACACGAGAATGGTCAATACGGGGGATCAGCACAGTAAGCAAGTCCGTGAGCAACGTTGGCTGCTCCTGAAGGTAGAACGACAAAGCCTTATAGTATCTGTAAATGCATGAAACTGAATTATACAACCAGAAGATCGACCACAAATAACTGACATTTCAACGTTTGCAGCACGAACAATGGTGTCTTTGAATTGATTGTGTTCCCAAGCATCAGCCGAACGCTCAATCATGGCCAGAGAAGCGTTGTCCTTGATGCGAAATCAATGGATGTAACAGACCGTAAGTAAAAATTAGACGTACAAATTCGTCGTACTTGATGTACAAGAAGACCAACTCAGGCCAAAGATGTGCCTTCTCTACCGCTCTGATCACCTTGGGAATATTGATACGTGCAACAAATAGCCGAAGGTGCTCCATGACTGTCGACAAAGATCATTCAGTTGTTTCATCGAACAAAGAAAGAGAATTTGAACTTGCGTTTGGCGGGTTTATACTTGCTGAGGAGAATAGCGAGTTCAGTGAAGATGCCCATGTGCGCACGTTCCAAACTTAAACCTGCTTCTAACAGGCTGATAATTTCCTCAAAGTAGCCACGACGCTCATACATAGTGACCAGGGCACCGAGCTCTTCTGCATGCACAATGATATTGAGGCCACAAATTTGTGCCTAGGCTGCATGTCAGTTCCATACACGTCCGACGAAAGCAAGCAATTTCACCAAACGGAATTCCTGCTTCTCAATACAAGCGGCATGAACCTGCTTCCAGACTCTGAAGTTCTGAATCAATGTCACCGTCATTCGACACTGACTGATGCAACGTACTGTGTGTTACCAGCCTTTCGGGCACTTTCGACTGCTGCCTGATTTTCACCAAGATAGATAAGAGTGGTCGCGAGCCGAGCCCAATTAGAGATGCTCTGGAAGAGCAACTTGGCAGCCTGATACAGCTCGACTTCGAAACACCGCTCTCCAACTTCCAGAATATCTGCGACATTGGTCATGCTCAAAAAGTCTTCCATGTCGTGTAGACGATCCGTCCTTGCATAAGCGAATGCAAGTTCCGTATCGATCTTCGGTTCACGGAGTGACTTTCTGGCCATCTGTAAGTAGCGGACGAGGTCGTCATGTTTCCCTGCACGATCAGCGATTTCGATGACCTCGATGAAATTGGAAGGATCTTCAGCTTTTATGTAGGAGTCAATTGATTCCTTGATACGAAGACCATCCAGTTGCGCCTTGGCAAGTCTGCTCCAAACTTCGGGCTGGTTGACCTTGTTCGCATACTCAACGCCGCGGTCCAAAGATACTATGTGTTCGACGAGGACTGTCATAGCCATGGCGTGCTGGTCGTACTTTTTGTATATTGTGAGAGCCTCCTCAAATAAACCATGCTCGGTTGCAATCTTAGCAATTTCCATGTAGTCGTAGTTTTGGAGCTTGTTAATGTAGCCAACAACTTTACCCTTATCTGCCCGAATAGCAGTCAAGAGAAGCAGATTTTGTAGATTCTTGTTCTCGCTGAATGGAGATGGTTCGATGATGATCTTCTCCAGCAACTCGATGAGCTCGATCGGGAGGTCAGCAGTCAGGAAGGCCTTGACAGTTACCGATACGTCGTCGGGATCGGTAGACTCAGGTAAAGCGGTGGCGACGATCTAATGGAACAGTGAATAACAGAAAAACAGAAAGTGATCATTGAGGAAAGCCATACTTGATCAATCAGCGCACGCCGGTGAATATTGTCAGAAACTAAGACTTGTGCCCAAAGCTCCGGCTGACGACGCTTCACGAGGTAGCGCGCCTGCTGCTTAAACATCGAATTGTCATTGGTTATGGCGATCAACTCCTCATCACAAAACCCTTTCGCGTATGCGATATAGGCAAGGTAGGGATCCCGCTTTTCACAGAACTTTCCGACAACAAGAGGTTCGTAAAGCTAATGTCCGTGTAAGACGACGTATATCACAATCGATAAACAAGGTCACTCACGTTATTATCTTTCAAGAACGTCTCAGGGTTGTTGTTGCTGTCAATGTAAATTTTGGCCATTGCATTGTAAACAGCTGGATCCTGGCTACCAGACTGGACCCGGGCCTCGAGCCAAGGAAGTATCAACTTGAGACGATTGCGCTGCTCAACCTCGTGCACAAGCTCGTCGATGGGGAAGTTGCCAGTAACAGAAGAAAGAAGAGTTTTGATGGTGGCTTCATCGCAATCAACATCCAGCAAACCACCTACAACTTGGGGAGTACGAATTGAGTTCACCCTTTGAACATACACCTCGATGAATTTGATGAGGTTGTTCTGATACAGGTAGAGAACGAGGTCATGGACAAAATCGAACCGATCACAGACAATGATGAGAGGAAGCTGATCGGAAAGTTTTGCTTCCTTCAGGAAATTCTTCACTTTCTCGGGGTTATAATAGTTGCTCTCTCTACAGATCCGCTCGACTTCGCGAATTTGACCAGTTCTAGTCGCGGCCTGGATATACTTGAAATGCACCTCAGGGTCAGTGCTAAGATTGACGATAGCGCCGAGGTAGTAATAAAGACCTAGACAGATGAAGATTAGTAAAATTTGACAAACAGGGAAAAAGAGAATAACACACCCTCGAACGTCTTGAAATTCTCGAACAATTCAATCAACTTGACAGGGCCAAGGATATCAGAGTATTTGGTGGCGACTTGGATGACGACCTGGAGATTCTGTCGCATATTCACACGAAGCATTTCCTGTAAGCAGCCCATCGACTGGTCCGTAGTCAAACGACTAAAATAGTTAAGGAGCCACTTGAATTCTAGGCGTTAGGAAACATGAACAGATTCAAGATGTCACAGCTTACATCGACCGGGAACGTAGTGGCATGGACAATGACACGTTTAATGTCCGCGAGGTCTTCATAATGCTCGAGGGCCTGTCATATGATGGTAAAAATGAAGAATAGTGGTTAGGCTCATAATGCTCACTCTCTGCATCAATCCAGCCTTTTCACAAAGGTTTGCAATACGTGGACGATCATAATGAGTGAACATTTCGTTCCCGAGAATGGCGTCAGCAACTTGCGGAGCATGCATAAGGTTCATCTCGAGCAGACGCGTCTGCAGTGGCCCTTGTTCGGGTTTGTTATCTTTCAGCGCATCAAGTAAGAAAGACGTGGCAGGTTGGATCATGTTTTGAGACATGAAGATGTCAACCACTCGTTCCACGTCAACCAAAGGACCCATCTCGTCGTTAACCAGCTGCGACGCAAATTCTGCACCTTTCTCGGGATTGACGCGCATGACATGTTGTAAGAGAGCAACGTAATCGGGACTGTACCCAACCTTCTTCGCATACAAAACAATCTTCTCAATTTGTCCTGTCTCCGCAAAGCAAGCAATAACCTTATTGGGGACGTTGGCGCGAAGGTAAACGCTCAACGCAAGGGTCATGTCGTGTAGTCGTACGACATCACCAAGTTCCTCGCTACATGTCAACTTGTTTTCCTTCAGCCACTTCTCTAAAAGTTGTTTCCGGCCTTGTTGCAGAACTGGACGGGCAAGCTCCAAAGACTCGAGATGATTCAATTCCCCCTTTTCAAGCAGAATACCAAAGTATTGCAGAATAGGAGAAAGTCCGCCAGGTGGAGTAGGCGCTGATTTGAAAGATTCGATGACTTGCGTAGTACGAAGGATTCCCTGTAACAAGATATCAGCACAAGGGGCCACGCCTGAACAGACAGAGGATTATGCCTACCCTGGGAGAATTCGCAGCAATTTTCGCAGCCTCGCCATACTGACCACTCTGGAACAACGACTGATACTGCTTGATATACAAGTCATCGGCACCGGGGAGATTAGCTCGACTAGCGAGCTTGAAAGCCAACTCGGTATTGTTGAGCGTAGTCAGGACATAAGGGACAATAGTTTGGTCGTCCACGTTGACACTCAACACCTGTCCCTTCTTGTTCACGCCAATGATACCGTTCGTAGCTTCGTGTTCGGCGGTCACGAAAATAGTCTCGCCCGAGATACGGTTCATGTAGACACAAGCGCCAGATTCGAGGTCGTAAAGATGAATGAAACCATATTTAGTGACCAGATAAACGATACCGTGTTTCTTGGACACCTGCATTGATACGGGGAAATCATTCGTGGCTTCAGCAGGGAAGTACACGTCTACTGCCTTCTTGACAAACGGCGGGTCTGGAGCAGCATGGTCTATTTGAACGACGTGAAGCTATATCTGATGTTCAGAATACGAATACGTGAAGTAATAGAGACACACACTTTAGCACCTGTAGCTGTACGAACTGCAAAAGTAAACAGTTTCGTGACGTGCTGATTTCCGTCCAGCTTGACCTCCGCAAATGCAGCAGCATGACCCTCGATAGGTTGGCTCACGCCCCGATCCCTACTGTAAAGCTGCATTGACCCTTTAACTTTGAACGCCGAGGGATTGGTAGAATTTCCGGAAATTCCAATCAAGACCAGCCACTTTTCATCCGAAGATACACGATAGTTGATAATTTGGGTCCCTGCGAGAGTAGCGTGTCGGTCGAAGATTTTCTGTGGGGGGGAAGTTTGATCCGTTATTGACCAGTGGTAGACGGATGATTCAGTAACCATTCCAATGGTGTTGTCGGAAACCCATTTCCAGAAAACAATGTCTTCATTATTGTTATGAGATTTGACCTTCTGCTTGGTCTCTATGTTGAAAATCTGCAATGTCCGACCAGCTGAGAAGACGTCAGAACATCAATGGAATCTCGAAGGACACAAGCACGTACCTTTGAGAGCAAGAATTTTCTGCCGTGGATGCATGATAGCTGAGTCCGCAGAGATAGGACGACGCATAACATTGTTAGCATCTGAAAGGTCGATGATGACCACTTGGTTTTGTTCGTTGACTTTTTCGCGAACGCAAATGAAATGATCAGATTCGAGTGTCAATGTCTTCACAAGGTGGTCAGAGCATATTCTGGAATTATTCAATGATAAATAAATACCTAAAGTCAGGCAGAACGAAAAGTAAAGTCAATTAGCAAAGTTGAACGCCAGCGAAGCGTGTCGTACACACCTGGAAAGAGATAGAAGCGGGCTGAACACCAAGGCTCGAAAGTTGAAGGTGCTCGCAGAAAGCAATAGGTTTCGAAATGTCAAGAGCCGCCATTCTGGAAGGCGAATGAAAAGAGGAGGACGAGGAGGAGCCAAATTGGAAATGGGAAGGAGGTCTTGTCACGTTTGTCACACCTGTCGGTGATCCGATTCGCCTCCACTGAATGTGAAGATGAGCGTACGTCCTCGGGTGCAACTGTTTTCCTGCTCACCATTTTCGTTTTGATATCTTTTCCTCCAAGAACCAACTTAAGGATGGACTGCCTGCGATGTAGTGTTTTGACCTTGCACTATACATGAGGCTGTGATCTATGATTTCCTACCTCGATAATCGCAAGTCATTCTTTCAAATGATGTAGACACACAAGTCGGTACATCAAATCGATACACGCGTCGATGATATACTAATAATTGACCGAACTATCGTTCACAGCGCAAAAAAGATACTGTATTCAAAACATAGTCGAAACCAGCTCAAATTTCATTGCGAATCATAACACTAAAACAATTCTCGCAATAAGGTTTCCTATCTCTTTCAAAGTACGATGGGTCCTCAAATGGCTGATCGCAATTCTGTCATAAGAGATAAGCGAATAGTCTGACTCAAAGTCTAGATTACTTACCGTACATCGGAAACACTCCCAGCACCACTTCCCTCCCAATGCTTCCACTGCCTCCATATGGTCCCGGATTGGTCTCTTGCATCTTTTACACTTGGGTAACCGCAACCTGACGTGACATGCTTCGCAATATGGGTGACCCTTGAACACGGTAAAGCCCACGTTATCCTCATCATCATCATAAGAAAACGTCCCATCTCCGGAAAACGTCAATTCTCCTCCAGCGCTTTTCCCAAAATCCCGCTCATGGTTGTGTTTGGCCGCAGAACTAGGGCTTAAAAAAGGATCACCACATTCGGCACAGAAAAAGTGTTGTTCGTGGTAAGTTCTTCGTCCTAATGCAGTATCATTCAAAGAGATGAATCGCTCTTCAACGATAGCCGTCTTGCAGTGATAACACCGGGGGGCAAACGTCTACAGAAATGGTCAGTACGTTTGCAATAAGAATGAAGTTACGTTTTCATACCTCATGATAGTCTAGATGACAATACGGTCTCTTGATTCCATCCTCACCTATGCCCTCATAGCTTAAAAAGTGATCAATACGGAGGCTCTTGTGAGGAGATGACCACCCACCTTGACTGAAATTCCAATAATTCATTGCATATAGTGCACCTAAAACAATCCGGATGCCATTTCATTCCCATCGCACCGACTACACGACCAATGATCGGCCGAACACAAGCTGGACAGGTCAAACCTCCCCTTCCCGACTGGCTTGCTCCTGAACGAACAGCGGGTAGAGCTCGAGGTCCACCTTGATGAGGGGCAGTAGTTACGTCTTTACCTCTTCTTCGTGGGGTATCTTGGTCACTCTCGTCAGAAACGTGGATGACGGGTCCTCCAAATTGTGAATCAACACCCATGCCCGGAACCTCGAACATAATTTGAGGCGGGTTGGGAGTAGACTGTTGACCTTCATTTTCTGCACTGACACGGATTAACGGGCCAAATGGCGACGCGTTACTGTTGTCATCATCACTATCATCACTATCATTACCGATAATGTTTCTGGGGGTGGAGGTACCCTGCCCAGTGATTTGAATACCTGAGCTTTCATTTTCGTCATCTCCAAAGGTGATCCTTGGGACTTCTGATTGATTTGGTTGGCTTCTGCGATCGTTATTTTCAAACCTTATCGCTGGAATCGGTTGTGAATGTGAGGTGCTTTTGGAATCGTTTTCCATTTTTCTCACATCGGCCATCTTTTCTTTCCCACCAAGTGGTGATGGAGACTCAATTTTTACACCTGCATATGCTATGGAATGACCAATGCTCTCGGGACGGTCGTTCAAACGGGGGTAGGAGGCGTGCTGAGGCTGAGGCTGAGCAGGTTGTTGAGTATTCCGCTTGAAACGTTCCAGTGCACCAGAAGTACTGCTTGCAGTAGAACCCGCAGGGCTAACGCTCCTCGCACTACAATTAGTCGTCAACATGAATTTTTGAACAAAAAACGCGACACCCACCTGAAACTAACACTAGCCGGCCGAGGAGGGGGTTCATCTAGGTCATAATCTGGAATTGTCCTTTCAGCCTTGCCTCGCGGACCACTATGGTTAGAGATCTTGACGTTGGCAAAGGATGAATGTGTTTGCGGTTGGGATTGAGTATGTGAGTGTCGTGGGCTAGACGAAGGAGGATGCGCCGAAGTCGGCCTTGAGAACGATTGGCTGTTACTGAAACCGCTTCCAGGACCTCGAGGCAACGGAGGAAGATCCTGAGGCCATGGACTTCCACTCCCCATTAAATCCAACTCCATCTTGGCAAATCGAAGGGTCATACTACCCGTGCTGCCCTCGTGAATAGCTCCTGTCGTAGCGCCAGCACGGTCCATTCCCGGGGGCTGAGGAATATTCCTGGCTCCAGATCGAAAGCCCATGCTATGAGTAGGAATGGCACCCGTAGTGACTACCGCACGATCCATACTGGGAGGTTGAGGTATACTCCCTCGCAAATCTAAAATGCCTGGCCCATTACTCCCACCACTCCGTTGACTATTCCCAGATATTCCAGAAGCGGCAGAGACGCCAGAAACTTCAGATGAAGTGGTCTCACTTTCAAGACTAGTATTTGCTGCATCATCGTCAGGTTCTTCTACAGTATATGGGGCTGGAAAACGATTTGGAGTGGGTTGCGGTAAAGGCCTGCCAGGCGATGTAGGCGGCACTGTCGTAGATCTACCTCTTTCCGTTTCTCTAGAGCTTCCACCGATATTGTTGACAGGTTTGTCTCTCTTCCAAAGAGGCACAAATTTGGTTTCAGAGCCTGAGGTTGCATTAAAACCAGAACGAGTCGAGAAGAACTTGGTCTCAAATATTGGATTCTGCTGGCGAACGGCTGCACTAGAGATGGACGAAAAGGTGGAATTTGATTGCGGAGCAGTTTGGAGGGAAGACGTGGCAACTCGGGATTGCGAAGTAGAAGTTTGTGGTGCATGTGTGTGTGATGGATGAGGAGAGTTATATGAGTGTGAGTTGGTCATTGTAGCTGATGTATTCTATATTGTATTCAATAGTCATCAAGAAATTAAGTGATATCGGAAACGTACAATATTGGCCTTTTCAGGACTATGATTTCTACTCGAGGAAACACTGCTATTACCAAAAAACCTGGGCGGGCTGACACGTCTACGCGTCGGGGTGTTGATAGTCACGGGATTAGAAGCCTGCAGGGAAGGCATTTGTTGTGAGGGCGGGGCTGAGAAAGAGGACACAGATGACATGGTGGTCACAGGATCCTTGTACTGATATTGAGACTGTTGTGGTGCATAAGAATTGGGAAAGGGTTTTACAGGACCGACATTCCTGACGGTACCTGGACTGATAGCACCACTGGCCATTCTTTCTTGATTGAACCTGGAGAATGCTGAAAGATCCCTGCTGTGAGGATGATTAGGCGACAACGGAGCGAATCCTGAGCTTTGTGTGATTGTGAGTGGCCGAGTGCTTTCTATAGGAGATGCAGGAGATGGAGATGGCAACGGTTTCCGAGTTGGACTAGCGCTTGAACTTCTAGCATGCTGTGGCGGCATTCCGCCTACTCTATTTGTATGCATCGACGGTACATGCGCATAATTGGCACTGGCTTGTGGGTACCCTATACTCTGCGGTCTAGGCCTACCTTGCAGCTGTGAGGGCGGAGGAGGCGCACTCCTTGGCATAGGTCTTTGCTGTGGTTGACCTTGTGCTGGTCGCACAGGCGGTAGTTCAAATCCTAACTCGGCCTGCGATCGGAATACCGGGGAGGGCTTTGGTACATTCTGAGCGGGATATTGATTTGGATAATGATCTGAAGGATATCGAGCGTTCGGATGAGCCTGGCTCTGCCAATAATTAGGGTGTTGTTGGTGCATTTCCAACTTGAGTAATTCCCGAAATCAACCATTAATCGGCATCCTGCCGATCAAGAACGCGAATTTCACACCGTTTTCAACATTTCTTACAAGCAAGCAGTCATCATCGCATCCCCCAAGTCGTATGTACTGTAAGTACTCTGGTCACTGCATTCAACCAATATCTGCTCTCAATATATCATGTCACACAAAAGGGCTACGCCCACTGCGACTGCTCCAAATGCGTCAACGAATTATAATATACCGTGGATGCATTAAAACGTCAACCATATTGATCTTGTGATTACCATGGGTTGGATCAAGCTGGTACGAACAAATAAACAAGGTAACCACTGATCGATGATCAGTAGCTGGAGTTGGAACTTCAGAAGGGCTTGGACCAAAGACACAAATTAGCACAAATTCGATTTGAGATATGCTGTGAAATGGCATCCGTCGGCAGCAGCCAGGCAGCAACATACCAACGGCGACCGTGCCTTGTCTAAAACGACCTGGTCCCGCTATTTCACACCAAAGATGCCCTGTTTTTCTCATTGACGCTCATAGCTTGCATATGAGAGCCCTGCTTCAATGGTCTCATGTGTTATTCTTATGGCTCAGCTCGCGCAGTTGGCGTTGCTTTGCTGAACCAGCGGTGGACTCAGAGAAAATTCATCAAGTATCTCACCTATCTCCGGGGACATGCCTTTGGTCTAGCTCAAAAATGACATCTGTAGGCGATTTATTAACCTTATTTCCGCTTTCTATGCAACCTGGTGGTTGAGGAAATATATTGAAGGGGGTTGCACAAGGCTGCACACTGCTTTGTAGCGGCCAATTTTGCCCTCGGTAAGGGATTTTAACCAAGGTCAATTCCAAGCGTGTGCCTGGTCAGGGAGTGGAAGTCGATTGAGCTGGGCATACTTAAATGACCAAACGATGAAGCTCAACGCTAACTACCCCAAACTCTCTTACATGGTTCACTCTTTCCCCCTCTTGTATTCTCGAGTCAACATAATCCTGACCTTAATCGGTTATGCGCACAGTTTCTCGACGTTCCAATGGCCTAACCCCCAGTTGAGATACGCGGATAACCAACTCTACGAGGGTTCTATGGGCATCCTTGTACAAGACTGTCCCTCACGGGAAAACACCACAATTCCCGCACAGTGGCTTCGTATCGTGAGCACTTGTCAAACATATACCTTGGAAGTTACATTAAAATCGCACAACTTAGGCGTACCATGATATGTCGACCCATGATATCGACGACGGCTCAGGAGGGCTGGACGCATCGATCCAGTATGAACTCGATCGACCTCAGGTACACATTTAGCTGGATTAGTGTTATATCTTTCTAAAACGTTGTACAGAACATTGGCCAAGGAATGATTGATTCATTGAACGATTTCAAGGCTTTTCGCATTGCTACCCCGTTTTTTGGAAGTAGGAACTTTCAAAAACTAAGCGTGAAATATTTATTCATCAATACTTCTTAGTGGCGGATACAATCGCATTGGGGGCTGTATTTGCTGTCGCAGGATGTGGAGGTCCTCTTATCCCTTTCAGTGCTGGTCGTGTCGACGCGACCGAACCCGGTCCCGAAACAGTCCCAGAGCCCCAACAGGATCTCGCCTCGCACACAGAAGCCTTCCGGCGCCAGGGATTCTCCCCTACAGAAATGATAGGTTTAGTCGCGTGCGGACATACTCTTGGAGGGGTTAGACAAGTGGATTTTCCGTTGATTGTAACGGATACTGAAGACGTGGTTCAAAGTTTCGACACCACCATTAATTTTGATAACGCAGTGTAAGCGAGGCCTGCTTCTGCTCGCCTTTTTGATCTAAAGGGCTACAGTGTATCCGAGTACCTTCAAAACACAACTCAAAATATCCTAGTTGTCGGACCGAACGTCACCACCAGGTCAGACTTCCGGATTTTTGCTAGTGATGGAAATGTAACTATGCAAAGGTGTATCGACTTGTGGCCACTCCCTTCAAAATCAATATCTGACTCTCACTGGTTAGCTTCCTTTCCTCCGATACCTTCGCTGAAACCTGCAAGGATTTAATTGGGCGTATGATCAACACTGTTCCCAACGGTGTGACCCTATCTCAACCTATCTCCGAGCCGTTCGACTATGTCGTCTCTGAACCCTTATTCTCATACTGGAACGGTACATTGTCTATGGCTACCACATTGCGAGTGCGTGTCTCCCTTTCAAAATTTGGAAAGTACTCACAACAAATCATGGAACAGGTCATGACCGAAAACCCCAGTCGTACAGTGACTATGCTCTGGGTTGATCGGCAGGGATCATCCTGCCCGCCCATTGGATGCACTTCTCCATCAATATCAACGCAACAGGTCGTCTTTAGTCTCATTGGCAACCTCCAAGGTCTTACAGGAACACGTTATTCATTCAATGCGACTATCAATGCGTCCACGTCAATATCGAAATTTTGGTTCGAAATCAACGAAAACGACGGCTCTGACCCCATCGTAGTCGACAACGGTGGTTCAGGCTTCGTTATCGAGCAAGATTCAATGTTCATCGATAATAGCCGTAGCGAGAATGTTCTTCTATCTTCGTCTTTTAATGAATACCGCAAAGTCGTCGTGGCGGTATGTGATTCAACTACTACTTTTTTGAGATGGTCCAATAATTCATGTTAAACAGGTCCGTGGTGACACTTCTTCCAGCGTGTCAATCACTACGTTTGATCCAAATTCGGATGCTTCAGCCCCTCCATACCTGCTGACAGTCATTACAACCAATCTACAACTCGACGACAGCAATCCATCCGAAGGGGGATTCACTTTTTTTACTGTCAATATCAGCGAGACTGTGAACTTTGTGAGCATCTCTGGGAATATTGGTGGCGTGTCGTATGTTCAAGAGAACTTTGACATGACTGTAGTTAATTTTGCGTTTGTAACGATTTCGTAGATCTCAACTTCTTACTACTTCTACTTACCATTGATAATACATGCATTTACTCAACCTTTTTTGTTAAACTGATCTGTAAGTATTTTGCTACTTGTATGTAGTAATTATACAGTAACCGGATGAAGCTCGCGACGCGTCATTAAAGCTCATTTGATCACGTGGCGCGTGCCTTCCCTCCCGCGCCGGCGGCCGTTTTATAACTTCTCGCTATTCGGATTCCCATCCTATCCTATTCTGAGCTCGGTCAGATCCAAATTCTGAAGAAACCTTTGTCGTGATGACTGTTTCAACAGTATGGATATCTACAGCTGCATCAATAGGCATGGCAGTGGGACCTCCACTGGTCTGTCTCTCAGTCTCAGTTTGTCATATTGATCGTTGAGGTGGTCATACTAGGTTTATGCCGACCAAGCCTATTCCATTGTGAAGAAAAAGTTCTCTCTACTTACTCTATTCCCAGCGTAAAGCTGACATACTAAAACTTAGAGATTCTACTGGCTTCTCGCGAGACGTTTGTGCCATTCTGTATGTGTCCCCGTCTATGACCTTCTCTATCACGATTAACCCATCCTTCACCTCAAGACTGATAGCTAACATTACAAGATGTTTCTTTTGGCTGGGGTATGACTGTCACTTTGTACTCAAGTATGAGCTTAGAAATGACTTCGACTCAGTGATCGCTTTGAGCTTGCGCTATTAGTTCAGTCGGTTCTAATGATCTTGGCTCAGGTGCGTGTCAAGATATTCGCTCATTACTTTGCTTAATTCCGTACGAGCCTCATTAGCTTGCCCTACTGTACATTTGCATAATATATCGCCCTAGGATTGGTCCGGAGAACCTCGGCAATTCCAACAGACTGTATTCGTTTTGGCAATGGTCGTCATATACACAATACATCGAATTCTTGGCTGGATTAATGTGCGCCCTCTTTCTCTGCCTGCCATCTCGCCTCTTGATCATTGTCGTTGCCGACGTAGTCTGTGCCAAGCAATCCTGTTCCTCATATTCGGTAGATCACGCGTGTTTATCACATTACTGGGATTCTTCGCCCTAGGCCTTGAAAGCACACTCCCTATACCGCAGCTTATCAGGTACTTGATGCGTCTATCAGCACGGGCAGTAGGACATCACTTGAATTTGATACTCCATGATCTTGCAGCAATTACAAACAAAGGTCTCTATACGGCTTTCGTATGTCTACTTTGATTGGGTGGCTCGGAGGCGATTCATTCAAGTTAGACTTACCATGCGAAGTATTATGCCAACCTGCTTTGCTCATTGAATTTGATTGTCAGGACCGTATACTTTTTCCTTCAAAATTCACCGTTGCAATTCAAGGTGTGCGCCATCTTTCAACTTTCAATTGACTTTGGTATGTTGTTTCACAAACCAATAGCTGTCGCTTCTTAATAGGTGTCCGTTCAGCTATTCTAGGACAGAGAGTCATTTACGGGAATCCTCCACCAGCCCCAGTCCTGAGTGAGGAAGAAGATTTAGAGCAAGCTCTCGCATTAGCGGAAGAGTCATGACAAATTTCCGTACGTGCACTTTTTTACTTCAGATCATTTGATCAAGAGAAAATCTATCCAGGAGGGTATATTCTGAAAGTTCTTTGTCTAATGAACAATCTGTTTCTCTTCCAAAAGTTGGTGGCCGTGGGATCGACCTGTTTCCCGATTGACGCCTACAAACGTCTACAGTGCTTCAAGTTCCAACGTTCAACTCCGCTTCGCCTTGCATTTCCGTGTCAACAAGCAAAATGACATTCGATCCTTGTACCCTCTTGCTGTGGTACATTTTGTTGGCGTGTAAGGAGTTTTCCGTTCCTACTAAATGCTAGATGTCAATAGGAAAAATAAATCTCCGCGTTACTGCCCTTTGCATAATTCCGTAAAAATGGGGAAAATTTTTTTTCTTCGGTCCGAATGTTGAATGTTCCGGACCCTGCTCGCCTAATGTTTTGATCTCGACCCGACGTAGCAACCACGAGCACCCGCTCGACATCCCGACACGCTGTCACCACGTCGGGGCCTCTTAATTATCTGAAAGTCTCACTATAAGATAGCTGTTACTTAGGGCTAGGCTTTCGTGATGATGTGCCCTCAAATCTGTTGCTTTTTGTAGCCTGTTCAAGAATTTGAGGGTGCATGCCCATTGTGAGGAGACAGTGAGCGAAGGTATGGCGCCGTTGCTGGTACGACGCCAAGAGCCAAACTGTCAAGCCGGAGATCTCGGTCAAGTTCGCTTATGGGCGGACCGTAAAAAAAAATTTCCCCCATTTTCACGGAATTATGCAAAGGGCAGTACAGTGCTTTGCGTATCACCTTGCTTGCAAAGGTCATTTGTTACTCGATATTATTAGCGCTGCGGAAACTTTACCCACGGTTTCGGCGCTTGTTTCTAATTCTAACCTGTCGTTTTTGTCCTGTTTAACCACATGTCTACCGTACCAGTGTCCCTCCACTGTTGTGTGCAGCGTGCTCAGGTAGGTCGGCAGGTATTCACTTCCTGTTCAAATAACAACTCCAGCCGTTTCTTGTCCTGTTCCCACTCTGCCTCCTTTATATATCTACCACAAGTTCAGTGTATGATGTATGGCTGAAATCGGTTGACAGATATTCATGCCAGGGCGCAAGCCGCCTTTGTACCTGTTGAGTACCACCAACCACCTTCACATCAAATAACAAATCCAGCTTTTTTACCGCCCTGTTCTTACTTCGCCTCCTCCATGTCCTTATCACAAGTTGCTGACTGACATTTGAACATATCGTTTGCACACAGAGTTTTTGCCTCTGTTTCATCTTAGATTCCATGTGCGATGTTGCACCGTTAGCCTTTACTTTGTGCCGCACCCGCGACCACCCCTTTATTCTGCTTGACCTGTTTCCAGCTACTTAACGTTGGATTCAGCTGCGCAACAGGGCTCTGAGTTCCTCAGTAACGGGTTGAAGCCTATGGCAGATACAACAGCCACAGTTGCAAAGGTTGCTTCTTTCACATTTGGGGAGGAGGAACATCCATTGGAAGGTATGTGTAGCTGATATATGTGATTGTGTTAAGATCATGCAACCCGTGTAACCGTGCCAAAGCCACAAGGTGTCTAAGTGCGGAAGACGAGTGGGACAGTAGTGAAGTTATTAACAACACCGCCGTTACGCCGTTAGTCCCCGGAGAGCAAGAGTAGAGAGAGAGAGGCTAAGTAGCAGCCAGGTCGGAGCGGCGGTATCGCTGATGACGAGGAGCGAACCAGAGGACGTTCAAGTCCTAAGGTCGAGGGGAACGTACTTTGAGGCGTTGAGCCTGAAGACTTAGAGAAGAGTTAAGTTGAGAAGGGAGATCTAAGTTGATAATTAAACTGAGGAACTATGGTAGCGTACAAGCAGTATTTATATCTACGGAGCGGCGCATCGGTGCGGAGCGCCAGACTAACTACTAGGAGTTATACATGTAGTCCTGCAGGGTAAAGTAAAAGACAATAAGGAGGGACTAGAATGAAAGGGTATGTGTAGCGAGAAAGAACAATAAGGTAAAGATTACAATAAAGATCGATCTTCGGAGTACCGAGCGGCGGAATGGAGGCCCGAGGCATGGGCTTGACAGTATCCCCCTCTTAGGCTTGAGCCCTCGAAAGCCATTAATACCGGGAGTTGATTGGTCACCAAGGAAAAAATTTTAAAGGCCGTCAGCCTCGGGAATTTGGCCTATCAGTCAGCAGGAAAATTTGCAAAAGCCGTTGGTACCGGTAAATGGCGTTAGTCATCAGTGAAAATTTTTGGTACACCGTAAACCGAGTACAACTCGAAGAAAATTTCTTGCTGGTCCGTGCGCAGTTTTGACCCTATAAAGAGGGCCAGATTTTGCCGATGAGGAACCAACTTTCCAAAAACTCCTAAGTCACCCAAAATGTCAACCAGCCAAACGACCACCTCCCGAACCACTAACACCGTCGGCTCCATTCCGGTCACCGGCCGGCAAGCAACTCCTCCTGCGGCCCCTTCCCGCCCTTCGACGCCCAGCCCTTCTGACGAGGAGCGCGAGCTGGAGCTGCAGCTAGAGCGCACCAGGGAGAAGAACCGGAGGAGAAAAGAGGAGAAAAGGAAGGCCAAGGAAGAGGCCCGGCAGAAGGCAGAGGAGGAGAAGCAGAGGCAGGAGGCCGCTGAGCAGGCCGCCACTGCCAGGAGGTTGGAGGAGGAGGCAGCCAAAAAGAGGAGAAGGACGGCAGCAGCGGCGGCAGTGCGGAATCGCCGGGGTCCCTCACCTGGGGAGGCCACTACCTCTACTCGTAGGGTGGAGGTCGAGATTCCTCGGGTGGTAAAAAAGGGGAAAGCTCCACAGAGGAACGAGGTGAGTAATACTTGTAGAATGAAACTATTTACTGATTTTTTCTTTTGTTACTAGGCCAGCGGGGGAGATCCGGATGACGGCGATGATGGCGAAAACGACGATGAAGACGACGAGGAGCGAGCACCTTGCGAGTGGTGCTACAGCAAGAAGATCCCTTGCCTGGAGCAGGTAGGGAAAAGGAGCACCGTGATATGTAAACCATGTCACGATGCGAAGGTAAAGTGCTCGTACTCGGGCCGGCCGGCACAGGCGAGAAGAGAAGGGGGACCGAGTGGGGAGCGAATGGCGGTCATGGAGAGTCAGATGGCCCAGCTCCTTGCTGACAACCGGTCCTTGCGGGAGGCCACTACGAGGTCTCACCAGTACCTGCGGCAACTCCTGCGGCGACAGGATGAAGACCATGCCCGACTGATCGCCATTGACACTAGAGACGCCATGAGGGACTCGGCGATACCAGGGCCGCCGAGGTCGGTCTCCGAACGGCCGAGAATCTTGAAGAGGAGGAGGATCATGGAGAACAGCGAGGAAGAAGAAGAAGGAGAGAAGGAGGAAGAGAAGATAGTGGAGAAAGAGAAGGATGGAGAAGGGGAAGAGGAGATGGAGGAGGAAGAGAGAGAAGGGGAGGCGCCGGCGCCGAAGAGGGCGAAGACGGCGGCCTCTGAGAAGGGGAAAGAGAAGGAGGTAGTAGTAGAGTAGCGGATATCGGACTTTGGCCCTTCGGTCACCTTCTTGTACTATTCTTGTAACTCTGCCTCTGTAGTATAATCTTGGTTTTTTGGACTTTGTATATATATAAAAATGCTAACGCAATTTGAAATCGGAAACGAATGGGCCGCGGAGCGGCGTAAGAAGTAATTAGTTTAGTATAAGTAGTATAGGTGTAGATGGAAGCTAAATGAAAACTGTAATTAAAGAAAACATAATAAGCAAATAAGAGAGAGAGATAAACACTCAATTTACTATCATCGTGTTTACCCTCTAAACACACGAAGTAAACCTCGGCGGAGCATGGCGAAAACGGGGAAAAGGGATAGGATGTTTTTTGTGATCAAGGTCCAGGCTTGTGAGGGTATCGGGCGTGGAATGCCGGTACAAGTTCGTCAGCATGTAATTCATCAGCAGCAACCCAAGAAAACTCATCGTCGGTACCTTCGTAACCGGCCCACCGAATGTAATAACGTAGAGGACAACGTTTGTACCTTCTGTCCAGCTTGGAGTCAAGGATTTCGGCAACGTTGTACTCCTCTTCACCATCAACTTCAATTGGAGGTGGAGGAGATTGAGTTCGATTCGGGAAAGGGTTCGGCGTAACCGGCTCCAGCTGTGAGACATGGAAAACCGGGTGAATTCGGCGAAGGTAGTCCGGGAGCTTGAGTTCATAAGACAAAGTACCAGGTCGACTGATGACCTTGAAAGGACCAAGATATTTTTCAGAGAATTTTTCAGTAGGACGAGTGGAGCAAATATGCTTAGCAAGAACAAATACTTCGGAGCCGATCGGGAACTCCGGGTGCGAGATTCTTTTCCTGTCAGCTTGTTCCTTGTAACGAGACTGAGCTAAAAGGATTTCCTCTCGAAGGAAAGCGTGGAGTTCATCAAGGTTGACGACGAAGTCTCTAGCAAGATCAGACTTCATGTCGACCTCGGGCCGAACGGTGATATTTGGGTGGTATCCTTTGTTAGCGAAGAATGGAGTAATACCTGTGGAAGCGTTGGGAGCGTTGTTATAGGCGAACTCGGCGATCGGAAGTAGCGGCGACCAGTCATCTTGTTGGTAGGAACAATAGATCCTGATGTACTGCTCGAGAGTCTGATTGACGCGCTCGGTCTGCCCGTCGGCTTCCGGATGATATCCAGAGGTATAATGAAGTTCCATGGAGAGCGCTTTACCGAGAGCCCGGAAAAACGCCAAAACAAATTTAGAACCACGATCAGAAGTGACATGATTAGGAACACCATGTTTAGAGACGTGAATAACAAAAAGCTCAGCTAATTGTTCGGACGTAATGGTGTCGAAAGTAGGGATGAAAATAGCTTGCTTGGAAGATCGATCCACAACGACGAGGATGGCTGTATAACCATTCAACATTGGCAGTTGCTCAATGAAGTCCATGGAGATGGAATCCCATGGTCGGACCGGAACTGGCAGAGGCTTCAACAACCCGTAAGGCCGATGACGGCGAGGTTTGTTGCGACCACAAACAGTGCAAGAGGTGACATAGTCACGGACGAAGTCTCTGACCTTGGGCCAGGTGTATTGACGACGTACAGCTTCTAGAGTGCGGTTCTGGCCGAAATGGCCGGAGAGTGGATGATCATGAAAGTAGCGGAGAACTTGAAGGCGAAGATCGCCGTGATTAGGGACATAAATACGGTCGTCAAGGCGTAGTAGCTTGTCACTACCTAAGCTCCAACGTTCATTGGAAGGATCTTTTGCAAGTTCCAAACCAACAACGGAGCTCAGGTCGGCGGGAAGGGCGAGGATGATGGCTTGGTGTAGGGCTTCGATATCCATGATAATCGAGGCTCGTAAAACCGGGCCTTCCAAGAAGGTAGCTCGAAGAGACGCAGTGAGTTGTTCGTTAGTAAAGA